GGGGGTGTTGGTTGAACCCTAGGCTCCGGGGGTGGCGCCACTATACCCGTTTCACCGGTCGTGGGTGGTGGGGCGTGGGGGGGCGTTGACATCGAGGTTGATGCTTAACTTTTGGTCGCCCGTGGCTACAACTATTTCGTTGTTGTAGCCCACCACTTTACTCTCAGTTGCATATCACTTTCGGGCCATGTACAGCCCACGTCGAAAGGCGTAGTCGACTTTCGACCTGGCATATTCCAACCGTCTTGGTAGCGTTTGATGGCACTTTCGGGAGATCAACTGGAGCATTGATAGCATCCTCGTTGACAACGAACTGTTTCTGGCGTCGTAAGCAGTCCCCTTACCGATAATACTGGAGCAGCGTTTGCGTCTCGCGCACCCAACACCGCCCACCGCGTGCGTTCGAATCGAGTCGTTTAAAGCGTTCAGTGCGACGCGAGTAAACCCCTTCGGCGTGTCCAACATAAACTTTTTCCAGTCATCCGCTGCCTCTCCTGATCAAACCTCCAGACTCTGTACTCCTTGTTGGCATTGAAAGCCATGTAGCGGTCATCCCACTTTCGTTGGTTGTGAAGAGATGATCACGACTTGTATCCCCAATCTTTCACCAGCAGTTTGCTGGCTTCCACAAGGGGCATTTGGTGAGCGATGGGGATACCCAACCCGTGGTTCGGCCCGACAAGCGTAATCCGTCTTCGGGTTTAGTTCGAAGTCGTTGCAAATCGTTAAGTAGGCCGCCCTATCGTACTTGTTGTTTAATGGGTTCCATGCATTGTCCTGTGGGGCGGGGCGCTGATTTCTTTAAGGATCGCCTGACCTGGTAGTACCGTGGAACTTGAACACAGACTGACTCAGCGGTCCCGCCCAGTGTCGGTCAATGTCACACCACACCCGTTGTAGCGCACCACACGGCGAAGTTGAGTTGATTCTGCCAGAACTGCATCGGGTTGTTGAACCAAGCATGAACTACCTTAGCGTTAGTCACGAAAATTTATACAGGCTGAACACATCTAAAAGCTGGGCGTTGAAATACATCCCATCAGCAACCGCGATCTTCATGGGTGTGAAATCTATGTCCAGTTTAGGGTAAAACACTCAGGGGAGTAAGACACTCACTGCGAGGATGCTCCTCCTTGGGAATACATTTTAAAACTATTATATAATGAGCATATATACTCTAACATGTACATAACACTTCCAGGAATAGCGGCGGTGAGGCCGTTCAGCTGGCCTTAGCGATCGATATCACGTCCGGTCAACTTCGAAGTCGCACTCTGCGATATCACCTACCTACCGCCAATGGACTAACATCAGCGCCAGCAACAATAAGCTGTTCGTTAGTGGAACTTCGCAGCCAGATAACTGGCGGCTACTACAGCGTGTGCTTTCGCTAAGCGATGAGGTCTTCAAACCCTGGGAGCGAACTCAAGATGAGCGACTCAAGCGGCACAGTGGTGTTAATCAACAACGGAAGAAACTCCTTGAGGCTCGGCCGGCCATTGGCGAAGACACTTTCGGTATATCACCTGGCGAGATAAAACCAACAACAACCGTCACAGCGCGAAGTTACCCGACCTAATTACCGTGCGAGAGCTGTACATTCATCTAGGTCAGGTGAGCACAGCGTACAACATTCAAGGGGTCACCCTTCCACTATACTGAGAGCGTGCGGTGAAAGCGGAGAAATACAGCGGCGGTAGGGCGAGTCGTTTTCACAGCTGACAGTATAAGAGGTTGACTCAGGGCAACATACCTGAGCTGATAATATCGGTGTTAGATATAAATCATAATCCCGTGAATATAGGATACCTCAGCTTAGCGCTTCACATAAAATGACCAGCGCACAAGGGCCGGGGTGAAAAAATCGTCAATGTGGGGATCTCCGACCTCGGGGACACCGCAGCGGTTTCGGCGGCTCGGGTAGATGGTAAATTATGCGCCTTGCAACTGAAAAACAACATTTACAAAGCGTTGAAGTCCCCTCGGTGGAGCCCTAGGTGATATAGTAGATACCTCAAAGGCGGTAGTCAACACTAAGTACACCCTAGTCACCACGGTAATGATAATTGGATAATATACCCATCGTTCGGGGGCAAACTGTTAGACTTAGGCGATGTTGAGAGCACTACCGTCGCCCGAAACAAGCCATATATGCTTTCGTCTTCACGAAGATGACAAGTGGAGTGTTGATACCAGATAAAGGCGACTGGTTTCTCAATATTAGGCTCGGCTCCCCTCGTGTTCACGGATAACAAAGACAACCACCTAAACAAAGTCGTTAACAAGCGGAACCCTGCTCGTGAAACTACGTCCGACTCAGAGGCGTGGCGTAGTCATCAGCCCAGTAAGCCAGTATGGCAGCCCACATGCTATCGAGTAAAGCGGGCATGCAAAGCGTGACATTGCAGTTGGTGTCTGAATTTGAAGGCGTGGTCAGGATACTAGAGAGTCTACCGGCGAACTCAACACTGATCATCAAAGTCTACCTAGGGGAACCATCGGGGAATGATGTCGAGATCGTGAAGGGGATCAAACTTGGGTGGGTGAAAGCGACACCAGTATCGCGTTTGCACAGTTTACGTGCGGGTGGGTGTCGGCTCCAACACCAGTCTGCAGGGTGTCACCGTGATCGTGGAAAACACTATATCACTAACCAAGATCTTCCTACCTGACAACATACACTTCATGGGGTGAAGTTAACCCTGACCTATTATCAGAAAACCAGTTGGAAATTATATCGTAATAGTATTATAGCAATGACCAGTCATTGTCCCAACACTACGCTTAGCGACCTAGGGGACACGGAGGGATTCGATCAGCCTGGTGAGGAAGGTGGCTCATACATCCTACACTTGAAAGACAAGCGTGTATAGGCGGGCAGCAATGGCCGATCATCTGCCCAAACTCACTTTCGAGGAGGCCTAGAGGATTGACCAGCCTGGTGAGGAAGACACCTTATACATCCTACACTTCAAAGACACAAGCGTGTATAGGAGGTGTCGTTATCAGATTTTAAAGAGCCTGAATGGTTACTCAACTTAACCCTCACTGCACCTTATATCACCTTGAGACAAGATGGTACTGTCTCGAGCTTAAGAACAATGGCATAATTATAGGATCGTTAGTTCGGAACCCAAAGGCCTACTTGTAGATGGAGTGCTATTTCCAGAACCTAATATATATATCACACCAATACCAGACCACTTTCGGGTAACATGTTAACTTCCAGGGAGAAGGTGAAGATAGGGATCAAATTACTTGATCACCAAGAGGTCTTTAGAAATGTCAGGAAAACTACACATTCATCATAGATGTCTATCTCGGAGATAAGCCGGCGAATGGGGAGTATATTTACATTATGGCTGGTATGGTCATAAACTGGGAAGCCAGGTGTAATAACAAGCGTTGCCGTATTACTAAGGTATCGGGAAATGACCCTGTAGCAAGCCTTGATGGAGTTCGTCTCCTTAATGGAAGTAGAGTTAAGACCCGTTTTTTACGTGCACACTTATCTAAGTTATATCAGCTTTAAGTACATTAGCGAAGGTTAACTGATACTCAATTAAAATATCTTTTGTAATATATATTATAGGATGGGGCTGTACCCAGTCATAGAGGAAGTAGCGAAGACCCTGGAAACCGTGAAGCGGGTTCGTTTGAGAACAGTTATGTGATGTGAAAGCGCCAACTAGAACAAGACCGCGACAGCGGAAAGCACTATGTAAAAAGTACCATAGAGCTTTCAATATCGTGGGCCGGGGCTGACACTATATATGGCAACCAGCATGGGGCTAGGGGCGGCAGGTGTTGGGTTGTTAGCTACCATCGTGGCTGCACCTATAGTGCTAGGTATTGAAATAACAGCTGGGGTGGCAGGGGTGTTAGGGTTGGTGCTTAAGTTGGCATCCACGCAGACTGCATCGTAAGGCATTGAAACACGATGAGATCAGGGTTCTGGCTGAAGCAAAGCTGAACACAGTAAGTGGCGTATTTCCACGGCACTTACTGACAGTAAGATCTCAGAGGAGGAGTTTAGTTCAATCCTCTCTGAACTCACAAAATATAACAAAATGAAACAAGATATTAGGTCCAAGTCTCGTAAGTCTACTATCAGCGAGGGGGCGAAAAAAAGTACATAGAACAAGGGGTGAAAAAGCCCGGCAAGCCTTTATTACAAACACCAAAGAGATCATAGGCGATTCACATTAAACTGTTTCATCGAGGGTAAACATGGCATAGTGCCATTAGGCGCAGCCCAGTATTGGATGGGGCAATACCGTTACTTCCCCATGCCCCGGTAGCTGACTAGGAGGTCCCCAACTTTCCCCAACTTTTTGTAGTAGGGGTAATGGTAGCAAGAGCTAAGGGTCCGACCAAAGCCTTACTTGTGAAATAAGGCTTTGCAGAGGCTTTGGTTGAAAGTGATCCAGAACCGCTATCGGCCCAAACTTTTCATAGTAGGGTAATGGTAGCAAGAGCTAAGGGCCCGACCAAAGCCTTATTTACCAAATAAGGCTTTGCAGAGGCTTTGTTGAAAGTGATCCAGAACCCCATTGTATATACTACTCTTGGTACTCATTAAATAATGTACATGTAGCTAACATTTGTATAGACTGTTATGGGTTAACCAGAAAACAAATATCAACCATATTTTAACAAATTTAACTGTCAGGGACGCTCACCTTATGATCTTCGAGGTTCCGAGACGTGGACAGTTCTGCACCCGATCCCAGGAAAAGTAATTACGTCATATATGGACCAATCTATACAAACTTAAGGGGACCCGAACAATGACACCCGCGTGGTTTCTCTTAGATTGTTGACTGATAGATGACTTATTAGTAAAGAATTGATTTTACATAGACCTGCATCTGTTCTCTTCATTTCATGCAACAAATTGAACGAAACCGCCATTAGATCTTTCATTCAGATTCGTGCAAACCAAAGTCCTTTAGCAAACCGTCCACCCTACTATCACAATCGACCCTTCCTGAAAAAGACTCAATAACGAAAGTAGAGGGACCGAAAGTAGAGTTCCTGGAATAATTGCCTACGTGGATGTAGACACGATATTCTTCGAATACGAAGACGTAGCATTATTGTTGTCAGCCAGAAGCTTGTCAAACGGTAGGTTTTGAAGAGATAAAAATGAGGGCTGTGTGTGTGTGTGTGTGTGTGTGTGTGCGCGCGCGCGTGATATCACAATGTGCCTCATTGATGTCTCAATTAATGGTATAAAATTACAGGTGTGTGTTAAAGAGTAGGATCACCCATTTTGTTCTGGGGAGGCAGGGGGTCAACAATTTGTACACATGTACTATGTGTTAGCAATAATGTACTTAAAAATTATGCTTAAAAAAATATGGGGAGGGGGGCATTGATTTTGTACATGACATGTAGGGGGTTCCTTACTTTGTACATAAATTTATTTTTTTGGCAGGGGCAGTTACATTGTACATGCTTCTCCATAAAAATCATCATCAACCACCACATCCCCACCCATAAATTATTTATTTCGTATACTGAGGGCTTTCTAGTGTAAGGGAGATAACTCCAGAAGAGGATGCAATGGTTTAGTGATTCAAATGCTTGTGATGGACCTCAGTAAGTGGCATTCAGAAACATCATGGCTTTATATTTCCCAAACTTATCATGTGCCGTAAACATTTTGTCATATTTAAACAGGTATAGATTTTAATTCAAAGACTTTGAATGTAAACCTATGTGACCTCTCAATTGAAACAGGAACTTCATGGAATGAAAGTACTGTTAACTTTTGAAGTGTGATTCCAACTACACTGAATAATCAGAATTGTTCATCATCAAATTCTTATCTTAGAAATCAGCAATCTTTTCAATCAGAAAGTGGACACAATATTCTCTATATATTGAGGAAGTGGTGATGTTTATAATTCAGAGGTTTCCATTTTCAGCATTGACAATGAGGTGCTTTGGATGTAAGGAAAACAAGCTGTCCAATGAATTTCCTCAGTTTGACATAACTGAGAATTGCAAACATCCAAGATTTCACTGCATGAGGGTAAGATTGCCATAATTCAAAATATTCTGTGGAAAAAGGTATGGGGTTGCAGGAATTGAAAGAAAATCAGTGGTCATCTTGACTTGTATATTTGAAAAACTTTGTTAGGTCAGAGATGTGATATAAGGACCGAATGCTGCTGTTGATTTCCATACAATATGTCCAACACTTAATACTAGTAATTTACTGAAATGGTATTAACATAAAGGAAACATTCAATGTGTGTAGCTGTTCTCTATGAGACCAGCAAAAGTATAACGTAGTCATTATTGAGTGAGTTTAGTGTTATGCTGCACTCAGCAATATTCAAGCTATATGGCGGCAGTCTGTAAATAATCAAGTCTGGACCAGACAATCCAGTGATGAACAGCATGAGCATCTCACGCAATTGGGATATGAATGCATGTGTCAACCAAGTCAGTGACCACCACGATCCCGTTAATTAAGCCTCTTCTGCTAAGCATGGGTTACATATAGGCGGATCCAGGAATTTTAACAAGGGGAGGGTTCAGGAGTTTTGAACCCCAACCCCCTCAGCTCCCGATGCAAACCATTAACTTCTATGTGGTCTTTAGTCATTTTCAAAAGAGCAGGGCTGGGGTTCAAACCCCCTGAACACACACATGGTGAGGCAGCGAGGGACAAGTATTGTTAACAGGTTGTCTTGTGCCAACCGGCTGCCTTGATTGTTATACCTTACAGTATCTGCTAGAAATAGTCAGGAATTTAAGTAATGTATCAGTTTTGACTACCAACCTACATATCAGGTATCAAAATTTATAGTAAATCCAAACAAGGATTTGGGATGGATATAGATGCACTGACAAAGCAGGGATAGACATGTATTTTAATCAAAGCGTGCCATAGCTTCGCCAGACAGATAATGTAGACCCCTGTGTGCCTTTGTGAAAATATGTGTGCCCATACCTTTGATGATACAATTAAACTCAAGACATTACAACAATTATGTCATTTCAATTTATTGTTTAATAATCTGTACACAACATGTAGTTTGTAAACCTGTAACCTTGAGAGATGGATTTCCTAATCTCCATCCTTTCTGCAAGAACAGCTCAGTTTCATTTGTCCTGAACCCATAAAACTAACTCATAAACCATGTTATCATGCAAAACAGGATTTCCTGTTATGCACAATAACATTCAAAATGGCCATGAACATTTGAAGCTGTGAAATAGAGAGTGCCACTGATAAACAGTTTGTTAGTGTGCAAAAATAGATTTTGAATCATTTCAGTTGGTCGGATTCATTGCATTTTCTATTCAATGAATCAAGTATTTATTAAATTTTAGTCATGCTGCAGAGGCACATTGAAAATATTTTATCTCTGCCATTTCAATATTTAAATTAAGCACAATTTCCACCCCTGCAAAGTGTAATACATGTGAAAGATGGTCATGAAGGTAATGAATGCAGTCTTTGACAGCCCTTTCTTTGGAATAATGTCTACAGAAATCTCTGTGCATCTTTATACTAAGTTAAGATGTTTATTGTCATTGTCAGTATTTCAGGCATTTTGTGGTTAGGTGTGATTAGGATCTTTGTAGTTTTGAAACAAATTGATTGACATATAATGAAGAGTAGGTTATAGATGGTGAAGAGATAATTTAATTATGGTCTGTAATTAGGTCATTTTGCTCTTTAAACCAAAAGTAATCTGATTGGTGAGTCTGGTTTATGGATTCTGCTTTTTCCAGCAATATTGTAGCAGGGGACAGCAGAAATGGGCATCACAGCAATTTAAAGAAATAAGCAAAATGCTGAAGTGGGTTTCTGTGTTATTTTTCCAGTGTGTGATTCGACATCATGTGTTGAAAGAGAAGAAGTGCTGTCCTTTTGCAGAATGTGGAAAGCCTGTGACACCTGAAAGCAGAAATATTGCTATCATTCATTCACGACCTGAGAGAAGATGAGATGTTCCATGGAGTACACTACAGAGTTCACTCCCTTGGTTTATTCCGAGGGTGGCCTTGGTCAGGTGTGTGGGTGGCGTGTGGCAGTACTGAATGGGGACTCAATGACAGTGAACTACAGGCCCTCCATGACAATACTGGAGCTGAAGCAGTCCATACAGAACAAGCTGAAACATCAAGTTCAGAAACAGAAGCTGCTATACAATGATAAAGAGATAAAGGTATGGTGTAAGATTGGACATACTGGCTTCATCTTTTGCTGAAAGTGTACACTAAGGCTGTAAGCGATTCACTTTCGCATATTCGTGAATCGAACCGTAGTCCTTCATGAATTCAATTAGTTATTCATGGTCACCAGAACCGAATATTAGCGAATATTTACGACTTTTTTTTAAGGGAGCATGTTTTACTTGAACCCTTGTGTACTTTGGAAAGTGAGATATGCAAGGACTGATTATGTACTATCATTGCAGTAGCGCAAGTCATGTTAGTTTGCCAAGGCCACGTCACGGTACTGTCGACTATAATTATTACATACCAAATTTGAGTGTCATGAGATCACTGGTTAATGCTGTGTCAAATCAAAACTGTCAACATGGAAGTTCCATATTGTACAACAATCCTTAACTACAATATTGTATTCAGTAAATAATTATTCGTATTCGTTACCCAATATTCATGATATGTATCATATTAGCCACATAGTGTATTCGTTTTGCAGCCCTAGTGTACACTAACAGATTTTGTGAAGGCAAGATACTGAGACTTTTACATCAGGAACTAATCAAACAGGAAAGTAAATGTGCATACTATAGACAGCTGAATGATTTGGTTTATGGCTCCCAGCGTCAGGTATAAGTACATTATAGAAAAATATATAATATTATTCTTTATGCAGTGTACAGTCTAAATGCTTTGAGCTCCTGACCTATGAAGATCGAGGTTAGAATTGGTCTTCAGCAACCCATGTTTTTTTTGTAAGAGGTGACTAATGGGATTGGGTGGTGAGGCTCACTGACTTGGTTGACACATGCCATCGTATCCCACCACGTAGATAATGATGTCAATCTCTTAATTGTCTGGTCCAGACTTGATTATTTACACACAGCAACCATATAGCTGGAATATTGCTGAGTGCTACGTTAAACAACATGCAAAACAAAAGCTTTGGGTCAGGTCAAGAGAGCTGTTTGTCTGTTGTAGGTGTATGGAGATGGTCAGAAACAGATGAAGCTGAGTGACTACAACATTCAGCCTAACTCTACAGTCTACTTAGTTGTCCTGATGTTGGCCATTCCAGAAGGATTTGATCATGTAGTTTTGATCTCTACTGGGGATTTCCACTGTTTAGGGTAGATTTTCTTGATGCTTCCTGTCTCCTCTATAACGGAACACAGTTTCTTCATCTTTGTGACTACCGTCATCTTAGTTGTGTTGGTGGTGCTGTGAGACATTCAGGAGACATATTGGACAGAATAAAGAAACAGGGTCACCATGTTATTAATGTATATCTGAAAAAAATCCCGAGTGAAGTCACCCATTTATTTTTCACATTGAGTGCATGGAATTCACCAAACATATCCAAATACCCAAACCCCAGCCTGAAGTTCTACGAAGCTGACAAACCAAATACAGATTTGTGTAAGACATCCTTCACTCACGCCAACCATAGCCAGGCTGTCATCATGTGCTCAATGTCAAGGTCAGGGGCCGATGGGCAATCTATGAGTCAGGGAAACTCTCAGCTGGAAATGCTAGAGCTTATGGTCCCATCAAAGGTAGTGTTCAAACTCTGATTTCACAGGGATATTGAAGTTGATCAGACTGTTTTGTAAGGTAGGGTTCACTAAGCATTAGTTTGAAATAATGACATGCAAAACACAGCTCACACTATAACAATGTTTTGAGCACCAGATCTAATACTTCTCACTGTTGTACACTGTTTTTATCAATATTCCAGCAATACTACACGATAGGGACACCTGCCTCCCTACATTGTACAGGGCTGGGATGGGTGATTCAGGTTCAGGTTGGATGGGTATTAAGAAGGTCCCAGCTGTTCATTGAACCACATCAGGTGCTTTTAGTTATGTGATATGTGATGTGTTGTTAAATGACAATAGTTCACTGCAATTCAATGGTTACATGACGTTGTTTCCGACTATGTACATGTTCCTTATGAGGTGTATATATTTTAATACAGATAAAACTTAAGTCAACTTTAACATATTTATATTTGGGATTACACTTTCTTAGTAAAGTACAGATTTTAGTACTTCTGTTTGGTTGAGTCCCATCCGGATTCAAACCCACACACTCAGAGTCAGGCCCCTATTTGCCAACACACAAAGTCAGCTGCCAAACCCGCTCAGCCACCACGGCTTCCACTTGATAGATTGTGGTCTTACATTTGCATTTTGTTCATTTATATGGATCTTTCTTTTGGACTGTAATTATTATCCCCTGCAACTCATTTTGCAGGACCGTGTATTATTTTGGCCTTCGTCTGTGCGTCCATCTGTGCAAAATCGTCTTTTCCAGAGCAGAACATAAAAACGTTACATATTTCTTCACCAAACTTTGCATAGAGATAGGTCTGGTGGTGAACTGGTGCCTTTAAGTAATTTTGGATTTCTGAATAAAATATATTTTGAGTTTCCATGGCAACAACTTTGACTTCAACTGAAATTGGTGGTAGTGCTCTTTTCCAGTGCAGAAATTAAAAACCGTTCAATGTTTCTTCACCAGACTTGTTACATAGATATGTCTGGTGGTGAACTGGTGCCTTTGGCAACAAGTCAATACTCTAATTTTGGATTTCTGAATAAAATAATTTTGGCATTTCCATGGCAACAAGTCAATACTCTAATTCCACTTTGTGTGTATTCAAGATCCTATTGACTTAAATCAACAGTACCACTCTATTTCTGTATCAGACAGTCCATTGTTGATACAAGCATGCTACTATATGAATAGTTTACATATGTATGTTTTTGTAGATCAGTGTGAAGAACAATGTAACATTTGACATAGTCATAACTAGCTGATATATTCATGAAGATTTTTTACCATTGCGAGGGATATTGATAACTGTCGTCTTGTTATTTTTCTGTTCATATTATAGTTTAGTTGGTATATACTTTATATAAAATATACTAGGCACATAAAGAAACTGTGCATACAAAAATTTAAAATTTAAATTTATCAAACCTGTGTAGACACATAAGGATTTAAACTCAGAGATTAGTGACATGTATCCAACATGCATGCACGCCACATTCCGTGACGTCAGTGGGTTAGATCCTTGAGACGTGCAATACGTTGTTGCACATGCATTCCGGGAAAGAGAAACAGAGCAAATGAATGCCACACAATACTGTCACTTTGGAAAGTTCAACCCCTGCCCTTGCGATCGTTCAAAAAATTAAACGGCTATTGAAATGCATAGCATGCCAAGGCTCATGTCTGCACAACGCCGTGAGGCCATTGGGATGGTCCGTGGGGAATGTCTCAACGACAAGTGGCTGCACATTTCCACTGCCACCAGAACACCATTTCTGCACTGGTGAGATGCTACCAGAACACAAATGACGTCATCGATCGGCCACGTTCTGGACGTCCATGTGTAACAACGCCAAGACAGGACAGATGGATAAGGGTGACCCATCTTCGCCACAGGTTTCAGACTGCAGTGATGACTGCCCGAACCATCCCAGGACTTCGCCGTATCCACCCCAACACAGTTCGACAACGTTTACGTCATCACGGGATCAGACCTTGACGTCCCGCCATCCCAGACCCTTGTTTTGGTGGAGAAATGTTGTTTTACAGATGATACCAGGTTTAACATTTCCCATAGTGATGGACGCCAACGTGCCTATAGACGCGTGGGAGAACGTTATGCACAGGCCTGTGTCTTGGAGAGGAATCGCTTTGGTGGTGGTTCCGTGATGATTTGGGGTGGAATAACAGCACGCCAAAGAACTCCTTTGGTGATTGTTCAGGGCAACTTAACTGGTGTGGGCTACAGGGATCAGATTCTTCGACCTGTGGCAATTCCTTTTCTGCAACGTCATGGCCCTGGGTTAACATTCCAACAGGACAATGCCCGCCTTTATAAGGCAAGGTTTGCTATGGATTTCTTGCAACACCACAACGTTGACTTGCTGCCTTGGCCTGCAAATTCACCGGATCTCTCCCCGATAGAGCATGTTTGTTTTACGCCGTCTTCCTCATCCGCCAGATAACGTCCTTGACCTTGCAACAGAACTTGAGAGAATCTGGCGTGACATCCCACAAGCCTTCCTTGCACGTTTGATAGGCTCTATGCGTCGTCAATGCACTGCTGTTCTCACTGCCGATGGTGGACATACTCGTTATTGAGCTTGTGACATGGTCGTTTGACCCCTGTCCCGCTTGTGGCCTCGTGACGTCATTGTGATTGACTTTTCAATTGAAATTCTCCCGACTTGTTATGGTCTCATGATCTCTCCATTAAAGTTTATATGTACCTTTGACATTGTTATCGTACTTATCAACTGGGATAATATTTTGACAATGCACAGTTTCTTTATGTGGCTAGTATACTTCATCAAAGTGGATATGTAAGTACTGACTGAGAGTCACAGTGTTTGTGTGTTATGATGTGGAGCTATGAGTACCAGTTTTAGTATCTTCACTGTGATTACTCTGGAATTCATATTGGGATAGGAGTGGACCAAGTTGTGAATATGTTATTTCCATTTCTTTCTTGTTTGAAATGTTTCAAACGATGACATCATAAATTATTTATTTCAGTAAAGATGATAGAAAAAAATGTAACAGTTGTGCTTCTTGTTTTACATCTGTTATATTTTGGCAAGATAGGCATTGTTTTGTAAAGAATTAAATGTTTCATGTTGCTCTGTTGTGTTGTCTTTGGGAGGTCAGTACTAAAGTGAAAATTTTGTGGTTTGTCATTCTCAGTGATGATAAGTACATGGGCGGATCCAGGAATTTTGAAAGGAGGGGGTTCAAGGGGTTCAACCCCCTGAAACCCACATTGGCTCCGCCAACGCAAAAAAATCTTCAATGTGATCTTAAGTCATTTTCAAAGGGGGTTTTGAACCCCTGAACCACCACTCCCACCCCACCTGGATCCCGCCAATGAAGTATGTCGTTTTACTAAAGACGAGTATGTGAGTTATGTCATGTGATAATGTTATAATGCATCAGTTGTCAAGTGTACTGTGCATACACCAATTCGTGACCAAAATAACATGAACACTGTATTATTTGTACATCAACCTACTCTGCTCAAATCACTAATTAGCAATCCAGTGTGTATCAACCTTGTCAATTGTATATACATGTGTAATCACTATGCAGCTATGTATATATTCTCCTTGTTTCAACTCTTTGTTTCACTTGCTTGATAACAGTGTTAGTACCTACACTGAAACGTGACACCCATTGCAATAAAGTTGACTATCCATAGAACTTGGTTTTCCATCACCTATTCAACTTCTAAAATGCCTCTCAAAGAAACACTTTATAATGTTGGTCTGTTTTATTATGTCTCAGCAATGAATCCCTAGTCCCAAGTATAGGGAGAATAAATTCTTATAACACAACTCATAAGAGGATTCTTGGAAGCTGTAAAAACTGGATGGAATGGACTTTTGACTAAAGTTACTTTCTCAGATTTAAACAAATATCAACTCATTACATATTTACTAGTTAAATATACTGCAGTGACGGGAGTCTGTTTAAAAAAGTGATGCCCTACTTCATTTGACCCTAGTGATGTGTCATGGAGGTGGTTTCTGTTTTGTATGCAGGCCACAAATCATGTATGGATTTGAATACAATGAACAGAAGTATCTAAAAAATGGGCGTTGAGGGAATTTCTGGAGCATATATGAGTGGTACTGTAACCCTCTTGGACTACATCCAAATTGCATCCTCCCTTGACTTATAGGAGAAAGATGAAGGGATGCGGTAGAGGGAGTATTGAAAACTACTAAAAATGGGGTGGGGTGTACTCTTCTGTATTGGACATGTATGCCTTGCCTATCCGCATGTTAAGAATGACTGGTCCTTAGTCAGGTGATACGTCCCTCGAGACAATGTTGATACTGAGTATGACTTGAAGCCTGTCTGTATTCAAAGTATATATGTATGTCATTACTATTAATTATCCCCGCAACGCCGCTTTTGCGGGGGTATTAAAATGGACTCCGCCTGTCCGTCCGCTTTCACTATTTCTTCACCAAACTTGGTACATTTGTCTTTTCCGAGCAGAACTCTAAAAGCATTCAATATTTCTTCACCAAACTTGGCACATACATTGATCTGGTGGTGTACTGGTGCCTTTTGGTAGTTTTGGAATTCTGATTAAAATATTTTTGGCATTTCCATGGCAACAAGTTTGACTTAGACTGAAATTGGTGGTTGTGCTCTTTTCCAGGGCAGAACTCTTAAACCGTTCACTATTTCTTCACCCGAACTTGGCACATACATAGATCTGGTGGTGTACTGGTGCCTTTGGTAGTTTTGGAATTCTGATTAAAAATATTTTTGGCATTTCCATGGCAACAAGTTTGACTTAGACTGAAATTGGTGGTTGTGCTCTGCTTTCCGGAGCAGAACTCTAAAACCGCTTTTGGTAGTTTTGGAATTTCACTATTTCTTCTTTTCGAACAGAACTCTAAAACCGTTCACTATTTCTTCAAACTTGGCACATAGATTGGTCTGGTGGTGTACTGGTGCCTTTGGTAGTTTTGGAATTCTGACTAAAATATTTTTGGTGTTTCCATGGCAACAAGTTTGACTTAGACTGAAATTGGTGATAGTGCTCCTTTCAATGCTCTCCTTCCACTTTTCTATATACACACCTGAATATTTGACATAATCATAACTCGTAGACAATCATGAAGAGAATTTTGCCATTGCGGGGATATTGATGACTTTGTCTTCTTGTTTCATTTGTGATCCCTTGAAAAATTAGATGTTCCTCTCAGGGATTGAAATGTTTGAAACACACACACACACACAGAGAGACACTCACACAGACAGAGAGAGAGTTCCTACGCCTATGATGCAACAGCATCAGTTAGGACATCGATAATGCCAAGTAGATAGGGTAGCCGGTGATGGAGAACTGACTTCAGGAAAATGTATGCTGCTTCGAACTGATGAGAAAGCCGTGCAGTGTGTATTGACGTCGTCGTGAACGTTTTGCAGCCAACTACGGGAGTTCAACAGATGATTAAGACCCTGATTCTCTGTACAAGAAATACAAACCTGCGTTGCCATTAACGACCTAAAGGGATGAACCATGCTAACATAACATCATCAACTGGACAATATTATACTAAGTTTCAAAGCAGCATTTCAGCCATTTCTACAGAACCACAATGGTTACTGCAGTAGGGTCTTGCGTCCATCAAAATCGGCAGATATGAACCCGACAAACACCTATTGCACATGCACTACAGGCTGAGCGAGCTCACACCTTCCCCTATATCTAATCTCCACACTCCTTTCGTCCAAATGCAGTAACTTTGATCTGGGGATTTACTGGACTTGGGTGAAAAGCAATAAACCATTTCTACATCCATAAGAAATCTCTGTTAACCAGAATCATACAATTCCGTCTGTTCATCGCCACCCACAGCAATATTACAGCTGTAAGGCGAATGAAGATTTCATTTTCAGTTAACTTTCTGGCCGTATTTTTATGTTTTAAAACATAATTTCCAGAGATCATCTAAAAAATGCAATACACAGTCGAATGTTTCATAGCTTTCTAGCGCCAGCACTTGAACTCCACATCTGTTTTGTATGCACCCTCTGAACATTCGCAATCTTACGTCACTTGTGTCTGAATCTCAGTTTGGGACCCCATTGTTAAATCTGGGACACCTACAATTATATGCTTGTAATAAAAACAAAGCGCCAAGTCCCACGAGGATGCACAAGTCATCACTATGGTGAGTTACCGTGTATTGTCTTCACATTTGACACAACCATCCGTGGGGTTGTCTTGTGGTTAAAACCTTCAGGCAAAAGAGTTCGATTTCCATGGGTACAAAGTGTGAAGCTGATTAATATGGTGTCCTTTGATATGCTTAAAGCAGTGTAAAAAACGCGCTTTCCTTCACAATTTTGGACACGTCCATCAATTGTGCATTACATGTTATATCACACACAAATAATCTGGCTGTTCTTTTCCTCTTTTTCTGAAGAAGCACATGTTAAACCTGAACACAGATTTAAAAAATAATGATGTCATTTAACGAATGCTCATAATACATATAAAAATATCTCGACCATTTCCCAACACTTTTATTTGAACAATAAGTACATTAAAAATAGAAACGGTTTCATGTGGATTTAGACTAAAGGGCCGATAACCATGTGGTTGGCACACTCCAATATACCCCTAGTCCATGGACAATACAACCATGGTATATGGCACTGACACATCACATCGTGGGAGTCCAGACAGCAACAGGTTCCTGGTAACATGTAATTGTCCCAAGGATGCCATGATGGTTCCAGTGGTCAGGTTCAGTGACTGCTGCGTGTCACAGCACCAAGATGTCGTGGATTGTTGCTCATGATTTCAGTCACTGGTTTGTACGCTTGTATATTTACAGGTCGACTAGAAACAGCTAAAATAGTGCGGACTGTGGCGTTAAACACAAAACAAACAGGTCGACAAGAAATAGTTGAAACACTATGACATTATCAAACATTATCACTGGTCAGACAAGCGTCCCTCGGCAACTTTCTCCACTGCAGTCAGGGAAGGGGAAGGTATCGGGGATGATCTGGCTCTCCGTTGTGAACTCCAGCACAGAGTCGTTGACACCACGGAACGTCAGCTGCAACATCACCACAATGAAGCAACTCTTTGTATAGTGTTAAAATGTTTATCTATCTAATCAATAAAAGTAAACATTTCTGTACCACATGAAAATCACCCCGTTTTATCAATAAGTGTAACACAAATAGAACCCAAATGCTAGACATTGTTATCTTATCTGACATTAAAATGCAAGCTTTGGATTGGTTAAGGAGCAGGTAGTTAAATTGTTTTCCAGTAGCAGACTCACAGGCTGGGACAACTTTCATGTCGACCTCTGAGAGTGAGTGAGTGTATGGTTTGACACCACTTTTAGCAATATTCCAGCAATATCACGACAGGGGACACCAGAAATGGACTTCACACATTGTACCTGGGTCTTCAGCGTAACAAGCGGACGCTTTAACCATTAGGCTACCCCACAGTCCTTTCCCTCTAAGAAATAAGTCGGGGCACATTTTCAGTATAAGTTACACATCTTACTTATGTGAGTTGCAGAAATGAATACCTTTGGTTCAGGAAGTACCTCGTGTTATGCTATGATAAATAGCTTTCTGGTAGAGACAAAATGTTGCAATAGTCATCAAATCAAATTCATTTGTTTCATGATTCCGAGATCTGCATATATTGGAAGACAAACAGAAGGCTGCACAAAATATACAAGGTATTGCAGATGGTGTATGAATGACGACACCATCAGCTGGTTGGGCCCAGGTTTGTTGTTAATGTTGTGACAATGATGAAACGTCCTCATCCTCCGCTGGTGGAAGTAAAGCTCCTCTCACATGCGCACTGACTCAGTGTAAACTAATAAAGTGAATTGGACCAACGAGGAGTTTATACGAGTCCTGCCAGCATCTCTGGATACACGTACCTGTATAAAGAAGGCTCTCCATCCCACCTCGGGGTTTTCAAACTCTACCACATACGTGTTGTTACCCTGGAAGAGGTAAACATATGCAGATATTGTGGGTGGCGAGTCTACCGGTACAGCAGGAACTTCCTACTGGCAACGCAACACCTAGTGTCAGCGATTCACTCATAATTTCCCCAACTATTTTGCATGTTGCGAAACTGTCTTGACAGAGAAGGATACAGTTATACTTGCACGAAGATCGTCAGTAATGCATTTTTTTTTTTTGCTTATTAGGCTATATATTTATTTTTCTTAATTTTCTTCATACTTCTTTATCAGCTTGCGTCTAATACTTTTAGGCACCATCACTTTAAGCTTTACACACGCCATTCCTGTCTCTATGTGTCGCATTGGGATAGATTCAGTCCAGTATGCGGTTAGTGTAATTTCCTTGCCGCAGGGACCGCGGTAAAATACTTTATGTGGTACATAAAAATCGATGTTACTTTCATGAAAATATGTAAAAGATAAAAAACAATAAAATTAAAAACTGCCTCTACATCCAGTCATTTTGGAAAAAAGAACACGAATGTATATATTTGGCCCTTAATGAACGTATTCTCATCCCCCGTGTGGGCTGCACATGGAAACATATATGTAATATACCAGCTGACAGTATGTACAACACTTACCACATATTCTGTTGACTGACTGTGCCAGATGACTGGGTGGGGGAACGGTTTGTCGGGGTCGCCAGGGGTGCCCACCAGCAGACGGAAGTCACGCCTGGAGAATAAAGATACGCCAAATCTGTGTCAGGACTTATGTTGTCATAAATGATTTCAAATTAGGCGTCTGATGTTTATTAAGTGTGTGAGTTTCTTATTATGCCGCTTTTAGCAATATTCCGGCAACATCACGGTGGGGGACACCAGAAATGGGCGACACACATTGTACCCATGTGGGCAATCGAACCCAGGTCTTCGGCGCGACGAGCGAACACTTTAACCAATGGGCTACCCCACCGCCCCGATGTTTATTGAGACTCTCTTGTAAAGATGACATTCTTTCAAAGAGAATCTATCACTGGCCAATTGACATGCAGGCGAGCCAGTAATATAGTTTCAATAGTGTAAGAGCAAAACAACTTTCAATGATGTGAATGGTTATTTTAATAGTTTTTCTATACTTTTATACTTCCGAGCATTACTTTATCTATCATCGCTGACACAATTGTCCGTTATGTCAATTTTACTTATTGTTTGAAAATATTTTATTCAGTGTTGAAATGGATTGGGCACAAGTTATGTAACTTATTACCGCCCGCTCCCATCAGAAACATGAACAATAATGAATGGACATAACGAATGGACATAATAATATCAAGACATATTAATGATTAATCGAAGCGCTTACTTCGTACAATGTATTTATGCACATGTCTAAAGATATTTTCATTAATAGTATTTGGCAGAGCAGGGTTGCCGTAAAGAATGGTATCAATGTCTTAAGTGAACTTTTGATAGTTCAAAGTCTTGCTTCAGATCAAAACGGCAACTGACAAAATTTGGACATTTTAAAAAGAAATGGTTAGCATCTTCCACCGGAGCACCACAATTGCAAGCTCTACTCTCTGATAGAATTAACACGAAACGTATCTGCATGTAATGAACTACACGAATGTCTTAACTTCGTGTGTAGTATATTTGTCTTTCTTTCAGCAAATAGAAAATATTTTGGAACCTTGTCATTTTTTCCAGGTAACTTTGATTTAAACAATGATAATGAATTTGTACATTTTGTTGTAGAGGAGAGAGCATTCCATAAACTTGCAGAATCATAAATAAATGACTTTTGGAGAATTGAGGTGCGAAATTTAGGAACAGACAAATCTGATTTGTTAGGCAAGTTGTACCCGGAAATGGTTTCAGTAAAAGATGGAAGCAATCAGGTAATCAGGAGCTTGCATACTAACAATTTTGTAGAATGTAGAGAGTTTCCTTTGTGTTCGTCTAACTTTCAATGGTAACCAACCAGTTTCACTGTATAAACTATATCTTGAAGCGAATTTAGGCAATCCGGTTACAATTCTTGCTGCTTCAAGTTTTACTTATGGTTATAGATTATGAGTGTATTTAGAAGAGTAGCATGCACTACCTTTCTCCTCCTATCGTCTTGGCCCAGTAGGCCGTCACAGTCAGTGGCTCCGTCTCCGTGGTCACGGTTATTTTACCTCCATTGGCGGTCTGCAATGTTCAGTATGTGTTCTCCAGGAACAGTGAAATGGTGCATGGGTTACAAATGAGATATTGATTCCTTTACTATAGTTAACATAACTAATATACAATATTGAAATGGTCAGTTCCTTTCTACATTTCCCGGTATTACAAAGTAGTTCTACTTACCAATTCTCTAACCCAAGAAAACTTCGGTAGTGGAGACGCCTTAAAGAAAGACACCCGTGGTTATCAACAGTTAAGACAAATACTGCATAACAACGTCCGTCAGCGTTATACAAACATTCATAACCGTTTTGTGTTTGTTATACACAAGTAGACCTTAAAACAAAGCAAGCAAATATTGACCTTCGCTAATGAATCATTCGAATTTACCAGTGTTGCCACGTGTGACATAAATAACCCAAGGCTTTTTCTTCAGAGATACTTTTTTCAACGATTGAACATTCATGGGGTAATTAGAAGAGTCACGTGCTTCTAATTCTTCATTATAGGTACTGTACAGTTTATGACGGTGATTGTACACATTCATGGTGGTGATTGTACACATTCATGACGGTGATTGTACACGGAGATTGTACATTCATGACGGTGATTGTACACATTCATGACGGTGATTGTACACATTCATGATGGTGATTGTACACATTCATAACGGTGATTGTACACATTCATGACGGTGATTGTACACATTCATGATGGTGATTGTACACATTCATGGTGGTGATTGTACACATTCATGACGGTGATTGTACACATTCATGATGGTGATTGTACACATTCATGACGGTGATTGTACACATTCATGGCGGTGATTGTACACATTCATGACGGTGATTGTACACATTCATGACGGTGATTGTACACATTCATGACGGTGATTGTACACATTCATGGCGGTGATTGTACACATTCATGACGGTGATTGTACGCGGTGATTGTACACATTCATGACGGTGATTGTACACATTCATGACGGTGATTGTACACATTCATGCCGGTGATTGTACACATTCATGACGGTGATTGTACACATTCATGACGGTGATTGTACACATTCATGACAGTGATTGTACACATTCCGTGATTGTATTGTACACATTCATGACGGTGATTGTACACACACATTGTACACATTCATGATTGTACACATTCATGGCGGTGATTCCACACATTCATGGCGGTGATTGTGATTGTGCACACACCGGTGATTGTACACATTCATTGACGGGTGATTGTACACATTCATGACGGTGATTGTACACATTCATGGCGGTGATTGTACACATTCATGATGGTGATTGTACACATTCATGGCGGTGATTGTACACATTCATGGCGGTGATTGTACACATTCATGACGGTGATTGTACACATTCATGGCGGTGATTGTACACATTCATGACGGTGATTGTCACTGCTTGATGTAATGAGCAACGACCCACACAGAATCTGATGACAACATTCACGACGTACATAGGCTGTTGGTGTACTAAAGTAAGTCTGAATCCCTACATGGTCGTCACTTACGACATCTACAGGGTTCCTCAACCCAACCCGGAACTCAAAAGACATATTATGAGTAAAAAGGACGTCCCTTTTCCTTACATCAGCCACTACTTCTACTAACCAGATGATAGAAATGTTTGGTTGAAATTAATTGACGCTTTCCAATGTACTTCCATTCAATGGGGGCGGTGGGGTAACCTAGTGGTTAAAGCGTTCGCTCGTCACGCCGAAGGCCCGGGTTCGATTCCCCACATGGGTACAACTTGTGAAGCCCATTTCTGGTGTCCCCCGCCGTGATATTGCTGGAATATTGCTAAAAACGGCGTAAAACCATACTCAGCCAGTCAGCCAGCCATTCAATGACCATGTTACAATATCTTTGTCAGTTAACACAGATACCAAATACCGATATATGGTCTCTGGTTAACATATGGGCAATGTCACATCAGTATGCTTGTTTGTTAGCTGTATGACTCAACACTCAGCAATATTCCAGCTATAGGGCGGATGCCTGAAACATTTGAGCCTGGATCAGACGATACAGTGGTCGACCAGCACAGATTGCGAGAAAACTATTTTAACCCAATTGGAACATTTCATGAAACCTTACAGACATAATTGACAGGAAGAAAGCTCGCATGGTAAACAACAAGCTGATCTCATGTCCGGCACAGCTATGTTCAGCGTTCGGTAATATTCTGGAATACAAAAATAACAGGGTCATCAGCATGAGAGCATTTACCTTAAGTGCACACTGATCCTGTTCTGGGCGAGATCATTAGTGAACTCCACTTACTAAAGTTAGAAATAATCTTGATTGTCTTCAGCTTGCTAATTCTAATGTAAATTTAGCAAGCACATGTCCATTGATTGTTATCAATGTAAGCATAAGGTCTAATGGTTCGTTTGGAAAAATCCATTGGTTTAAACCTATGATGCATTTACCATATATGTCTCTATTCAGTAATCAGTATAATATTATACAACTTAAACTGGGTGCACGTAAAGCTTTAAGACTGACTGACTGAGTTTGGTTTTACGCCGCTTTTAGCAATATTCCAGCAACATCACGGCGGGGGACACCAGAAATGGGCTTCACACATTGTACCCATGTGGGGATTCGAACCCGGGTCTTCGGCGTGACGAGCCAACGCTTTAACCACTAGGCTACCCCACCGCCCCAAAAAGCTTTAAGAAATTTATATGACTCACCTGAGGTATTTTGGTCCATTGAGGTCTTTGTAGTAGTAGTGGGAGTCGTCGGGGAGAAAGAACTCGTCCCCACCTGTACTGATGATCAGCTTTGGCATTGTTAGCTTGTCGTTGTACGCTGGAACATAAACAAACATCATCAGAAAATGTTTCAGAGTATGAACGCAAAAATGCTCCTTACTACCCTAACGTTTCATCTTACGGTGAATCTATACTACCCATCAAAGTTTAGACTAGTGTAAATGTGGCCACTTACTTCAGTCAACTGTTCTAAACTAGATTTTGCAAAATATTTCATACTGTTTAAAGGTTATGTTTACATATGAACTGATGTATTGTAAAACAAATTCGTAACGTTGAAAAGATTGTTGTCATGAGTTCAATAAATGATGAAACTCAGTGAAAATTGGCGAATTCTTAACAAACCTTTACACCAAAACGCAGCTGTTCATATGCACGATATTTGCACATGCTTTTCTGCAATTTGATATATGATCCTCATGCAGTTCACCTGCATTACGTTTGCAGTTGGTACCCCCAAGTTAGTGGAGAAATTCATCTTCGATGTAACCATATATATCTACATAACATAAAGTGAGGGCTTAAAGTGAGTCTAAACTTTTGATGGGTAGTATATAACACGAGTGGTTTGAAATTACATTGACGACATTGGACTATAATGCATCAGACTATCTCGAAAGAATACAGTTGATTTAAATAGTTTTGTTTATAGCAACATACTTGCTACAAGGATACTCGTTGTTTCCATGATGTAATAAAATCCTTTTCGAACAATGAGAGAAGTATTTTGACAGTAACGTTGGAATGATTTTGTCCAGAATTGCAAATTTATACATGCGACTGTTGGAACTATTATGAGATCTTTTTGGGAATTACATGAATGGATGCAGAAAAGAGGTAAATTTAAGGGTCCCGTTAAAGATCATTGCACTTATAAAGCATTGCGTGGGCAGGTTTGTGTGCCTCTGCTTGTACAAATCTGGACTTCTGCTGGTTTAATAGTGCTAGCTCGGGAGACTTGCCGCCGTTTAACATGAATTATCAGCTCAGGCACTGTATACAGACTCGGAGAAGATTCGTCCTTGTTTGATCCCCCAACACCCACCCACCCCTTTCCTCATCATGACCACGGGTACTGTAACATCGATAAGTGACGCATTCGTTCATGAATTGCCACCACAAAACGTCCAAAATATAGTGTCAGAAGACATATTTGTGGTACGATAAATGCATATCCTTGTGGGTACAGTGTATTCGCCTGTACCTCCTCCGGTGCAGTTGTATTATTTGATAACACGAGTAAAGTACATATTTACAAATTGGGTCTATGACGTCGGCCATCTTTTGGGTGTTGGGGTTGTCTAACGACTCAGTGAAGTTCAGTTCATAGTAGTCCTTAAACGCAAATGTCCAGCCTCCATAGGCTCGGAAGTGATGGTGAAGATTCTGAAACAAGCAAAACATTTACTCTCATGGGAACATGTGGAATATGATGTGGAGACATCAAAGTGAAAAAGAGACGGAGTTGTCTTGGATGCCGCAAGTCTCTGTGCAGAGTTGCTTCCCTTGGGTGTGCCAGAAACCTACGATGAAATCCCAAACTTGACCTGATCATGTTCCAGGTTTGTCGGGACCCCTGTTTCACTTCAGGATTCCCAACACAGCAACTCCTACTTGACCAAAACCTTGAACAACTTCGGGATTTCCTCCCACAAGAAGCCGATACACTGTGACATAACTGAAACACTATTCAAAGCGTCGTTGAACGCAACTAACTCACTTACTCACTCAGTGGCATGTGGTGACAGAAACATAAAACGTTTCTACTTTTGTCTTCATTGGCCCACTTAAAATGAGCGGTGGGGTAGCCTAGTACTTAAAATGAGCAGTGCTTACTTTACAAGAAAATAAATCTTGTTCCTTCATCTCTACGTGAGGTCCGAATGTCGAGAGAATAATGTATCTCATGTTTAACCTATAAAACAGTCAGAACTATTTTTCATTATTTCTCGATACCATTGTGTAAGAACACCCCAATGTATTGTCCGACAATTCCTCGACAGGCACACAGAATTATGAGAAGAAGGTCCTGTAAATCATACTTTGACCATATGTAACAGGTCCATGACGATGGGGCTGATTCCCTTGACGCGGGGGTCCACGGCTGCTGTTGTCCACGTCGTCCACCCACGCTACAACCAGAATATACAACACACATGATTATAGCGTACGCACTAGAAATCTATTTATAGACAATTATTAACAACGTCTATCTGTCTCTGAGATGGAAAGGCGTTACATTTTGATGTAACGTTTCGAATGTAGCCCTCTGTATAGATTCCAGTTTTGGAGTATATGAAACATTGACTCAATTAAACAGTACTACGCTAGGCTCATTTATGTATTTGTGTATATCTATGACCCATACTTGTGATGGAAAAGACCAAATAACTGTCCGAGGAAATGTAAGGTAGCTCGATGGTAAGTGCATTGTCTTTACATACAGATTCACTGCGTTCGATTCCAGCATTCCAAGCCCACGTTAGGTCTCCAGTTTTCCTATCTTCTCGATCAGTGCATGCTTACAGCTTCTATTAATATCTCATCTTTGCCTGACATTAGTTTAGTTCACAGGGGCTTGTAACGCTAAAAACTGCCATTAAGGCATATACTGTCACTGACGGGGTCTTAGTACTATATAAAAGGACACCAAAGGGGCTTGTAACGCTAAAAACTGCCATCAAGGCATATACTGTCACTGACGGGGTCTTAGTACTATATAAAAGGACACCAAAGGGGCTTGTAACGCTAAAAACTGCCATCAAGGCATATACTGTCACTGACGGGGTCTTAGTACTATATAAAAGGACACCACAGGGGCTTGCAACGCTAAAAACTGCCATCAAGGCATATACTGTCACTGACGGGGTCTTAGTACTATATAAAAGGATCCTTAGTTAAGTGTATAGTGTTTAGGTTGATAGTATTTGTCAACAGACGTATTGGTGAGGAAGTGAAAGATTTCAAAACACGTATTCTGAAACTACGCCTCCTGTAGGGCAGCTTGCACTGTTAATGTTGCTGTGCCGAGTTAAGGAACTGAAACCTATGTGCACCCGGTACAACCTTAGGTAATAACCGTGTTGCACCAGACAAAACAGGTTGTACCTCCTGCTGAATATAAAATTCTATATAATGATTTAGTTTTGGAAGTGAGGAATTATAACATCCTAACATATTCTGGGTCTTATAACATCATTGTTTATTATATAGGTAGTATTTTTCCTGTACCACGATTGGTCAAAAGACCGTCACATGATTGACTACAAAACACGATACTGACTTGAGTTTTCTGATAAATTACGATATTGACTTGGGTTACTAAAAATAGACAAGGAATCCCGTACGAAGGGGCTTCCCCCGCTTTTCAGCCAATCAGATCACTCGGATAGATGGCACAATGTGTGCATTAAAAGTTTATGTTAAAACCCGTTTCTCTTTCATTATATAATAAAACAATTATAGACTCTTGTAGAGGTCGATATCGGTTTTTATTGACCTGAGAAAAACAATATCGACCTCGCAAGATTTTATAATTGTATAATCTTACTTGTTAAAATGATATCACATGAACAGTCAGTGTGAGTCAATCACCTTGTAGGCATTAGAGTTACCACTCCAAGTCATTCTGTTCTTTGAACAGCAATCTATTAACATGCACTGAGTGCAAGTAGGTATAAATATGGAGTTTCATTTTGCAGTTTTCAGGTGCAAGCACGAGTGCAAGTTCTAAAGGCTTAAATTGAGCCCTGCAGTTTAAGGGTGAAACGGTATACCACGGTATTAGTAGTAGAACCGCGGTATTTTCCTTTCGGTTCGGTATACTGCAATGCAATCCAAAATTTCGATATTATCCGTTTTCGTACTGTCATTTTATTAACCTTTTAAAACCTTTTCTAAAATGTCTAGAAATCGAATCATTTGTCAAAATCTATGCATTTCTTTGCTAGACGGCCGCTATTTTCCCGGAAGTAAGTTCACATGTACCGAACCCAAACGGACCGAACCGAAGGCCTTGTACCGCAATACGTACCGGACCGTGGTAAGAGCGTACCGTTTCACCCCTACTGCTGTTACCATCGTATATCAACATGCATGTTCATTTCATATTTCATATTTCACCAGACCCGTGAAGGTCCGGGTAAGAATGAACCTTCAGTAACCCATGCTTGTCGTAAAGGCAACTAACGGGATCGGGTGGTCAGGCTCGCTGGCATGGTTGACACATGTCATCGGTTCCCAATTGCGCAGATCGATGCTCATGCTGTTGATCACTGGATTGTCTGGTACAGACTCGATTATTTACAGACCGCCGCCATATAGCTGGAATATTGCTGAGTGCCGCGTAAAACTAAACTCACTCACTCATATTTCACCTTTGAAGCTCCGGCCACATAAAACCTGTCTATGTTAATATCCAGCAGACTTTGCGAAAAATTGGCTATGGTGTCCATCCCTCTCACGGTGGCCTGGAAAAGGAGAAGAGTTAGCTTTTAGCGTGTTAAACTGAAGTTAAACATGCTTCCACAGGTAAATTGTTCAAACGTAATTAAACAGGAGTTCAAAATAAGCGACTGTTCTCAAGTGTTATCGGTGTTCAAGCAATATCACGACAAACGACTCCCCGAACAGGCTGCACGAATACAATAGTCTTCCGCGTGACGATCGTACGTTTGAACCATAGTGCTTTGGATAGGAATACACAGTTTTAAATAGCATCTCTGACTAGCTCTGTCATATAAGTGACATTGGATTCGGGCCATTAATTAGAGGATCCTGACACGACTAAGGGACGTAAATCTATACACACTGTGTTGCGGTGCGTAAAAAGACAGTAATCATCGATTTGTGCACATCTGGTAAAAGGTGCATCCATTACCTTGGTCATAGGGAAGCGGAGTAGGAATTCTGGATCGGAGGAGTTGACCTGCACAAACGTCTTCCATGTCCATGCTATCACTGCGTCCTCTGACCGGGCCTTGTGGGTCGGGTCAGCCTAGTAAGATAAATATTGAATAACGATTCCGTTGTTGAGTGATCGTTACGATTCCGTTGTTGAGTGATCGTTTTCATATGTATGCGTGGGTAAGTATGTGTGGTGTATATTGTTTAGATGTGGTATATTGTTTTCAGCAATGATAATGATTTGTTGGTATGTACTCACCAGGAATGTTGTAGGTTGGTTTGGTATCATTTTCAGATCGGCCCCAATACATCCTGTACTGGCAGCCATCATGGTTGTGAGAGAAACAAAGTTGTCCTTCACACTGGAAGTGTAGAAAAGTTGTCCTTCACACTTTCCTTCACGCTTGGGAGGGCTGGAGTGTAGAAAGAAACGTTACATGAGGGGTGTAATATTGTCCTTCACACTTTGAGGGCAGGATGATAGAAACGTTACATTGTAATATTGTCCTTCACTTTGAGGGCTGGATGATAGAAACGTTACATTGTAATATTGTCCTTCACACTTTGAGGGGTGGATGATATAGAAACGTTACATTGTAATATTGTCCTTCACACTTTGAGGGCTGGATTATAGAAACGTTACATTGTAATATTGTCCTTCACACTTTGAGGGCTGGATGATAGAAACGTTACATTGTAATATTGTCCTTAGAAACGTTACATTAATTTGGAGATAGGTTACATTGTAATATTGGGGGTGGATGATAGAAACGTTACATTGTAATATTGTCCTTCACACTTTGAGGGCTGGATGATAGAAACGTTACATTGTAATATTGTCCTTCACACTTTGAGGGCTGGATTATAGAAACGTTACATTGTAATATTGTCCTTCACACTTTGAGGGCTGGATTATAGAAACGTTACATTGTAATATTGTCCTTCACTTTGATGGATTAGAAACGTTACATTGTAATATTGTCCTTCACTTTGAGGGATGGATTATAGAAACGTTACATTGTAATATTGTCCTTCACACTTTGAGGGTTAGAAACGTTACATTGGATCACATAGAAACGTTACATTGTAATATTGTCCTTCACACTTTGAGGGCTGGATTATAGAAACGTTACATTGTAATATTGTCCTTCACACTTTGAGGGCTGGAGTGTAGAAACGTTACATTGTAATATTGTCCTTCACTTCACTTTGATGTAGGCATTGGATTTGAGGGTCCTTATAGAAACGTTACATTGTAATATTGTCCTTTCACTTTGAGGGCTGGGAAACGTTACATTGTAATATTGTCCTTCACACTTTGAGGGCTGGAGTGTAGAAACGTTACATTGTAATATTGTCCTTCACGCTTTGAGGGCTGGATTATAGAAAAGTTACATTGTAATATTGTCGTCACACGGGGCGGGTACGAGTGTAATAATGCAACATTGTAATATTGTCCTTCACGCTTTGAGGGCTGGATTATAGAAACGTTACATTGTCATATTGTCGTCACACGGGGCGGGTACGAGTGTAATAATGTAACATTGTAATATTGTCCTTTACTCTGGGCAGTCTGGAATGTATGATTGTAATATTGCCCTTCTTAATGAGTGAGTGAGTTTAGTTTTACGCGGCACTCAGCAATATTCCAGCTATATGACGGCGGTCTGTAAATAATCGAGTCTGGACCCGACAATCCAGTGATCAACAGCATGATCATCGATCTACGCAATTGGGAACCGATGACATGTGTCAACCAAGTCAGCGAGCCTGACCACCCGGTCCCGTTAGTCGCCTCTTACGACAAGTATGGGTTACTGAAGATCAATATTCTAACCCGGACCTTCACGGGTTCCTTCTTAATGGGTGGTTGGGGAGTAGTAATGTAACATTGTAATATTGTCCTTTTCGCTCCGAGAGCTGGAGTGTAATAATGTAACTCTTTCAGCGTAATCATCTAAAATTGTCCTTCACAAAGAGAGGACGTCACATAAAATGTAACATTGTAATATTGTCCTTTTCACACCTAGAGCTGGAGTGTAATAATGTAACACTTTCAGCGTAATCATCTAAAATAGTCCTTCACAAAGAGTGGACTACACATAAAATGTAACATTGTAATATTTGTTTTCACAATAGTCTGACAAAAAGTGTGATAACAACATTGTACTATTGATTGTGTGCAGACGCAAGTGTGATTGTCACCATATCTGTAATAAATATCTGGGTTGTGTACTGGTGCAGGGCCTAACAACACCTTCAAATAAGAAGGTATGGTTGTTTGAATAAAAGCGACAAAACAACTCCAAAAATAGTTTTTCTATTAACAGAAATCTCTACCACTAGGACGGTAGGAACTCACGGTAATTGTAGTTAGAACATGAATTATGTCTAATAAGATAAATGAAACCTTCCGTGAATTGCACAGTGCGAGCAGAGATGCCCCTCTCTTATGGGGAATTGGGATCACAAAGAGGCACAGACTGTAAGCATTTATACAGACAGACCACGGACAACAGAATCGAGCGAAACATGGATTCGAACCCTAAACGGCCACTTGTACGTATGTATCCACTGGACCACCCTCCCTGTGCCCTGCTTGCCCCTACCTCTACTCCTGCTTATGCTTACCCGGCATGGTTGGAGCCGCCATCAATCAAAATGAACGCCGAGTCTTTGAATACCAGTTTATCAGGAACTGTTATAGTCAGGTAGTGCCACCAGATGGGGTTGGTAACCACGGTCTCTGTAACATGGACAAGAGTCAAGAAAATATTGTCAAATGGTTAACAAATTCAACTCATTTTTAAAAGACACTACTCCATGAAACTTACACAAGAGTGAGTGAGTTTAGTTTTACGCCATTTTTAGCAGTATTCCAGCAATATCACGGCGAGGGACACAAGAAATGGGCTTCACACAATGTACCCATGTGGGGAATCGAACCCGGGTCTTCACCGTAACGAGCGAACGCTTTAACCACGAGATTACCCCACCGCCCCACTTTACAAAGGAACAACGCTAGTTTTCTGTGAGATTCCACCCATGTGTCTCTTGACTGCTAAAACCCTGGCCGTACGTGGTGGTGCTCGGGCTATCATCCTCTGGATCACACGCGTTACATCCTCGTGGGGAGTGGGGATAAAAGTGCCCAGACCCCTCTATGCTGGTCGCGAGATTTTACTTCGTGGATCGGGTGGTCAAGCTTGGTTGATTGTGTGTCATCGTTGCTCGTATTCTGCATCACTGGTTTGTCTAGTCCAGATTAATTTCAGTTCATGCACATGTATTATTGCTGATAACAAACAATCGAATACATGCTTGAGGACATATGGAACCCGTGTGGCTTCAGCTCAGTCTTCAGTGTTACATGGTAACTTAAATAATTTTAAAATTAAACGAGACTTACCTGTAAGGTACAGAATCAACATTTGCATTGTACGTGTAATTCACGGGGTGGTAGGGGTAGTTAAGTGGTTAAAGCGTTCGCTCGTCACGCCGAAGACCCGGGTTCGATTCCCAACATGGGTACAATACGTGAAGCCCATTTCTGGTGTATGGAATATGCACAAAAACGGCGGAAATTATATTCACTCTCTCACATATGTAATTCCGATCTGTAAATCAGTAATCCAATCTTACCATCTTTCCACTTCTGAGACGTCATGTTGAGAACATACAGGGTGAAGTCAGGCCCTCTGTAGGTGTGGTCCTTCAGCACCTCGTACGTGTAGTGGGGATCATACCTGTTAACATAGTCCTCTAACACGCCGCCATGCGCACAACCTAACGCCAGCAGTAACAAAACAATACCCCCCAACACCATGATACTGACTCTGCTCGCTGCGGTTGAAGGTGTGAGACCCCAGAGAAAGTCGTTCAAACCACAACTCTGATTGCTGGTCACAAGATGATATGATATGACACGATCATATGCGATATACGAACATTCGACCGAACTTTGTCTTATATTCAGACTGATAAAAGATGAGCGTCATATCTCTCACAAGCACAGTAAGCAACACTGAGACACAGATCTTGATTAAAGAGAGAATTTGCTTGAACTTCGTCATAGTCACAAGAAGTTTTTACAATAATATACATTTGTCACAGGAGGAAGACGGCCCGGAATTGCGTATACCTGAATATGTTGACTTTACTTCCGCGTTTGGGATAATTAGGTCGTCCACGACGCGCTAGTACATTGGGGGCGGTACTGTAAACTTCAGTCGACAAGGATGTAGACTAAAACGCTCAATATGGTTGGCTGGACAGACTGTCGGGTTTGTGTTTTTGTTACGTGGGTATTTTAGCTTTTGTGTTTCTTGTGAGGATAAATAGATACTGAGAGATACAAATAACGGATCACAGGAAAACTCTAGCGTTCCTTTATTATTTTCCAGTTTTCATCACAAGAGCGCTATTCAAAGCTAGTGATGTAAAAAGGAAAATATAAAATTGAACACTTGAATTTTCCTGTGATCCTTTATTTGTTTCTCTCAGTATATATGTCCACTGCGGTAGTGAAATACAGGAAGTAAACACTCGTCGAACTCTGTGGGTTTGATGTTCTATGCAGCGTGGGTTACATGTGCTTTGCATCTATACATACATGCATGCATGCATCTATACATACATACATACATACATACATACATACATACGTACATTAAAGGAAACGAGTAATAATGTGGTTCAATGCCCCAATATGTATAGAGAAATTCAAACAATAATGACACGACATGACTTGTTCGAATATATCATTCAGTTTTATACGCACGCATCCATCCACGGACGCACAGACAGCCACCAATCCATCTCCATCCATCAATACATCCATCCATCCACACATTCATACATGCACGAGTTATAACGGGTTTCAGTCGGTTGTATATTCTGTCAAGTCTGGGAGGTTGTGAGGTGTGAATAGTTTAGCCCTCTGTCTCTACGATCCCCCTGTCAGCTCTACAGCTATAATGCGCTCAAATACAGAACTTGAGTAATTGAGCATCGTGAAACTTTCCATCAACGCTATGGTACGTATTTCGACGTAAGTATCATGATGCATTATGACAGATATTTCTGATTCAAATAAGAGTGGGAAAAAGCAAACTGAAGTCCAACAGACCTGATAATGCCGCCAACAGAAATATTTACTACAACTGGGAATTGCATTCGTTAGATCCAATAAAACACACGTACAAATGTATTCGCAAACGAGCAACCTCAAACAATTAACTGTTCTTCAGAGTTTATTTCGTTCAACAAGTACACGACATGATATAGAAAAACATCCACCGATAAAGTAGGATCATGCCAGCCTACAGCCACAATAATCACTAAATCAATCAGCAGCCCTTCATATCCTTCACTCGAATGCGGATGATTATACAACATGTATGAACATTAACACATAAACTTACATTATCTCTTGACTGTTAATTTTAATTTTGTTTGTACACAACAACAAATTCAGCATAAGAAGAACATTTCAACACAGTACGCATTGAGGCTTCTCTTGTTTTGATGTTTATATGGAAATATGAATATGATACGACTTATGAATACGCACTGTCAACTTCTCTTCTAATCTCGATACATGGTGTCAAGTATCAATCGTGTATCTCCCCACTATCGCCTGCTGTTCTGTGGGTCACGCACGCACGCACACACACACACACACAGTTGCATGTCATTCGGGTAGACACGCACCTAAGTATGCACACGCTTTCTTTCACCAATATCATCTACGCCGCCTTTGCTGGCTTCATGTTCGCAGCCGCCCGCTTTTCCTCCAGCTTCTTCACTCATTCTCAATATAAGTGCACAATTACTAAAAATTCACGTCGTTTCCATATACAATATATTTTCCAGTAAATGCTTGATTAAAACGTTACAATATATGATTGATTTATTTAATTTAAAATCAAAGTGGCAACATCATGATTAACTTTGCAGTCCATATTTGTGAGAAATGCCCGAGCGAGAGAACTTGTCAAAATAGGAATGTCGCAAACAGGAGATGGTACATCGACTACGTTAGTGAGATGACATGCTGAGTTGTGGAAGCGGAAACAAGTGTCTAATGATACATGCAAAATGGTCAGTCTCAGATTAGACTGACTGACTGAGTTTGGTTTTACGCCGCTTTTAGCAATATTCCAGCAACATCACGGCGGGGTACACCAGAAATGGGCTTCACACATTGTGCCCATGTGGGGATTCGAACCCGGGTCTTCGGCGTGACGAGCCAACGCTTTAACCATTAGGCTACCCCACCGCCCCTCTTACATAAGAACCAAATAAAGCCGACTGCAAGTAATTTGTTTCAACTTGTTTACCGACCGATCACCGCACGACTTTCTACGCAAGTAATCATGTGCAGTTGTGATGCCATTCAGTATTCATCCTGGTTCCCGGGCCTCATTGGTTTGTATTGAGCCAATGAGAGGCCCGGGAACCAGGATGTTCAGTATTGTGAATATATTCAGCAGTTAGTTACACTGCATTTTATTGACATTACATTTAAAATAACTGTGCCCACAAACTCAGAAACATCACACTTAATTGGGATCTTACATAACGCCCTTCGTGCACGCCTAATACAAGGGACGTAACTCTGCAAACCAAAGCGGTAAGCCGTTCATGGTAGCCATTCTGTTGCCCAACAAGTTGACTTAAATCCTTTATCTAAAATACTACCAGGCACCTCAGTCCATACCTCAATGTATACTATTGTGTGCAAAACATATTAAAGGTTGGGGTTTTTTTCTCCTTTTGTTCAATCTCTTCTCCAAGCTCTGTTAGTTAATCTGTTGGGATGAACAAAATTAAGATCAACAACCATGTACAGTGAAATTTGTTTATTGATATCTTACAATATAATATTAATACAGGGGTAGAAAACACATAGTAAGTAATGAGTACATGACAGACCAAGACTGTAGTACACTCCATCCACATAATACAAGAAGAAACAGAGGGGAATGTAATGGACAGACTGACACAATGACATGACACAAGGGAACACACAGGCGGTGTAGCAATAAGGTGGTGTGGCCCTACAGCCTCTCTCAAGATAGCTATGCCTTTATAACAACCAAACACATCCATCATACATGCAAACAGCATGCAGAGAATGGTTAGATTATTATGACCCCTAAGGCACAATTACCTTGAAATACAGTGTATTAAATATGTCAAACAAACAGCTTGTTTTTGTCCCTTATGTCATGCCAAAATAACATGAAACATCAAGATCAAATCATTGCTTTAATGATATGGTTTAACAAGAATTATCATGATCCTTATTGTACAACACTGGTGAGAGAAGATTTCATGGACAATATTCATGAAATTCTTGGCGTTTCCATACCATGACCCCTAAAAGCAAGATTCAATCAATCAGTTTCAAGTTATCTACAATTTCATAAAGTAGTAAACAAGGCTCATGTTTTGCTCAAAGACCAACTCATCTTACAAACATTTTGATTACCCTGCATAAAATGACAACATACTGGAGTGTACTATGTTGTAGCTATGAAGCAAATCTTCTATGTGCATGCAGGAAGTGGACATTCTGTAAGATAATCACTGCCGCTACACATGTCTAACTTTACTACTATTGTATAGTGCCAGAACAGACTGTCCACAACATTCTGGAAGAAGAGACTTTGACAGATCAGAGAAAGAGTTCATGGGAGAATAAATTGACTCTAGCCCCAAAGTACTTTGTACATGACTTGGCTTTGTTGCAGCTATTAGCAGGTAAAGCCTCCGAACTTCCAAACCATCCAAATCTTAAGAGTTGTAAGAACGCAAGTGTCTAAATTAACAAACTGATTGGAGATGTTTTTGGCAATAAGGTCAGCAACATTTCATAACCTTACAATTTATTTTTGAAAAAGTAAAATCAAGTTTAAAAATTTGTTCAATGATTTTTTGGGAATATTCCAGGTAATGAAAAATATGACACCTAGTTTAATCCAACAGTCTCTAACGTCTTCGAACTCGAACTGCCAACACATGAAGACAGACAATATCCTTAGTGTAGATTACAGTCTATAGTGTGTTGTTCATTATGTGATTGATAATGGTCAACATCACATTCTCAAAGACACTTTTATCACAATACAACAAATTCATTTAAGGTGTTCCAAAGGTTCATATTAATCATCAAAAATGGAAACCATTAGTTAGGATACATATCTTACTAAAACTTACCAAGTACGCATAGCCCAACACGTATATTAAAGGTTTAAATAATCATATCCATGAAGGTGATATGCGTAACCTTAATACTTTGTCTATATGCAATATAGGTACAAGACTAGATCACAAATCACAAGTGTAGTTCAAATAGATATCTTAAGGTGAAAGTTAAGACATGTCCTATGTACATCTGTGTTAGCAATGTTTAATACACCAAGCTAGATCTAGCTGAGATTCCAAGTGCATGCCACTGTTTGGCATGTTTGGTAGTAAAATCACCAACAGATACAGTTACATGGAAGTAAGAACATTTTGGAAAATAATAAAATTTGGCCTTTTTTTTGAAATAATCAATTTTCAAGTCACAAAACTTGGAGCATGGTCTGTCAATGAAATTTAAGACACAAGGGATTTCTTGTGAGCAAATGTACAAAGCAGATCAACAATGAATGAAGCGATGTGATTGCTACACTTGAGCAGACTCCCAGTAGACAATGACAGCACAGAAAGAAGAAATCAAGTAGTCCAGATACAGGCCAGCCTTAAATAATCATGTCATTGGATGATATTTATAAATTCAGTTTTATGTACAATATTAAAATTACATAATCATGATAATCAGTCACAAAGATCGAAATCCAAGCATCCACACACACAGTTGGCATATACACAGGTAGTTAAAACGTCAAATGTTCACTCGCACATGTTGAATTTGAATCTTGCGCTCATGGCTGGTTGTGACATTATTAAGTTGTTTTGGTCACGGTAAACTCATGTGTATTCTCAATCTTGTTATAAAGCGACAGTAGTTATACTGCCTCAGTACAACTTATCTTGTCCATTTCATCACATAAGCTTGTGTCATACCAAAGTCAGAATACTACTGTAGGTATATGAAGTCGTCTATCACTCTATAGACACTCACTAGTGGAAGCTTTAACTTCCCACAGCCTTACAAGGTCTGTCTGCTCACTTTACTCCCCAAGCAATGGCACAATCAAGAAACATCATGTAGTCAAAGTGTCCAGTGTCACTGGGTAGTACAGATTATCCGTATATATAATGTCGGACCCGAGTTTTGGCAGGAATGGGTTCAGTGTGACTGAGAGATCAACGTCCGTCATCCCCGCAGGCCTCTAGTCATTTGCGGATTTGGCGAGATGACCCGGAGCGCGGAGGCACTTCTTCTTTTGACGCACTCCCTCGTCTGAGCCCAGAGTTGATTGGTGTCATCATGCCCTGCTGCATCTGGACTGAGGACATGCGAGTGTGTTCACGTTGAAGTTCACTGGTAGGAATACCTCTGTGTAGTTTGGTGCTGGTGCGTCTCTCTCTTTCTCGGGATATTGGCCTTGGGGAGGTGGCTGAACAGAAACAAAAAAAGATCTCAAATTAGGTAAGTTCATCTTCAAATCCATGTGTAGATTATACACTACCACACCATAGCAAAAGTACATTAATGTTCACTGATGACAGTTTACCTGCAGGCCCCACAAATGAATATGAGTTACATGAGCTCCTTACCAGGAAAAGCATTCAAAGCTGGCCATATAAATTTTCAACGAATGTCTTGATATTTTGTGTCAAAATTTGTTTACCATTCACAAATCTGTCAAATCAGGAGAAAAATCAAATGAAGTTGTATGGAAACACAAATACAAACCCTGATTAGAAAGATTCTAAAACTAAGAATTTCTTTTCTCAATGGTGCCAATTTGTACAATCAACTTTTTCACAATGATAAATGTCTTCTGAACATAAAATCAATATAAAAAATACTTAAAAGATACTTATAATGTGTCAAGCACGACTGTTTGTTCAAATAGTTGTGTTCAACTTGTGCGAATAAATCTTTACACTGCTTTATAGCAAATCACAGAAACATTTTTACATACCAATAACAAACTAGTACAACTTCACTGAAACCATGAAAAGATTCAATCAACATGATTACCTTGTCAGGAACAGACGTCAGATGTTAGAAATATACTTAATGAATAATCTGCATTGGTAAACATCACAAATTGTACAGTTATATAGAAACAATTTATTTACAAAATGCACAAATACATAATGTACAACACATACTGAAAATGTGTTTTGTAACAAAAGAGATCAATGACTTTCTCGTATCAAAGATAAGGGAGAAACATTCATACTCTGCCCAATAAGATCGTACACTATGTTTTAGAATCCGAACAATATTTTGAGGTATATCTTACATTACCTGACCATAATTATAATTCAAGGTCGATAACGAATTTGTCTCCATGGTACCAACATGCTCGAACAAAGCATGAAACCCTTTACAGTAAGACTCCCTTGAATCTATAACTATCAAATAAAAATCAAGCACTAAAAGAATATTTATTCTTATTTTGTACTCACATTTGATACAAGAAAGTCTATCTGGCAAAAAGTGCATTGTTTTTGGCTTGTATTCGAAGATAGTGATATAAATGAACCAGATTAGCTCATCATTTTACTGTAAAATGAATGAAAGTAACGTCTCTTAAAGAACATGTATGTCTGGTAACTGACGTGGTAATGATACTAAATTTTGAAGGACAGGGTCAGAATGCTCACATTTATGTTAATGATTATGACAAATGGATTCTGAAGATAACAAAATTCAACACAACATTACAACATATTCTGTACTTTTCTGAAGTTACTTAGCGACTGAAAATGGATCTTTCACCATAATAAAACTTCAAATTACTCAGTGATATCAAAATTGCATTGTCTGAGTATCACATTTTGACATGTACTGTCATTTATATTGTGACACTAAATTTAAAGCATTGACATATTGATAATGACATGTACGTGTATAACCCTTTGGTATTCACAGCACCAATTACCACTGATCACAAACATTACTTTTCATACAATATTCATCACAAAATACAATTAAATTCTTGGTACAAATCTTTGCACATTTTGCCATTAACACTTCAGTGATAATAACCTTTTTAGCTTTAAAGGAGCAATCATATAAACAAAACTGTAGTGACAATGTATCAGACTCCATGATTTCCCATGCAGTCACTTTCAGAGTAAAAGCATTTACACGAACAATGTTAAATTACACCACTTTTGCTACTCTTATTCCTTACACTAGGTCTGATCAATTAGCAATGTAGTACCATCTCACTATGTTACATAAGAACACAATAAAATTCTTTTAGCACAATCACACCGAATATAATACAAATTTAATATAATAATATTGCACAATCTATACAAGCCTATACAGGTTTCACAACATTAGGTTCTAATCCCCACTGAGAAGTTATTTTCAATACACAAATGTTTTCTACTCACATATAGTTAATTACTATGTACCAGCTGCAGGCTTGCCTACCCCAGGAGGATCAGATCTCCGTTTCTTTTAGAATGTTAATAAATATGTGAAAACGGATCATAAAGAAAATGCACAAAAGGTCCACAGGTAATGTGCAGATTACAATTTATATTTATCCTAAAAGAACTCCCCCAAAACACAAATTCCGTTTTCATACATTCCTAAAATCTTTTGCACAAAACACTGACAAATCATCCTTCACCTCCAAGCACAAACATTCATTCTTTGGATTGAACTCACAAGCACACAATATGAAACAAAAACCTTCAGTGAAAAAAAATGAAGAAAACACTGAAAATGTTAGCCTCTCTTGTCATTATATGAAATATTATTTGGTCTATATTAAAATAGTACAAGCCAATACAGCTATCCAATGTGTTCTCTTTAATCACTTGCAGTTACAAATCAGAATGAATGTTTTGCAATTCATTAGCCATATTATTCCTGCACAGATAAAAAGTAAATTAACTGAAAGTGTTGATATCTTTCTTTCAAACATGTACAAACTTCATTTTATTATTGTCAGCAAGATTTAAAAAGTTGTTTCACAAATGCAAAAAAGAATCTTTCATAATGCCTTCCATACAATGAATCATCTTTGTACATCCTGTAATAAATAAGAAATCTTTGACAAAGGATGAATTCTGGTACATCTGGTACATAAACTTCAGGAGTAAGCTTGATGAGCCTAAGTACAACACTTTAATGACAGGTCTCCCCGTTCAGTGGCATGGTAAAAGTTAACACTTGTACAGGCTGTTTGAAACTGTAGCTCTGACCTGAAGCAAACACTGGACCTGGGCCTGAACAGACAGACCAACAGGTAGACAGCTGAGATGAATGCTGGATTGTACGTTGCCACTAAGATACCTCCTTCACCATGTAACACAGAAACAAGAACTGTAGAAGGCTGATGTTGTCAACACAGTGGCCACAAGCAAGTCAGTAGTCATGAACCAAACCCTCACTCACTCAGCAAGGCATTGGTTAAGGTCTTTGTTTGAGCGGTGCACCCCGCCCCCTCCCATCTGCAGCAACCCGGCGTATTTTTGAGCCATCAGCACTACTCCCTACAGGCACAGGCAGTCCTGATCCCTTCATACTAAGCCTCCCTCCAGATGAGGGGGTAGCCAACCTATCACTGACCCTACTGTCTGTAACGCCCTCCTGTGACTCGGAACCTTTTGTTGCTAGTGACAACCGTGCAGGCAGCCTATCTTTGGGCCGAGACGGCAGACCACGAATGTCTGAGTGAGGAAAGAGAGAAATCAAGTCTTACAAAGCTGACGAAAAAAGTCTCAGAAAGGAAAAGAAAGGTTTAGCCATTATTTATTTGGATCATAAAGAAATAAACAAAATTACTGGCCAAAATAATTCACACTTATGCAAAATACAATGACATTACTTGTGGCAAAATAAACGCTTTATCAAAAGAAACATTATATCCTTACTTCATAGGCATGAAATAATGTGCCACTGCGGAAATAAGATTTGTGGAAACAAGGTACTGAAAAAAAGCATGCATAGCAGTGAAAAAGGAAAAGAAATTGAGCAATATAGGGTGCATGCAATAGAGACAAGCAATACCAGGCACCAAATACCATGCAAGGCGTGCTGGCATCATAGATAGATATGCTGTAAGTCAGCAGGAAGGCGTTAAGAGACTATGATGATTGTGCTGATGATGACAGTAATTGATGATTCATCATAAGATTCAAGAAACTGCAATGAAGCTAAAAGATGACTACCGAAAAGTACTTTTACAGAACAGGATATTTTTGGGGGGAAATCTTCCAAGAAACCTTCATCAAAAGTTTTTACTGATCTCTTCTCACATGAACCTCACCACCAAAACTCTTGAAACTTGGACGATGTTATCAGTTAAATCTTTTCACTCGGATTATTAAAATATACTTCAGTCCAAACATATCTTTGGGTTTTGTCATAATATTAAATATTAGCTTACATGAAAACATATTCCACAACAACAACTAAAGGATTATCAATCTGTTTTCATTCTGCTGCATCAACTCATACATTCGAGAACTGTTCATCCCTTTCTATTGGGAGATAAGAGAATACAAAAATAGAAGCAGAAAAAGCAAAATCCTGTGCAAGATATATGACAAAAACTTTCTCTTGAACAAGAGCTACACCTGAAATTGAAGCAACTTTAAAAACAAAAGTGTCTCCTGATATTTACCTAGCATTCACCACTTGCACACACAATTCACAAACAAGATTTCCCTCTTGCTCTGAAGTCATTGAGTCACAATTCATCCCATTTAAACTTATTCAAAATGCCGAGCAAATCCTGGAAAATGGTGACTGAAGGGGTTGAATAAGCTCCCAAAAGAATCTGATATAATGACAAACTGCACAATCTTGAGAAAATGCCATGAAAGATTTAGACACGTCTAAAATGAAAGGTTACACTCCCGTACTTACTTCGCACCTTATGTTTTCACTTTCTCATTCTTATGCACAAACCAAAAAAGTCTGCACTTAAAACATCATGAAATTTCAATAATAAACATACAAGATTGTGCTGAAAGCATATATCTTCAACATGTTTTATATTCCATGTAATAATGTAATGGATGAAATGGGACGTGTAGTGATGGCATGATGCATCATGATGAGTACATGTACATGCCATGCAGAATATCTGGGAACTGATAATTCAGCAACTAGGATCTAATACACCCCATACCAGTTATGTCCTTTACCACCGGGGTACAGTAGTTACTTTTAATGTTCACTTCTTGTCTCATTTTTACACATATTCCGTAATAATAAGTGAACTACTGTTTCAATTGTCAACTGAACTCAAAAAGGGTTGTTATACTTCTCAAACACATCATTGTCAAATTTTCTAACATATCTACACCATGGCAAAATGAATAAGTTGGCATAATACAAATTTGAAATTGGGTGGTAAGCCAACACCTAATCTACTTTTGGGTTCCATTTACAACAATCACTCAAGATAATCCTCTAAAATCGTAATGATAATCCACAGAAATGTATGAAAATGAATGTTCAAGAATAGATTTTGACCCCTTCAAACCAACTGAATATTTGTTATTGGTATATTCTTCATATTAAAATATCAACAGTGACATATAAGACTGAAATCACACTGAAATATTCTCAAGGAGCAGATGTGGTCAACTGCAGTAATTCACAGTGAAATATTACTGAAAAGAAACATTTCTGCAAGTATTTGATGCATCCATGGGTAAACAAGAACTAACCAACATTCTATGTATTCCCAAACTAAAATATATGGACCCAAAATGAAACATTACTTTTGTAATTGAAATAATGATCATGAAACATCAATGGATAACCTTGCCAATGCCAAAGTTGTATTACAAAATACTTCGGTAACCTAAATGTTTCTATTAACTCCAACACAATTAAGGGGATTGTGGATGGTTCTCTTTCCCTTTATCAAAGTTCCAGATTGGGAAAACCATGACTAATGATGAAGACAGCATGCTTTGAGTACTAAGAGTATGTTCTCTTTCCACAGAACTTGACAAAAATAACATGCTTCATGGCATCAGAACATGTCAATAACTATCAAAGTTTCCAGAATAATTTGCTGCTATAAGATCTGAATAAAATCCATTCCAATGAAGTTTGAACTTCAACATTTTATCTCATACTGGCTAGCAACCAGTTAATGCCTTGCTGTTGTTTATGAAATATTTATTGACACAAAGTCGACAGAACGAAGAACTGATTAAACTATGAGCAAAACTATATTTTCATTCAAGACAGTTCCAAGTAAAAGTAAATTTCTGTCATAAAGCAATGAGAGGGAAGAGACAGAACTTTCCCCTTGACTAACTGTACCATTGTTTTAACAGCACATGACATGTGATCACAGGCACCATTTCAATTATACAAATTATATTTGATATTATCTCTGATATTCCACTCCTTAATTTTATACATTTAAATACATAAGAAAATGTTTTCATTCTTCTGGCACAAACCAATATTCAAGCCTATCTGCAACACTGTGCTTCATGATATTTAAAGGGTAAGTATTATTTAAATAGCCAAATAAGATTTTTATTGTTGCAATTGACAAAATGTGTATCATTGCATGGTAGGATTGCTGTTTACTTGACACATCTTTCTTAAGTTGTATTTGAGCCCAGTGTCTCTTATTAATTTTACCAGTCCACTTCTTTTCCATGTTCTTAAAGATAAAAACATGACTATGCGTGTGTTTGTTTTTCATTTTTTATAAGAATAAACATATCAAATTACAATCGAACATGAAATATCAAATAACAGTAACTGTTGCATGTCAACCGTCATGTTACCAAAACTAAATCACAACAGTTTGTTTGGCTTTGTAGTACTTGTACAGTTATTAACTGTTAATTATACTTTCCTTTTTTTTAGTTTTACGAAATAGTTCTGTTGCTCTCGTGTAGTCGAAAAGATCCCGCCATATATCTGGAATATTGCTGAGTGCGACGTAAAACTAAACTTAACTCGAAAGGATCATCTGCATTGAAATTGATACAACTTTTTGTAAAGACGTTTATTTTAGTCGCAGCCTCACAAATTCAACAAAACATAACATCCACCCCCAGTTGTTTATGATTGTCATACCGAAACCATGGTAATTCCTCTTTCTACTCATTTCTTGATTTTCTGGATTTTGTTTCACGGATTGTTTTGCTGGAATCTAAAGTTGATTCTTTTGTGTTAACATCTAACTTTCATTTAGAACCAAAAGAAAACAGAGCGTTGTATGCCTTGAAGACTCCATTGTCAAACTGTATCTTAATTATCCCTTAAGTTTTTTTACTACTGGCCCCAATAAGAGTATTGCTGTCTGATACATTATAGCCTCACGCCAAAATGCCTCTCATATCATAAACATCTGGGTCAAGGCTAGGCGAGGCGTCTAGCCAAACACAATAATCATTTTGGGTTGTTACGAAAAGTAGACAGGGAATTCCATACACGTATTGCATATGGTGCAGCTCGATAAATTTACTAGACAGTTTCCTTAAATCATAACAGTTGCTGGTAATTTTCATTGCCTATTTGGTGGAAATAATTTAACCAGGTAAATCTATTGCCAGTCCCCAGGACTTGCTTGCCATAAATATACCGGTCCTTTGACGTTTTATCGCTTAACAGAAACACTGTCTGAGCAAGGTACTTATATGGTGTGGGTTTCATTTCCAAACAAATGTCAGCTTCATTCATTTTTGGAAAAATATTTGAATCTTCGTATGTGCTCAAATGGTATGGACTATTGGCAAAGAACACTGAGATTGATAATCTTTAACTAAATATAGATTCAATATTGATCAATTACCAATTAATATCGGAGAAGTAACTTTGAGCAAAATTGCCAAAATAGTCTCAAAGAAATTATCATATTTCATATCACTAGTCAATGGTGGCATATATATGCATGGATTACTAACAAAACAGCATTCTGAACATGATTTAGAAGCAGCCCATAAATAAGGACCTAACCTTGGGTATTGTGCAACTTCATGAGCACTATTTTATTTCATCATAATAATCTAGGAACATTATTCATGAAACATATTACTCTTCATATTGATAATCATTAATAACTCTTCCTATCAACAATGTTTTCGATTATTGATAATTTTGGCAAGTCCTATAAAATGGGATGGGTGAGTGTAGGTAATTGACCCTCAGTGATAACTGGTTGCTAGCAAGTACTGGTATCCTGATACGTTTTCCAGTTGATATATTCTTGACACAGGGAGTAACAAACGGTTATAAGAATTAAAGTCCGGTGGCAGTCATTGTAAACTTCATTTGCCAAAAATATCTACATTAGGTCGTTCAATTATGGAATGATGAACTTTGAGAAAGCTGTAACAAAATGAAATTAATATGTGATGATAGCTAGGACATACTACTATCACTTTCTTTTGGGATGTGTTGTTTATGAAGGGAAAAATACATATCTCAGCCCAAAAGTTATACCTTACGTTTTGCCCTCATACACTGTTAAATGTATGAAGTGCAATAATAACACATATAGAACTGTTGTTTGATGTATGTCCTGCAGCATATTTCATTTTGATCCATTTTTCAAATATTGATTTAAAATAGGAATGTACACCATTGTACATGTCAGCAGATATATGAGTATCAGATGTATGCACTTAGTATGTGCACATGAAGTAAAGCACTATCGAAGTGTGCTTGAAAGTATTTTGATATCTTAACATGAAGGTCAGATTAGTCAGCAGATACTGCGATGTACATGTGTTGTTACATGACAAAACACAAAACATCAAACCTTTGAGTCCTGTACCTTATTGACAAAATGTAAATAGTTTTTCCTTTCAAGTTGAATGGTTGAACAAATATTTTTCTTAGCACAAACATAAAGGTAAGAGTAGATACAACGAATGAACATAACCATCTCTACTCTCCCTGAGAAAGTTAATACATACGACAAACTATGTTTAGTAATTCAGTAAAAGTTGATGGATGAACATAATCTGACCTTCACAAAGTGTGTATTTAATGAGAGACTGAGAAAATAGAGTATGAAGATTATGTAGCATGCATGAATACAGAAAGGATGTTGTTACTCACAATTGAAATCCCCTGCAGGTGGCACGGCCCCAACTCCTAATTGATCACTGCGGACTCGACCTGGAAGTGCTGTGCCCTGCAATGCCCTTGATGTTGAGCTATGTAACTTCCTGTCTCTATCCAGGTCCTCAGCTCCTCGACCTCCCTATAAAACAAGCGCTACGCAGTAAGAACAGCCAAAAAAAATGGAATGAACATGCAAGCCTATACCTATTACAGAGTCTCATATGGCCCAAAGTTTTAGACAAATAAATATTGCGTGTAAAAGATGACAAGGGGGGAAAAGAACCTGAACATGTCACTATTTTCATGTATGAAGTTTGTGACTCACTTTTTAAGTTATACATTATGGACTGAGGAAACGTTTGACTTCATGGCATTTCTTGGCATAACTGGGTTTTCCAGAAATTTCCATTCTACTGATATGGGTTTGAGTCCTTCTTTGCATTAAGCATTTAATGTTAAGGAAGAAATTTGAAGGACAGGTAATGATATTTCTCATGGATAGAAATTTAATCATTATATAATGAACTTGAAGGTTGAAGAAAGTAATCAATGATATAACTTACACTTACAAATTTTAACATATTCCAGTCAAAGACGTAATCATATGTGAAACCCTGTCTGTGGAAGAGATTACGGAATAGCTGCCGTAAGTAAGAATAGTCAGGTTTGTCGTCAAACCGAAGAGACCGACAAAAATTCAGGTATGTGGCGAATTCCGCTGAAAATAAAGAGTCAAAACATAAGCATTACAATTGTTTTCCCCCATAACCATTCCCATCAACAGAACATTTGAAAGTTCTTTATGAAAAACATTTTCAATTATTATTTTTTTTTTTATGAACTGACAAATGTAAACCATATCCATGCCACATAAGAATAAGTAGTCTAAAAATTACAAGTGAATTTTCTGTTAGTTTCTAAAACTGTTGCTTCAAAACTCAAAGATATCTTTACACACACACAACAAATTGAAGAGGATTACCCAAGACAATATGATCAATTAAACCTACATGGGAATCCTTTGCACAGTTCCTCGATTGGCGTAGACATTTTCTTTTCACTGATTCTTTCATATTTTTGTCTTTTGGTGGCTGCTTTCAAGCCCTGCCAGGGCAGACTTCCTCTAAGGAAATACATGAACACGTATCCTAATGATTCCATGTCATCTCTTCTACTTTGTTCTGAAAAGAAGGAAAGATGATTTTACCCATCACAGAAAAGCACCAAACTATACATCTACATTTTCAAAGTTTTCCGTTTCCCAAAATATTTACAACATTGAATGGCTTATTTCTGGCATTAATCCAAACTCATATATTTTGTGAAAAACCATGGTCTGACGATGGAAACTGTTTTCTTGTATCGAACCAGCATGATATTTAAGTAACTGGTACCTACCTATTCCTAAATGTGTGTTTATACTGGCGTATCGTGCTGTTCCAGTGAGATTCTTGTTTTCCCTGTATGGTATGTGCTGGTGTGTACGAGCATCTCGATACTTTTTGGCAAGACCAAAGTCTATAATATATACAAGATTGCCTTTCTTGCCAAGGCCCATCAGGAAGTTGTCTGGCTTAACATCTCGATGAATAAAGTTTTTTGAATGTATGTATTCAATTCTGCTGATCTGAAAATTAAGTCAAAAAGAGAATGAGGCAAAGGTTATCACATGCAATAAACTTATTTCAATCTTAAAATAGCTCATTATTCAGGATGTAACACTATATAAGTGAAATAGTGGTTTGCTAACCACATAAGTGCCCCTCTATTCTAAAATTCAGTTTCTGGAACTGGATAGTCCTTTGCTGTCATTTATCTGCAATATACATTGTAAACTGACAATAACCTGATCAATTTACAAGATTTGAGATTGGTTACATTTGTATTGGAAGTATTGATTTTAATTGGTATGAGTGAGTGAGTGAGTATGGTTTTACGACACTTTAGCAATATTCAAGCAATATCACAGCGAGGTCACCAGGCATGGGCTTCACACATTGTACCCATGTGGAGAATCGAACCCGGTTTTCGGGGTGAAGAGCGAACGCTTTAACCACTAGCCTACCCCACCGCCCAATAATTGGTATGTGGAAATTGGATAAAAGAATGAAGTCATAAGTCTTTATTTTGCACTTTAACATATTTATTCATTTATAGATATTTTCATACCTATCACAACTAGTGTTACCTTATCTTCACAACATTAGGTCACTGATAGGGAAGATAACTTCGTGCATACCCATGGTTTCAATTGTCTGCACGTTACAGTCCAGATGACCCACATAAAACTGGACCATACAGATTAATGGCACTAACTATATCTGACATAAACATAACAGTTTTACTGTCATTTAAATGTATGGACAGAAAAGACCTTTTTATCACCACTTATCCTAAAATATTTGTCTTAAGTAACCCTTTATACAATGTTCAGTAATGGTGTCTGCAAACAAATATCCAATCTCACCAATTGATCTGCCAGTAATAGCACTGTTTTAAGACTGAACTTCCGTGAGCAAAAGTTGAAAAGGTCCTCCAAACTTGGACCAAGAAGCTCCATCACCATGACATTGTAGTCTCCCTCTGCCCCACACCACTTGATTGTCGGTATGCCCACTGAAACAGAGTCAAGCGGACCATGCTTCACGTACCTTACAAACATCATTGAAAAAAAAGAAGAAAATATTCAGTCCATCAGGATGAAAGACTGCTGTGAAACTGAGAGATGAGACACAACATGTTTCAACCATTTCTCCATTTACATGGCCACATATCAGGCAATGAACACAAATGTTTGTGACATGTATCTTCACAAAAGAAAACGAAACAACAGCAGGGCTTCCCTAATCCCATGATGATTCCCCAGCAAGTATATCAAGGGTCTGTGTAAAAATAATCAATGAGAATCTAAGGGAGAATGAAATATATTATTTGGGAGGTGCATAAGGACAATTCTTTCATTAAGTAACGATGAATTGAATCGAACATAACCTTTACAAAACGGATATTCACATGTTCCAAAACACTAGGTTTGATAAGAATGGAATGCATTCCTCTACTAATAAAACACAAATAGCAATAGTAACAAACAATAGTAACAAACAGGTCACAGACAGCATCACAATTACAAAAACATCTTACGGTGATGCTAAGTGTATAACAATCACAAATAGTGATCAGATATACCACATCAATGTTCCAATAGTAAGTTTACTAAGTGATTACTAATTACTTATGAATTGAAAATCACCATTGTCAAATCTAAATAAGTTATTTTTATAACATACACTTCCTATTTCTCAATATTTAATCATAGAAATAATTTTGTTAGGCCTAAAAAAAAGAGAGTTGTGGTTCCGATTACCCGACTGACCCTTGAATTCTGGTGCCGACCCTATCTACTTTACTTTTTACTTTAAAAAAAGTGGTATCACTGGTATGAATGAAAAAAGCTTTCAGAAACCATTGCTTTTTCCTGGCACCGACGGACATTGGTCATTCTGATAGAGAAAGTCAACATGATGGCCGCAAGCTTATATGAATAAACAATTATACATTGATTAATGTGTTATAAGTTTTTATGTTACTTCAAAAAAAAACTACAAAAAAATACAAAAAAAACTACCTACCCTAAATTTTAAAGAGGTGTAATTGGAACCACAACATTTTTTTTATTTGGCCTTATTGTTAATATCATGCACAACCATGAATTCAAGTTAGGTAGGGAATGTGTGGGACTGGACAACAATTAATGCATAAAACAAACAACAATAATACAAACTTTCAGACCTTGCTGACAAATTTATGATATTTTTTATGAGACTGATACAATAAATATTTAAATGAATTAGAAAAAAGCCACAGGTTACATCTGACAATCATTCAGTGAAATTTAATGCAATATTCAATAAATGTTAACCAAATATACACAAAACAGCCATGACATCTGTATGCATCATCCTTTAAATTACTCAGCATCTTTAAATATTTCATGCCAAATTCTTCATCTCTCATGCAAAACTGAAAACGTATTCACAAGCAACTGAGGAAAAAGAAATTATCAGCACCCTGACCTTAAATTCAATATTTTCAGTGATATCAAAATTGTTTTGTTCTATAAACTGCTGAAAATCTTATATTCCTCCCATCCTCTTCCCAATTCCTCAAGTGCTTTAATAATACATGCAAAAGTTGTTAGTTTTTTTAGATAAAAGGTTTTTGAAATTAAACATCTGGGGGCGTTTTTCATGATAGCCTGTCCATAGAAAAATCAAGCTGTACCCATAAATTGTTTGATAGAATGTGGTTATACATATCACATGTGGAAGAAAGCTATACTCAATTTTGAGATGACTGATCAATATTTTTTTTCAAGACCGATTATAAATACAGGACAAACTCACAAAGATCCCACTATTACATTAAAATAAATAGATAAATAAATAAATAAATAAATTTGTCATGTATGTTGCTCCAGACACTTTCCTACAGATATCATAATTCCAACTTTGTTCATGTATAATCAAAAATTTAACTGGCATGTCATCATATATTCTCATGAAATTACTGGCCACTGAAATATTCTAATTAACCCTGACCAGAGAGACAAGCGTTGACATGCTTCCAGTAACGGGCTGGCCAATGCTGCCTCTCGGGCTGCCAAGGTCCAGGCTGTCACCAGTCCATCCAGCCAAAACATTGATTAGATCACCCTAAGGTTAGTCCATGCAGCACTACAAAGAAATGAGAAACTCTTACCACCTCCCTGCATCATCCGATATATCTTGCTCTCGATGTGGAGCTGTGGGTGCTTGGTCTTCACACATTCTAACTTGATAGCTACTTCTTCTCCATTGGAAATGTCAGTACCTTAAAAATAGAAAGTAAAAATAAGCAATATATAACCTTTGAAAAGCTACGTACAAACAGTTGCCATTTCCAAACTACAAATATTTACCTGAGTATCAATATGTTAGAGTGAGGTGAGGCGAAATAGGGTTTAACGTCGTGCTTGAGAATATTTCGCTCATATGACGACGTGCATGCGTGTGTATGTGCGGCTGCTTGTACCAGCCCAGACTTAAGCTGGTTTTATAGTGTTAGCCCACTGAGATACCATGCCGCAGTGAAGCATGAATACCCCACTCAGACACATTATACTCCGAGCCGACCAATCCTTGTTGTACCCATTAATGCTGAGCACCAGACAGGGACCAACAAGTACCATATTTTAACGTTATAACCACTACACCACGGAGGCGGTCAATATATTAGGGAGGATTCACTGTAGAGTAATTAATACTAATGATTGCAAATGTATTGAGTAATGAAAATTGGACACAGCCACACAGCTTCTACCATGTATCATATCTGAATAGGAACATCATTTAAGTAGATGTGCAGCTGATATATTTTGAATGACTTTATAGTTTATGAAAAAAATTAATATCCTACCCTTCTACCTAAATTTTAAAGAGGTGTAATCGGAACCACACCATTTTTTTTATTTGGCCATGCCATTTAAATTCACACTTTTTCACCAATGTTACTGTAAACTAGCGGTCCAAGGATAACAAGGTGGTGATCAGATCGTGATTGTTGATAATGTGTGAAAGTGGTGAAATCGTGGTTGGAGCGAAAAACGTACCCTCACGAACATGGTAAGCGGAAGTTGTACGCACATGGAATGGGGTAAAATAAACAAGCCAGTTTGTTGACATGTGATCATCCAGCTACAATAAGTATGATATGTAGCGAAACAAAATATATTATCCATTTTCTGTCAACTACACTTCATTTCGAGGCGTGAATAGGCACAATATGATTGCGAATTCTTAGAACAATACGGACCGAAGTTGTAATTATTGGTAACTGCCAGTTGTCTGTGGTCAGAGTTGGCCGCGATTAGGACCCCATCGCAGGAGGTCCACTTATGTATGAAACATACCATTTTGACACTGATTTTAAGGGTCAAGTTAGGCCTGTTTATCTATTGGGTCGGCTTAGGCCTAAAAAAAAAAGCTTGTTCGATTTCCCGACCGACCCTAAATATTCCCGCCGAGCCTAACAATTTTACTCACCACATAATAAATTAAATTTATTTTCTGACACATGACGGCTGGGTTTCAGATTGTCATCGGCCTTCGGTCATAGTCCGATAACATTTTCAAATGACCGACTATTTTCTTACTAATTAGGACACTCGGGCCGATCGATAATTTCGATGTTATTTTCACATATTGGACCTAATAAATTACGAACATTATCATTTACGAATTCATCTTAAACTAACCACGAAATCTTGATCATGTTTCTGCGGCGTGTATGTATTCACGCATCCATTTTTATCACACTAAGCTACCAAATGTACATGTAATGGATTGCGCGATTGGCTGCTATTTTAAGCATTGGACAATCAGAAACGGGCTTTCCCGACCCCACCTGCATGTAACAATGTTTCAAGGAAATCATTAAATAAATCGAATAAACTAATGAATAAAATCAACAATAGCATTCATAAAAGTTGTCAAGCGTACATATAAAACTACTATTTCCATCTTTTTGTGCGATCATGCAATGCGAGTCAAGTCACTGACAAGTGACATCTTCGCCGCCTCAATCTTCACGCTTTGGACACGATGTTTAATGGGAAAATATATGCATGAAGCATTTTGTCACAGGTCTTAACCTAGCACGATACGTCCAATAAGTTGCATAATTTACGTATACATAGCGATTTCGTGCTTAATATGTTCGAATAGCATTATTTTACCCAAAACTTTCGCCTAAATATAAAAGTTTTAGTTCACGAGGACAGTATCCATTGCCGTAATATGATTGGCTGCCTCATGTCACGTGTCTGATTTTGACCAATCCGCGACTCTTATAGCAGACTGTGGCGAAAAGCGTCATTAGAAACCAATCTTTATCCAATAACATCGCTTCTTACAAACGTGAAAATACTCTCAGCAAGGGTATAGTGATATTGTTGATGTTCAGAGCTTTCGAACGATACCCGCCATCAAACGATTCGCCTCGCATGTTATTCATACGAAGCTTCGAAAACGGAGGTATTTTCCGTTGTTGTGTCATGTTACCGAGCGGAAAGCAACTGATATCGGGAAATAGGCGACCATACATATTATTTAAGAAATCTGATTACGTAAAAATGAAAATATAAAAGAAAAAGGCACGAGGATGTTATGACATGTCACAAATGAAAAAAAAAATCGCCATAGTTTTTGCTTCTTTTGTGATATTTCTGGACATTATAAATGCTTGCATTTTCATTAAAAACTCAATTTATTTAAGTTGTAGTTGTATTATTTGAAAAATGTTAGAAAAATAAATTTCATATTTATCAACAGTGGGATTAGATCTTTTAATTTTGCTGTATATCTAGAATCCAAGTTGCAACATTAAATGTCATTAACATTTTAGTTATATGATGGCATTGGGATTTAAAAAATGTCAAAAAGAGCTTTAGGTCAATGGCCTATCGCCAGACACCCACTCAGGACATTTGTCCTACTGATTTTTATAGGCTTCAAAATCACTGCATCATGAGTAATGTAAAAATATTTTGCAAAAAAACCCCAAAAAACCTACCTACCTACCCTAGTTCTGAAATGTAGGAAATCGTAACCATAACATTTATTTTTTTTGGCCTTATCTACGGTAATATATGGTACATATCCATATGGTTGGCTTTTCTTATATATATTTTATTTTCATTTACCACACTAAAACAATAGGAATAAATCTATATGATCATACAATGACATGGAGAATCAGGTATATGTGATCATAAAACGCACTTCCAAAAAACAATTATACTCAGGATGTTCACCAACTGTCTTTCAATGGCTACTATTGTTTCAATAACACTTCTATTCTTGTACATAAGAATACACTGACTTCAGACCTATCTGATATCTGACTGAAAGTATATATAAAAAATTAACCCTGGTATGTGTTATTCATAACAATCATCAGAGATCGGTGATTTTACTTATTAGACAAGTTTATGCTTCTGTGTTCTAACTTCTATAAATGTATGGGAACATGTCAACATGTACGTTTTGCATTAAAATCAAGTTCCTTTAATCAAGCTCTCAATAACAATAATTTAGCTTGAGATTAGTTAGAAGGTATACCTTCAAGTGATCGGGTATATATTATCATTTAAATTTGAGCCACAGGCTTACAATGTAATAAAAGCTGGGACACAAATTTCACGCTAGAAAAGCTCTCCTGATTCAGTTTGTCTATAGATTACATCCCTGCAAATGACACTTCAATGCCAAGCTTATTTCCAAGGATGCGCACATCTGAAAGTACTAAATGAGCACTGAATGGAAACTGTGCTGTTAGTGTTATTTGCAGAGCTCATAAGAGTAACAAAACAAGAAGACAAAGTCATCAATATCCCCCGCTACGGCAAAATACTCTTTATGAATATGTCTACTAGTTATGATTATGTCAAATGTTTTGGAGTGTATACAGCAAAGTGGAAGGAGAGTATTGAAAGGTTTTTAAGATCTGCTCCAGAAATTCAGTTGAAGCCTAACTTGTTGCCATGGAAATGCAACAAGATGACATCCCTCATAGTCACAGCCTAAGTCATATTTCCATGGAAACCACAAAAAATAAAATTCATATCTGGGTCAAACCCCCCAAAGGCACATCTAGTGATCATGCTTGATATGTGTACCAATTCTGATGAAACGCATGTATAATTTAGGAGATCTGCTCCGGACAAGATGACTTCCTCATAGCCACAGCCTAAGTCACGTTTCCATGGAAACTACAAAAAGTAAAATTCACATCTGGGTCTAAACCCCAAAAGGCACATCTAGGGATCATGCTTGAAGCTGTTATGAAGTTCAAAATTTTAGGTATTATTGTATGTTTTTTTCAACTGTTTGCCATCAATAATCATGATCTTTGAACTGACATACTGCCAAGGCTGAGTGTTTGTCTGGGTAGTTGACAAATATATACATAGGAATAGAATTCCTACATATTAGTACCTTCCATACTAATACATGCATCATGAAAAAGTCTAGACTTACGGTTGGTCTCTGAATATATATAATTTTGATAGAGACAAACAATTGCCTTAAATTAATTAAACTGTAAAGGAACCCCTGTGAGATGGGAGATTCAGAGCCTGAAGAAATCTAAGCTTGCTTCATTTAGGGCTTTAGCATTGCAGAAAGGGCTAGGCAGAAGGGAAAATAATTTCGTTCAGAGACTGTGAAACAGACAATAAAAGTCTTCAGTGTTCGAGGTAGGAAAATAAAGCTTAGCGTTCCTAAAAGACATAGCCCCAAGAATCTTGCGTGTGCATGCACCGCAGGTGGGCCAAGCTCCTCCCCAAAAAGTAAAATTTCCTTGCATTTCAGAGCTTCTTGTCCTCATTTGTAAGTCAAATTAGCTGAGAGAAACTTTATTATATTTTGTTGTTTCCTTGGGAAAAATACGATTTTCGGTTACTTGTTCCCAGTACACAAAATGCTTTGAGTGCAGAAAATGCAGGTAGAGAATATCATGTGTGAAATGTAGATTTATTTGCGTGAAACACACAGGTTTTTGTGTTAATGCAAACACTGGTCTTGTTATGTCTTGCAGTCAGTAATCTGCACTCTCAATCTCAAGTTAGCTGAAGGTTGGCTTTTACACCTACATAATTGAATTTTTTTTCAAGATTATCCAATGGCAAATCCATATTTACATCTATTTTCGTGGTACTGAAATTCTGGGTTCATCAATGTACACAACTCCTTTCCAGCAGGAATAGAAACTGGAACTAGTCAGTTCATCCAATGCAAAAGTTACCCTAAACATAAGGTAAACCCTTTCCAAGGGATCCATGTACGTAACAGGTCCTTAATTCGGAATTACAGGTAATTTTTCATTTTAAAAGTACACATTGGCAGCTCTAGAGATCATTACCAATATAGGGTTTTACATAGCTCTTCGAAACTGGGAGTCCTGGGGACTGAGGGCATATGTATTCTGAGAGTCCATTTCCAAAATTGGGAGTCCATCAATTTGCATGAAATCAATGATCATGGATGCTTCCCATTTGATAAAGATTAGGTTATAATATGTGTTACTTTCAATGTCATTGGAATAATGATTGGAAACAGAATGTTTATATTTTAATATGGGATATCATTACAAACTCATAAAGTTCTTTTCCCAGAAAGAAATTATATTGCATCCACAAGGATGCACAGGATTTTAGTTTGGGGGTACTTCATCAAATTTCTGCGTCCAATATGCAGGAATCACACGTCCCGTAAACCCTGCAATACATTTATAACAAAATTAGTAAAAAGGGCAACTAAGTCAACCTGACAAAACCAAGTTTGCAGACAATAGCCCATTACCCCCAAAGCTAACTTTGCTCTGCTTGCAAGTTCTTTCTCCAGAGGCAACATAATGGGTCTAGGATTATCACGGGACCTTTCTGAATTGTAAACAAACAAACCTATTCTGAAAAACAAAACTAATGTTCCTAATGCATGCCTTTTGGAGTGCTTCATATATTGTTTTGCATAATTATGTAATTACTATTGTACACTGCAAATGCGAAGTGCACAACGATATAGCTTTACACATCTACTTGATCATACTGCAGCTCTCAGTAGAGATTTGATTACAGCATGTGCAGTCATACAACGAAAGGATATACAAAGGATAACTACGCAAACAGAAACAGGTTTTCACGTGTCACGGGGTATTTTCACAATGAAAGTGAAAATAGTTTGTTTATCTCTGTGTGTACATGTGCATTAATTTGAATGGACTGTGTAAAGAGTGATAATGCGGCAGTGGTACTAGGCTGGTCACAAGCAACTTAGGACAGGAGCGGATAATGTAGCCATCTTCATAAAATGTTATCACTGTCATCTAGGATTTCATAAACACTGGCATCATATCAAATTGAGCTTGAAATTAATATTTAGCAGGGGTGGAAATACCTTGAAAATTGCTAGTGTACTCCGGAACAGTGGCACATGTAAAATCTCTTGCCCTGATAATTTTTCCACTATACCGGCCGTTTTCTTGTTGATTTTTCAAAATAAACAACATAATTAACATTGGAAAGTCAACTGGACACCGGCACAGTGTGATATACAAATTTGCTAGCCCGACACAGAAAAAAACACTGGACTCGGACGTCGGGCAATGTGTTATTTCCACCCCTGTTGAGTAATTCCTCTGTAGGACAAAATCACAAGTTTTCTCTCAAGTTAGTCTTCATTAAAATCATGGCTGAAGAAAGTTATTCTGCAAAGTGCTTCGGCTGAACCTTATGGGTTTCGTTGGAGAACTGAAAGGTGTGACATTTGTGACCTGGAACTGTCAGCATACTGACCCTTTACACAAGGCCCCTGGCCCAAAGACTAGTAAATTTCAGGAAGAGTGACTGCGACTTTTACAATCTGGTACCTTGCAACTCTAAAGCATTTAATTATTGTCGAAAAGCAAAAACAAACTTGTTCAATGAAATATATTAGTAAGCTAACAGTGAAAAGTTCCGAGGATAATTTTGCATTAACTTTGTTAGAGCAGCAAGTAAATAATAAACTCAGGATCACAAAACCAGTATCAGGGTAAGTGGACACACAATGAAACAGGTCACCACTTTTGACAGTGAAACAGGTCACCACTTTTGACAAGTATTTGTTACTGGGACATAATCAAACTGTTGTAATATTGATCTTTAAAAATCCAAAACGACTTGTGAACTAGTTGATTTGGTTCAGGTTATCCACCCATTGAACAGAGCAAGTAGAACAAGGTACACAAACTGGTACTAGGATAACCGAATATTATCTGCTGTTACAAGTATCTAAGGCAGTATGATTTCAGGCTTGCTAGGAGAAAATTCTTCCCTCTATTCTGGCTAGTTTCCCTGTAATTAATCTGACCTATACTTAAATTACATTTTCTCCACTGACTGCTTTAACAGCTGAGAAAACACAACATGAATTCTTTTTATCTTGCAATGGAGAAAGTTTGCAGAAAAATGTTGTTTTTAATTTTTAAATTGTACACGACAGCTGTCATAATAACAGGAGTGACACTTTGACAAGCAATTAGACTTGGAAGCTTTTCACATTATCATAATAATTTTTACTATTTTTTTCAGAATTTGAGAATGTTAGAATAACATGATTATTTCTAATATATATGCATATAAGATCAAAACGCAAGATACCTATCCGTCATAGACCTCCTGTTAAAACATGCGCGAGGGAAACATAATCTAGATTGACAACAGTCCTGTGAGTTTCCTCCGGGGATAAACAAACGTCAAATGACCAACATTATACCACATCTCCTCTAAGATTCAATTCTTTTGAATATATAAATATCTTGATGTTCAAAGGTCATGCTAACGTATAAAGAAACAGATCTGGTTGCAATAGAATGATCTGAACATGAGTAATATTTCGTCTACACGATCATCTGTTGTTTCGACAATGGCTACCAGTCAGACAAGAGCTCCACCTTCGTCTGATCTGTCAAACTGCGGTTTGACACATACTTACCCAAATAGATATCGCCGAATGATCCACTGCCTATCTTTCGCCCTAGACGATATTTGTTGCCAACCCGAAGCTCCATCTCCGCTGAAAACAAGAGGGGAATGGGATAATTAGGTATTCTCAACCAGGTCGCTGGAGAAACATTTTCCACTGATAAACAAAAACTACCAGAAAGGGTTGCGTTACAATCCAAGCTGCCACACTTACCTGTTCTGTGTAGGCTTCACAAAAATTGTCTCATTAGAAACCTAAGACATTAAGCCTTTGCTAGGTACTAAACAGACTCGGTTATTTCGGACTGTACTTGATAGATGCGTCCGATTATAATTCGTTCCATTTTGACCCTAGCACCGCCATTATTTACTTCCATCGGTTGGTTGCTTGACATACTACGCAGGCGCGATGCATCCACTTCCTGTGAAACTCCTGGATGACGCAAACATATTTCTTAGCATAAAAGGGCATAATTTCTGACATAATGAGAGAAAAAGTAATTTGTGTTTTTGAGATGCATTACGTAATTAGGTCATATTTCTAATGTACATACAAAATATCAGCTCAAAATGCATAATTTTCTGTAATTTGTAAATAGTTATAAAGTGTAAAATCTACTGTCTACCTTTTGTAGTAATCAACTGTTACACACATCGAGTCTTTTTTGCCCTTATTTAACTGAATTAAGCCGTCTTTCCAACATGGTCATGCTAAAGAAATAAATATTCATATTGTAGTTAATCCCGATGTATGGAATATTGTGACTTGTTTTCCCTTTTTTTAATTCTTCAAGGGATTTGAAAACTTGTGTCATATTTATATTGCAATTTTGAAGTTAATGATGGTACTGCAATCCCCGAGATCACGAAGTTTGAATAATTAAAAATATTTTAAAAATATTAGCATTTAACAGTTTGATTTTCGTCCACTACAATAAAACCCCTTAATATAAATATCATACGATTATATTGATATTGACATTGAGTGGGGGCACGCGTCGGAGGAGCCTCGCTATTCGAGCTTTGTGTTGATGTGGCAGAATTGTCACATGAGCGCCAGATATATATTTCTCTGATAGTGAATGATTACGTCACCTTCCCGAAGTAAACACGTTATCTACACCAATTAGTGACTTTTCCATGCATTTCCTACTGCTCTAGTAGATAGACGTCACTAGGTCCAGCGCTAAGGTGGTTTGAAAACCCGACGAATAATCAATATATAGACAGTTAATTTACCATCTTTCTTACTCTAAATTGTGTCCTTCAGTCTCACCTTAAACCTGACACATTTTTCAAGACCAACTCTTATGTGAAATTTACAGTTATATATTCTGAAAACAAGTCATAGATACATCCCTTCTGTATTCTACAATATCAACCTCTGTTTATCAAAATATGTGAATTATAATATTTACTGTCAGCTATTGGTTCCTTAACTATTATCGATATTGAAAAACATATTGATACACATAAGTAATTGCTATAATACTAGCGAGTGCCTCTATGTGAGTGTTGATACATTTGAACCGAACGAAGATATATATTTATGTATTCATGCATGACACAACGTTCATTTGAAACCAGCATGTGAACCATTGTCATTAAGAAACAAAATTAAAAATATACCGTCTTCCCTAATGGCGACATGTAAATTGTACATATAAATGGAAAGAATATTGCAAATACTGATAGTTATCTAAATGTCAGTCAGAAGGTCGCCTTAAGTTCAGTGACAACCTACATGGGTTATAGGTACATGGGTTATTGAAACATAAACATTCGAGTCATAAATCATCTAAAAGCGTGACGAGGCAGGTCATGTGATGATGTTGTGACAGATCGCCCACAGCATTGAGGACCTTGACGATCAAGCAAAAGTCAAAAGTAGTGTCTGTGTCTGTCTGTAGCGTCCGGACATAGAATGTATGTGGTTTTATATGATACTTTTAATTTATTCAGTTGTCCCATATCGTTTAAGATCCACGAGAGTGGTAAACAAAATTATGTTCCTACAGCAGATTCTTTTGTCAAACATTCTCCATACAGTTAGTAGTACATAAGGATATGAACCATCTGCACGATAGAAGGTGGGCCTACAGGTTAGATTCCCGGCTTCCAGGTTGTACAGATATTGAACCTGTACGTCCTGTCCAGACACAGACCGAAAGTTCTGCATACCTATTATTCGAATTATATGAAAGCGAGTCAATATCGGTCATCCTTTGTTGCAGGTCTGTATCAGCGAGGCCAAGCATTTAGTGTGGACGAAAGGCTGTGTCATGTATGCTAGTCCGTGAAAGGACACATAAAGGACGGGGCTTTGATTCTCGAAAGAGGATTCAAATTCAACCTTTGCTGTGTATGTATCTCAGTTTGAGTGGAACATTCGTTGACAGGTGGATATACACTTGTCAAATGACAACCATCCTGTTCCAACAAAGGGCTGTTGCATTATTCATGTTTATGCTTCATTTGCAAAACGCTTTACGTGTATACCTTGAATGCGTGCAGTGAAAGTCATGGTTACCCTAGTCTGTTTGCAGTGAAAACGTACCGATGAATTTCACTCTAAACAAAAAAGTAAATCGATTAAAGCGAAATTAAGATTGCAAATCCTCAGATTTTACCTTGCCAATTGAACATTCAAATCTCAGAATTGTATTCAACTTAGGATAAAAGTTGTTTAACAAACGATCATAGTTTCAAATCGCTATTATTGGTTTGTATTACAAGGGGGTATGCGCATTAGATGAAACACCGAGAACAAGTAGGGCTTGTCTAAGTTAACGCTCATCACGTACCGCACGTGCATTTGTTTCACTGTTCCATCTACTGCGCTTACCCCCTTGTAATACAAACCAATAATAGCGATTTGAATCTATGATCGTTTGTTAAACAACTTTTATCCTAAGTTGCATAAAATTCTGAGATTTAAATGTTCATTTGGCAAGGTAAAATTATGAGGATTCGCAATCTTAATTTCACTTAATTTGATTTACTTTTTTGTTTAAAGTGAAATTCATCGGTACGTTTTCACTGCAAACAGACTATAAATGAAAGCTTCCTATATCTACGTATCAGTTATATATTACAATAAAAAATCCTTCACAATTCTTTTTGTTCGTTCATTTGTAATGAGTTTGTCTTAAATTTAACCGTGGTAACACGAAACTTGAGGTGAGATTAGGTGAACGAGGGCTTAACGTAGCGTTCATGCACGTGTATGAATGTGTATGGCTGCTTGTAGTACTGGCAAACAAGGATAAGTTGGACTGGCGCAGAGAACGCGTTTATGGGAAGTAGGCGGTGCACGGCAATGAGCGAACACATTTATTTGGCTTGTGAAAGGTAGATCAGATGTAGGCTAGTGCACGTACATTACATGGCGATGGTGTAGCAAGTCGCACTAGACTTGATCGCGGACAACCTAGGGCCCTTTCGCTAACAATGGCGCTAATACGGGTCAATTGTCAGGTCGGTGCTCAACTTATCCTTGTTTGCCAGTAGTTCGGATGGTCTACTCCCATTTGTGAGAACTCCCAATTGTGAGACAGTGGAGGAGGCAATTGTTAAATCCCCGTCCCCTATCATGTACATGATTAAGCTCGTAAATAAATATGGCATGTATGACGTTGTTAATACATATATCACAACAGGTGTTATATGCTCTAAAGCAACATGGAATGATGTTGTCAAATCCAGAATTTGTGATTCTTATGAGAATTTGTTGTGACACCAGATTGCAGCGAGAGAGGATCTCACTAGATATTGTCTTACCCGGGATCCTTGTAAACCAAGCAGACTGTGGGAACTAGCTTAGATTAATAAGCATAAATTTACAAAAGCTCTGACATTATTCATGTTGGACAGTAAACAGATTGAATCCAGAGAATGTGTATGTGGAATAGTAGCTTCTGATACTGTTAAACATGTTATTATGTCGTGTACAGATCTTAATGATTTGAGAAATGAAATGTTTGAAAGGATTTGTGATATTATATCAATGTCTGATTTTGTTGAATTTCGGGGAAATGATGACGATGTAATAATTGCTGATTTGCTTGGTGGATCTTGTACAACACTTGGTAATTTAAATATGACAGAATGGGAGAAAGTTATGTTATTAGTGTCTGATTTTATGACAGTCTGTCACTCTAAAATATTTGCACAATTATCAGTCTACTGATTTATTGTATATTCAACTTGACATATTGTTGTAACATGTAACAATCTTCATATTTTTGGAGGAAATAAAGATAATCTATCCATCTAGCTGTGAAGAGAACAGAACAGACATTTTATTCTCACATATAATTTTATAATCACATTTTATAATCACATATAGTGACACAGACAACATACAGCATATTCATACATATCAAAACATTGAACAAAATCCAGTTTTGATCAATGTGGCCACTTTACAGCTAAGTGGTGAATAATCACATTTCATTAGATAAACATTATTTTCAATATCAGGATGTTTACAGAAATATTGAGGAAGAAATTGATGTTTAAGGGAATTTACTGCCGGACAGTATAATAAAATGTAAAGTTCATCGCACACAGATGATGTACAATGCGGGCAGATTCTATTACATCTTTCGATGCCGTACCAACGTCGTGTGTCAATGGGGAACCTGTGGTTTGAAGTAGGTATCTACATAATTCACCGTAAATCATAAAATCTGATTGCTTCACATTCTTCGAACTGGGTACAGAACATTCATGCGCTCCTCTGGAGGTAACTTAATGAAACTTTAAAAGATAAATTAATTAACCTACTCAAGTAAATGTCTTTAAAAGATAAACACTTTGCGTAGGTAACGTGATCATTTGAAAGAGAAATAAATTTACCGACTCAGGTTTACGTGTTTATATAATGTAACAATAACTGTTTTAATTATAATTAATATAAATGTTTTTATTAACCTTTGTCTGCTCATTTCGATCACCAAGCAGGGATGTCGACCTGGCTGCTCCATATCTTTGATAATCTATTTCATTATTTCTGTATCTATCGATGTTCGTTATTGAAAACAGTAAATGCTCTTTAACGAACAATGTCTTCTGTGTTAATTAACTCATTAATGAACTATGCCTCCTGTGGTGTTAGGCCGGGAAAGTCACATTTCAAATATGACTATTGACGGGAAGGCCACATTTCAATTACATGGCTGTAGCCGGTAAAGCCACAATTCCAATAGATGAATTAATTAATGGATTACCGTAACCGGGTGCTCTTCAGCAACAGGGCTGTTCCCACTTTCATTGTAGGGATGTGGAAACACCACCTAGGTGCACTCAACCATTAATTAATGTGATTACACAGTGCCATTTAGAAAGGACTTTGTGTGCTGGCGTTTAGGTGCCTGACTCTGAGGGTGTGAGTTCGAATCCCGGATGGGGCTCAACTAAAAAAAAGTACTAGAATTTGTACTTTACTAACAAAGTGTAATCCCAAATAAAACATGTTACATTAAGTAATGTGTGTCACAACTGGGAGTTCTCACAACTGGGAGGACACCGTTCGGATTAGTACCCCACGCAGACACAATATATACTGACAACAAACCGACCAGTCATTGCTGCAGACACCAAGCAACGTCAGAACAAGTAACATCTTCTACCGTCTTTTGGTGATAATGGACACGTTTCACGTAAAACTATGAGATGAATGCATTAAGATAAACTCACTCACACTATGGGGTTACATTACTCCCCCCATACGCTAATTAAGATATGCAAGTCGTAACGTTAAGACCACATTGCGGAATGAGACCTACATCTAAAGTCTCATCTGTGTCGGTTGACTTAATACTGCTGCACAGAATGATAAATACTAGGACTGCACGGTATGACCGTTTTATACGGGTTTATCGCAATAAGCTTTTCAAACGGTACGTATTGCAATATTTTTCTTTCTGAGAACCGGTATATTAGGTAAAGAAAATATTTGAAGTTTTGGTGATTATCTTAAAGTTTAAATTGAAATTTACACTTTCATTCACAATAAATGTTTTCCTTCGTTATTCAATTACAAAACGCCACACTGTGATACAATAAACTGTATAAAAAAACAAAATAGAATCCATGACTATGCAACCTAAGTTTGAGATTGCTGTTATCAGAACCATAAGATGTATGTGTAGGGACTTACAATGTAGAAAATAGGATCGACATGTACAGTTAGTGTCACTTACTCTCAAACACTTCAGTTCCCAATATATCGCAATACGGGTACCGGAATCACAATTGAATATCTCGCAATACAATTTATTTACCAATATTCAGCCCTAATTAATACATAATCATATTTAACATTATACGTTCAGAAGTAAAATATGAGGGCTTGGAATTTGTCATCTGCGAACGGCTTCTCATATATCTTTATACAAGTTCATCTGTATGCAATTCACGTTCTCAATCAGGATGTGCACGCCCTTAACACATTATATGAGTGAGTGAGTGAGTGAGTGAGTGAGTGAGTGAGTGAGTGAGTGAGTGAGTGAGTGAGTGAGTGAGTGAGTGAGTGAGTGAGTTTTATCAATATTCCAGCAATATCACGGCGGGGGACACTACAAATAGGTTTCACACATTGCACCCATGAGGGGAATCGAACCCATGCATTAGACGTGTCGCCGGCAATGTATATACATGTTATTATATCTGTGCACAGTCTCGTTCATACCTTAGGAGGTTTACATAGATTATCATTTATAACAAGGGCAGTATACAAAAGTTCCTCCGAAGAATATAATGTACAACACACAACGGCATCTAAATTATACAATATCATCCACAAGATCTAAGATAAAATCGTATGGATACAATATAAATCCAACCAGAGACCATATAATTATATGGTCTCTGATCCAACCTATTAAATATCACCTGAAATATACAATCTAATCCATACAATATCATCCACGCTCATCTTCGTTATAACATAAAATCGGCATCACACAATGTCGTGTATACAATCTTATCTGTACACTGTAACCTGCAGTATATTCTAATCTATTAAACATCATCGTAAGCATCTATAGTCATGTAGATAAAAGTGTGATGCTCATAACATGACCGATATATAAATATATTGATGCAGAAATTGCAATACTATGTTACATGTACATGTATTGATTAAACCTCTAAAACATTCACGATTATTTGTTATTTGTTGTTCGGGATCGTTGAAGACACCATGTTTTCGACGTTTCTTGTTATAATTTGATAAAGATATCTGCAAATTTGCTTCATTTTGAATTCACTTGCTAGCCTAGTGGGTAAAGCGTTCGTCCGTTACGCCTCAATCCAGATTTGATTGTCCACAAGTGAATGAGTGAAACCCATTTCGTGATATTGCTGGAATTGTGCTAAAAGCGGCATAAAATCACACTCACTCACTCTCATGTGAACAACACCGGCAAACAGGTAAAATCAACGGAATCCATGACATTAAACGTTTCCGTCGGTGAGAACAATGTAAACGTGAGTTTAGAAAAGGCCACTTGAAAACAATGTTTCAGTTTATCATTAACGACCGTAGTAATTGGCCAGCCGCCACGCTGGTTGTTTATTTGTTCGAGTTCTGACGAATTTGGGTTTCATTTCTGGGTGTTTGAAATCGGTAAAGACAAAGCTGGCGTTCCTAAGTTTCTCAGATAGTTTGCACATACACTTAACACTTAAATAACACATTTGTCTTTTGTGTCATGAACGCAAATAATCATTTCCGTCAATTTAAGGATCCGATTTAAAATGATATTTTGTGCACATGACATATAAATCGGTATTCAAACTTCAATTATACCATCATTAGTTAAATTAGATTAAATGTGAGAACTATTATCATGAGTAGTTAATACTGATTGGACTTCCGCTTTGTTTGTATAGATTCACACAGATTGGTCATGAGCAAATAGGACCGTGAACTGACGTTCTCATACAAGGGATGTTTACCGCTAAACACTTCCAAGGCGTGCGGTACAAGAGTTACCGTTCTTGATTTTGTTACAAGACGTTTGATTGGCTTAATGTAATATGTAAGCCAATGAACGTTACGTTCAGAAATATTAACCAACATGGAGGAGCAGGTGCTTGTAATCACATGAAATCCTCAAGTGTACATACCATTTATGTTCAGTATGACACATTTACTCTAAGTCAAGAGAAAAGAAGTGTATGTATTTTCGTCCTTATAGTTACTGAAAATGAAAGACCTGTGTTGAACTAAATTGGATGATTGAGACTCAATAATCACAGTATCGTCAGTAAGCTGATGGCCAAGCAACTTACGCTGAAGGGTCTCGTTGTCGGCACAGGTACTACAGATACGTACCCCAGGTACGTTTCTGTATACAGATATACCCTAAACAAAGTCAAAATACAGAAACGTACCCGGTACCCTAAAAGGCGGACGAGTCCATATTCCGCAATCTAAAACCGAAACCGTAATAATATATCGTCAAGTCACATAAGTTCGATCGTCATGTAACTTCGATCGCCCATTTTGAATGGTAATTGTCGCAATACGTAGCGATAACTTACGATATCTGCAGCTTTGATCTTCTGGTGACACCACTTTTATTCGTTTGGACCGGAAAATGTTTCGTGTCAAGTTACCAAACGTAAGTTATAGCTCATATTCAGCAAACAACTACTTTTTAACCCTAGATCAATAATGTAACTTTATCAGCTCCAATAAAATGTAAACAGTACTTATTTCACACGTTGTAAATTGACAGCACCCCTGTCTTCTGTTTGTTTACGTTGCTGGTCTAATTGTGACATGTCCAGACACGTGATATCCTTGTCAAAATTTAAAACTTTGGAAACAAGTAAGGGCCATTTCTTATAGAAAACTTAATGCTTTTTGAGAATTTCCGTGAATTTGTACCTGATGAAGTTCGAGCTATTGCCTCATTGATAAATACAACCTTGGCACAATGTACCCACCCTACATGTCAGCACAGAACACATTTACGTTTCTGCAAGCCAGTTCGTGGTGTTTGTCTACATTCTGAGGTTTGATGCCTGTCACGATGTGCCTGAAGAATAATTTCCTGCATAATACTTCTATATAAGCTGAATATTTGTGACTTTTCATCGTTTTTAGAAGTATTGAAACATAAAATGAACGTTTCATGGACATAAATACCATAAAATTACTTGGGACTGCTCTAACTCTGAATTTGACACAAGAAATCGCCCTTACAAGTCATCCTGTTTACGTGACTAGCCAGCCAATCATATGATCGAACTTATGTGACGTAGCTTTCTGGGTCACTTGTGTTGACAGTGAGAGGGCGGCCATGCCGCGATTGAAAAGCAGTAAAAATACCTGGATTTTGGAAATGTTTGACATAAATAAACAAGTTTAGAGGTAAGAGATTTGAAAATAAGATTATATGAATATAACTTTGAAAATTCAGCGACAGTTCTTAAGTGATCGAACTTACATGACACAAGGATATTATTATTCTATTATATGGTCTCTGGTTCAACTGATTCCGAGTGGTATTCAAGTGCATCGCGAAATATCCGTTACTGTGTATTCTCATTACTTACATAACGCAATCAAATGTATCTAATACAACAGTATGACAGTTCCAGTCAAGAATACGACACAATGGGAATGGAATCGTCCTAGGGTACGTTTCTGTATTCTCATTATGGCCACAGAAAGGTACATATCTGTAGTACCTGTGCTGACAACGACCCCTTCAGCACAACTTACAGCCCATGATGAAACGTTTTATATCGGTTCGACAGTTTATAGTCAACGAAAATGGCGTGGTGTAACCGTAGGCTTGCCTAAAAATTTCCTAATAATTTCAATTGTATTATAATTAAATCATTTAGCGATGCACTGGAGTGAAGGGTGTTTTTAGCAGAGAGCCGCGATGCGGTCCTATACAGTCAAGACATGACCCTGCATCGCAGGGTCATGTCTTGACTGTATAGGACCGCATCACAGCTCTCGGCTAGGGTGTTTTGTGTTTATGAGAAAAGGATATCATGTTGAGTTTCTTGTTTTAGTTTTAGAACGAGATCATGTCTGACGATTCTAAGAACCAAGGTTTGCCACGGGGCTTGATTGGGAGGAGAGGTGCTCCTACGGGCAAAGCAGCAAGGTATGTTCACGTGTCCGAGAGCCTGGACTCCATCGTGGCTCTTGGCAAGTTCGTTTGAAATGACAAGCTACAACTAGATTTTGAATAACAAAGTTGATTAGATAGAATTAACTGACATCTATGATGCATGCCTCTACATGGAGGAGAGGGAGCTGGTCAATCTGAATAGGTCAATTAGTGGCATTAATCCTATCAGATTATGACCCTGGATTTGTGGACAACAAGGATAATTTTAAGTTCCCTGGTACAAGACTCACCATGGAGACTAAGTACTCCTAGGTTTTTTGGGTTGACTTTTGATTTAGGTAGATCCTTACCAATTCATGAACGTCTTATTTTTGGTCTGGCTGGTTGTAATGTAATTGAACTACATTTTGTGCAAAAACAACTATCTATAACTGATTTTATACTGTTTTGGGGACGAGTGAAATAGTAGCCATGGGGCTATAGAGATACTGACTCCTTGCAAAACTGAAATTAAAAAATGTCTTAATGTTTTAGAACAAAAATTGCCTTATATTAGAGAACATGGTCCCATTTATTAACTGTTTCAACCTAACCTTGTCTAGTCACGTAGCAAGTGGCCATTGTTAACATTTATTCTTTATGTAAGCTAAGTTCACAATGAGATGTTCATGACATTTATATTAGCATTAAGAAATACTCATCTCCATCATATGCAGTAAGTTCAGTAAATGTTGATGCAATATCATTTACCATACTTCATGATTTAATCAACACCCTGCTTCTAAATTAGTTGAGGGTTAGGATGACCAAACTGTCTAAGGGTTTTTCAAATTGCTGTGCAGAGTTTCAGCCTTAAGGCATGCCAGAAACCTATTGTGGGTTCAAATCTGGGATTAGCCCTGATTATGTTTATTGGTTTGCCTGCACCGCATCCAAACTTTGGATTTCATCAAAGTGAATATCTGATACCTGCATCAGATTAGACTTTCTTCCCATAAGTTGAGTGTCCGCCCGGAGAGTGGAAGGTCGCGAGTTCGATCATACCAAAAGACATTAAAATATGGTTCTTGTTGTTCCCTGCCAGATGCTCTACATTAATAGGTACAAAAAGGACTGGTCGGCTTGGAGTCAGTATAATGTGTCTGAGTGGGGTATTCATGCTTAACTGCTGCATGGTATCTCAGTGAACTAGCACTATAATTTTATAAAAAAGCTTAAGTCTGGGCTAGTACAAGCAGTCACATATACATACGTATGCACATTGTCATTTGAGCAAAATATTCTTAAGTGCGACGTTAAACCCCATTTCACCTCACCTCACCTCACCTCACCCACAAGTAGACACGCAATGATTTATCTGAAATGCTGTTCAAAGCAACAATAGAACCAACTCATTCACTAACCTAGTCAACAAGTTTAATCACTGATGTTGTTTTCCCTATACTTAATCTTTCAGATTGCCATCTCTGAGGGGACCCAGAGATTTAACTCTTGGTGGTGTGCCCAAAAAGGTATTCACACCTAATATTCCATCAAGAAGGGATAAACCAAAGGATGAGTAAGTATTTATGAATATTCCTGAAGTGAGGATTTGTTTAGTCTGCTCTGAAAAATATTTTATGTTCATAAAGTGTTATACATTGGATACATCTACACTACAACTAGTAAAAGCGAGACTCAGCTCAGCCAAGTGTGCAGTCATAGGAAATCTGAGCCAAGTAATTCAAATGCAGCATTGTTTACATGCAAGCACAGATTTGTGAACTGTATATTATAAAAATATCCAACTGTCAATGGTCACCCAAAGTACACAGAAACAATGGCACACACACTGCAACACATATGTTAATTTGGCACGTTTATGCCATAGTTTTAGACAAATTTGAGAAAATTCTAAATAAAGTGCTCTTTCTTGGGCATACTGACCCATGAAGGTCCGGGTTAGAATATTGGCCTTCAGTAACCCATGCTGGTCGTAAGAGGCGACTAATGGGATCGGGTGGTCAGGCTAGCTGACTTGGTGGACACATGTCATCGGTTCCCTATTGCGCAGATCGATGCTCATGCTGTTGATCACTGGATTGTCTGGTCCAGAATAGATTATTTACAGACAGCTGCCATATAGCTGGAATATTGCTGAGTGCGGCGTAAAACTAAACTCACTCACTCCAGGGGTGGAAATAACCCATTGCCCGACGTCCGAGTCCAGTGTTTTTTTCTGTCGGGCAAGCAGATTTGTATATCACACTGTACCGGTGTCCAGTTAACTTTCCACTGTTAATTATGTTGTTTATTTTAAAAAATCAACAAGAAAACAGCCGGTATAGAGGAAAAATGATCAGGGCAAGTGATTTTACATGTGCCACTGTACCGGAGTACACTAGCAATTTTAAAGTTACTTCCACCCCTGTCACTCACTCACTCTTGGGGATACTGTGGACTTGTGACTATAGGAAGTCATTTATATATTTAGATGATCACAGAACTAAGATCATAGAACAAGATCTTCATGTATTGTAGCTGTAAGTTTTTAGTCTTAGTCATCATGGGTGCATCATGATCTTATTTTTTTTTAATGTTCTATCAGATACATGAAAATGGTATTAACGTCAGCTTACTCATGTCAGTACACTTATTCCTCGAATATTTACTGATCGCCACCTATAGCTGGAATATTGCTGAGTGTGGTGTTTAGGGCTGGGACGGGTAGGAAAAATTGGAATCGAGTACCCGCATGTACTTACACGAATCGGACTCGAGTACCCGGAAATGTAAGGAATACATAGCTTCAGTCAACTTTCTGAATATTCAATCACGATTTGACAGATATTATAACAGAAAACCTCAAAGGATGGCAATGAGACATTGAAACTGATCTTAGGCTATTTGATTTACGTCTGTTTATATACTATTATAAAGAGTAACACCATTACTTACATTGTTACTTAAAACACAGAACATTTGTTAAAACACAGAACTTTTCATTCCCGCTGTTACTGTGATTTGACTACTCACTGCTCATGCGCAGATAAATTACCGTCGTTGATAATAACCTCCATTAACTGGACAATGCCAAAAATGTGTGTTACGTTAATAATGAAAAAGACCAGTTATTCATTCAGCCAGTAGACAACTACGTTCATGTGTGATATTCTAACTGAACCTATAATGTTTTACATGCAGACTTTATGTAAACTTGCATAGAATACAATTTGATTGATGTATTTACTGACTGGAGAATTCTGTACGAGATATACAGATAGGCAAACTGTAATGCAACTGAGTTAAGCAATATAGCAAAATGCTTGGCTCGCATCTGGGAAGACTGGTCATTTTGCTCTGTTGCGCAATTCCCTATTAAATGAAAAACAAAACTATTGTTAAATCGATATTCTAAAATTGTATCTATCTTCATTGGAATAACTGTATGCTGATTATTATTTGCTAAACTATAAAATGTATATGTTACGTGAGTTCTGCTTCTATTTCTGATCATCTTTCTTCTTATTGTAATGATAACCAGTCGAACATTGTATTTGCAAATCAGAATGTTAATTCCTTAGTTTTAATTGATATTCCCAACAATCATTTAAATGCAATCTCTTTAATAGTCAATGTATTCATGTTAAACGCAAATGTAAAAGCTGTGTTTCATGATATTGAAATAAAATAGAAACTAAAGACAAAATTCAATGTACATGTAATCTTAAAAGCTTGATAAGCAATGAACACAAATACACAATGTAATGAACACGTTTATTGTTTAGGTTGTGTTTTAGTACAAGATGTTTTTGCTTTGACCTTGTACAGCTTCCGCAGTAGATTGACATATTAGATTGAAAAACCGTATGGGTCTTCAAATTTGTAACTGTGTTAAATTATGAGATTAAGTATATCCTGATCTTGGCGTGTCAGCTTCATAAGGGATGAAGCCCAGGAGTAGCGCAAGTCCCACACCTTCACCACTTCAGTAGAATTCACCAGCAGGGTCTAACACTGATCAATCTCAAAACCATAAGCAGACTGTACTATCAATTTCAGACATGATACCACAGAGTCGGCATTTGGTTCTCTTGCCATTTGCATCAAGCTCAAAATGAGCCCAAACACTCAACTTAGCATGCGTGTCGTCCATGTTGCTCTAGGTTAGAGTTACCTGCCCTTGTCATTACTGAGTTCTCTCCCTTTCCGGGTACTCGATTCCTTGAAAAAGGACTCGATTTCAGCTGTACCCGAACCGGATTCGAGTACCCGAGTATCCGTCCCAGCCCTAGTGGTGTTTAACAATAAACAAAACAAAACACTATTTAACTTGACCCCAAAGAGGCCTATGGCAATCTCTGGTATTTACATAAAACTGCATTTTGCTGGGACCAGAATTTGATGCCAGTTGAAAAGAGTTCTGAATAATTGTGTCTCGATGGAGTTCACTGAATGGACTGTGGAAGAATCAATATTCAACATATTGTACATCCCTTGTTAATCATAATGCTGTGTGACTGTGGTCAACAACCATATACTTTGTGTTGTGTATCGACACCATTGTAATTTGTTTGTAATATGTTTCTGTCAGTGACTCTAGCAGTGGTACACCCAAACCTCAGTCTGCTGCCAAAGACTCAGGGAGAAGCAGAGGTCGTGGAGGTCGTGAACGGGGTAGAGGTCGAGGAAGGGGTCATGATAATGTCATCCAATCACAGTCTATCTTTGAGCAAGGACCTGCAGATAGACTTGTTCCTAAAGTTGGTATGTAACATACTGTATTTCTACCTTGACTTGTGAAGTTGTTACTGTGAACATGTTACGTCTGTTGGTGAGCAAGTGCGTGTGGTGCTTTGCCATTTTTAGCAGTATTCAATCAATATCATGGAGAAATTGGCTGCCTCATCGTACAAGGGGAACACAAACTGAGTCTTTGGTATGACAAGTGAATGCTCTCTTTGAATGAGAGAATACTAATATGGATAGACATGTTATGGGAGCTCTAGGTTGTCTACATGCTAAGATATCACGCATATTTATGAGCATCTCAGAAAAACATGATGAAGCCAGACTTGTTGCTTGTAGTGAGTAAGAGACAACACATGCAAATATCTGTGGTTTGTATCCTGGATAGCTAACATATGTCATTTCTTATCATATTTATCTGAATTATAGAATATTAAATGTTTCAAATGATTTTTCTGAAATATTAACTGTGCCTTATGTAATATTTGTTAGTATTTAAGAGCATCAAATGTCTAATGACATGAAAAACCTGAAATTCATTTCTGTGAACATGGTAAATACCAATGTTTCCATACTGTAGAGGTATCAATGTCTATGGCCTGCTTGGCTCTTGGCTATCTGTGTCGGTGGCATTAAACTACACTCCCTCTATCCCTCCCTCACTCACTCACTCCAAAATCAAGGAATGATGAAATGTGATGTTGTAGGAGGCGCTTCATGGGACAGTGGTGATCGAGTGTCAACATCTAGGATGAGTATCAAGAAGGAGAAATCTGACAAGGACACCTCGAAGAGAGTCCTGGATCAAATCCTCAGGGATGATGTGAGAAAACACTAAAAACTTTCAGTATTAATTAACTAGGAAGTAATTAGGAATGCATTTGTAAAACTTTATACATGTATTTGAGAAAGGATTAATTTTGGGGGAAATGTTTAGTATCAAGTGTCATAATTATTACCTAAGGGTCACGTTATCAAAGTTGATAACACAGTAGCATAGGCACGTTTCAGTGCTATGTTAGGCCAATGGAATAAGGTAAAGGTGTTGAGTGTTGAGAATACCAACTCTTGCTGTGTTTACAGTTCATTGACACAGACAATCTGGATGATGATGACCCCAATCTCATCCCCGTGGTGTTGCCTCTCTCAGCAGCTGGAGATATGGTGGCCAAGAAGGAAGTTAAGGAGGAGGAGCGAAAAAAGGTCAAGGACACGGTCGATGGTATAAAGGGTAGGTGTCAAACTCAAATATAGTCACCTTGATGCATGGCAAAACTGATGACTCTGAAACTTCAGGATTTCTAGCACCAGAATGTAGCGATTTTGAAATCTAGGTATTATATGGAACATTGCAATCAAATTCTGATTTGTTCATAGCAGTATATAACATCAGAGTCTTAGAGGTAAGTATTCATACTAAAAGGCTTTTGTGTCAGAAATCACACGGCACAGAGAATTCAAAATTCAGAATCAGTTAAATTCTGATTTTATTTGGGAATGAAAAGAAACAAACATGATAATGAAGGAGAAATGTTAATGAGGTTTTTACAGATTCGTTGATCTATTAATCACTTGGGTATAATTTCAGTTGAACCAGGCACAGACATGGAGGTTGATCATCCTGATGATGGAAACACGGCAGAGAAGCCAAAATCTGCTGATATTTCTATGGTCAAAATGGAGCCTCCTGTGTTTACATGTAAAGACCTTCTATCCAAATGCAGTAATTCAGGTACCAATTCATAATACTGTATTTGTATAATTGTTTCACAATTCTAAAATATTCCAAAGATATAAACACCTATTCAAGAGGGTTATCTCTTACAAAAACAACAACTCATGAATTACCTCCCCTTAGATCAGATCAGGGCCCTGTTCCTCAAAGCAATCATAACCCTGAGACGATTGTAACTCCCATACTTTAACATAGACTTATGACCGTTGTAGCACTATGATCACTTTGAGGAATGAGGCCCGGGCCAAACGAGTTCACTAATGTATTTTGTCTGCTTTGTGATCCTCTTTCTATAGTAAATGTCCATGTGCTTACCTCCATCAGAAAATTATTTGTCATTCAGTAATTCTATAAAAACAAGGAAAAGCACAAGAAGACAATGAGGCAAATTCCCCGTCACATCGGTTGTTTTAGGCGGATGGTCACTGTTCAATGCAATTCGTCCCGTGAAGCACTGATTCGCACGATAGTAACAACATGCTAATGACACAACACATCCTTCAGTGTTAAATCAACCACAGATTTACCCCTCCAAGGGAATTAGTCAAAATACAGGTTGTTAATTGTACGTACTTAACATCCTTATGTACAGATTACGAAGGAAAGGATTCTGAGGGTGTGTTTATGTATGGTGGTCCTACGTTTTCGCAGGGTGAGGTTATGTATGGAGGTGAAATGAGTGAGTGAGTATGGTTTTACGTCGCTATTAGCAATATTCCAACAATATCACGGCGATGACCACCAGAAATGGGCTTCACACGTTGTACCCATGTGGGGAATTGAACCTGGGTCTTTGCCATGACGAGCAAAGGAGGTGAAGTACTTGGCAGGATGAGTTTATGTATGGGGATGAAACGTCTTGGCAGGGTGAGTATGTATTGGGGTCAAATGTCTTGGCAATATGAGGTAATCTCTGGAGGTGAAATGTCATAGGGTGAGTTTATGTATGGAGGTGAAACGTCATAGGGTGAGTTTATGTATGGAGGTGAAATGTCTTGGCAGGGTGAGGTAATGTCTGGAGGTGAAATGTCTTGGCAGGGTGAGGTGATGTATGGAGGTGACATGTCTTGGCAGGGTGAGGTGATGTACGGAGGTGACATGTCTTGGCAGGGTGAGGGATGTATGGAGGTGACATGTCTTGGCAGGGTGAGGTGATGTATGGTGGTGACATATCTTGGCAGGGTGAGGTGATGTATGGAGATGACATGTCTTGGCAGGGTGAGGTGATGTATGGAGGTGAAATGTCTTGGCAGGGTGAGGTGATGTATGGAGGTGACATGTCTTGGCAGGGTGAGGGGATGTATGGAGGTGACATGTCTTGGCAGGGTGAGGTGATGTATGGAGGTGACATGTCTTGGCATTGTCAGGTTATGTCTGGAGGTGAAATTTCATAGGGTGAGTTTATGTATGGAGGTGAAACGTCATAGGGTGAGTTTATGTATGGAGGTGAAACGTCATAGGGTGAGTTTATGTATGGAGGTGAAATGTCTTGGAAGGGTGAGGTAATGTCTGGAGGTGTAATGTCTTGGCAGGGTGAGGTGATGTATGGAGGTGAAATGTCTTGGCAGGGTGAGGTGATGTATGGAGGTGACGTCTTGGCAGGGTGACTTGATGTATGGAGGTGAAATGTCTTGGCATTGTCAGGTTATGTCTGGAGGTGAAATTTCATAGGGTGAGTTTATGTCTGGAGGTGAAATTTCATAGGGTGAGTTTATGTATGGAGATGAAATGTCTTGGTAGGGTGAAGTAAAGTATAGAGGTGAAATATGTTAGATGCGTATTGCAGGGGTCAAATGTCTTGAAAGGGTGCGATTATATTAAATATCTGAGTGTTCAATGTTGCAGAGGACGATAGATTGCTGTTTTTCCAGCTCCCAGACGTCCTGCCTGGCCTGCCGCCAGGTCGTGACGAGGTTGTTAAAACAAAGGTCAAAACAGAGCCAGGCACAGAAGCAAAGAAGGAAGAATCAAAGTCAGAAGAGGTAGAATGTTTGTTGCTTGCATAAAGGGTCATGTGAGATTCCAGTTTTAGTCTGGTGAGATTCATCTAAAATGACAACATGTGGACTGATTTTCATCCCTTAAACAGTGTTGTATTGATGGTTCACTTCATATAAATTGTCCGTTATTGTCTGTTGCAGGACAAACTTTCTTCTCAGATAAAGACATGCTCTCTGTCAGACTTCTCAGAGGGCTTCATTGGCAAGCTGCAGATTCGTAAATCTGGGCGGGCAGAACTTGTGCTGGGCAATGTCACTCTGGATGTGTCCGTTGGTACACCATGTGGATTTCTCCAGGTCAGTAAATATAGTAACGTGAAATATATGTATTAAAATATGTATCAGACTCCTTGGTGTTTGCTTTGCATGAGTTTCCATTAAATTGTTCATTAACAATTTGTGGTAGATGTTGTACCACATCATGTACATGGAAGTCAGTGGAAATTTGGACAGATTGCAGCCTCATGAACTTTGTGATTTCTAATAAGGTAATTTCTCCATAGAAAAGATAAACGTGTAGCATGTTCATCCTACACGGGTACTGGGAAAGAGGACTACTACTATCTCCCGGATAATTCTTCCAGGTGTAGACTGAGAACTAAGAGAATATCACATGTACACCTACTGGTAGTGTATTCCAGTATATTTTGGGTGTAGTATTGCAGGCAGCTGCTGAGGTTGGCATCCTGAGGGGATTCTAGTTTAGACTGACTGACTGTCTGAGTTTGGTTTTACGCCGCTTTTAGCAATATTCCAGCAACATCACGGCAGGGGACACCAGAAATGGGCTTCACACATTGTACCCATGTGGGGATTCGAACCCGGGTCTTCGGCGTGACGAGCCAACGCTTTAACAACTAAGCTACCCCACCGCTCTTCAAGTTTAGAAGAGGTGTCAAGCATGATATGCTGGTTGTAAGACAAGACTATGGATGTGTAGTCATGAGTTTAGTTTTACGCCGCTTTTAGCAATATTCGGGGAATCGAACCCGGGTCTTCGGTGTGATGAGCAAACGCTTTAACCATTAGACTACCCCACTGCCCCTGCTTGATATTGTGTCATCGTAACCTGAAACTGTGGATCATCTCTTCCAGACTGGAACATTTACTTAACACTGTTTAAATACATTGGTGAAATATTACTGAAAGTGGCAGTGAAGAGCAAACAAACAAACATGTTACAAGTGGTGATTGTTGCAGGACTTGGTGTCAGTGCGTGTGGAGGACAACTCGGGACACTTGACGACACTTGGCCATGTGCGAGACCGACTCATCTGTACACCGAACTTTGAAACACTGCTCAAGTACTCCTGACCGGGTCTCCTGTAACAGGGTTACCTGCCCCTTCATCCATGGACATGTCATCAGATGTACATCGTGACTAATGTGATATTTACAGCAGTCAGGTCAACATATTTATCTGGGATACCAGACAACTGGAGTTGTGTGATCCCGGTACAGTGACTGGGCTATCCTGACTGACTGGTTCCCTTGGTCATTGATACTGTGATTAACACACTGACCACTGACATTCTGAACATGAACTGCATACTTTACAATGTTGTGTAAAGTGACATGTATTTATGGTACAAGCAGTATCTTGTCTACTGTAATCCTCAGTTTGTTAATGAGGTTTCATTGTGTGTTGATTTTGTAACATGTAAACAAAAAATCAAGAATATGGTTGGAATTCTGCCAGTGTCGTTTTGCTTTTTCAGCTCCTGTTTGAAAAAGACCTTTATCTAACATGTTATATTTGGTATTACACTAAGTACAGATTCAAGTACTTTTGTCAGGTGGAGTCCCATCCAGGATTTGAACCTCACCCTCCTAATCACCAGCACACAAAGTCAGTGATCCAACCCACTCATCTGTGATCTAGACTACCAGTTGTCTGACTTCCCTTTTTGTAGAAAAGATGGGAAAAGCTATGTGCTGGCGATTAGGTGCCTGCTGGTACTCCCGAACTAGAATCTGTACTTTAATGTGAAAGCGTAATCCCGAATATAACATGATATGTTACATCGGAGGCATTGTGTACCTAGTAATGCAGTCTGTTTCTCAGAAATCACACAATCAGTAATGGAGTTCAGCCAGTCCCATCCTAATATAGTTAAATTATGAAATCCAGTGTTGACAAGTTCAGTAATTAGTAGAATACACTATGTGTCTCAGAGTTAGAGGTTGAGTTGTCTCCCTTAGCTACATGGATTTCAACCATGTTTACCACAGTGAGGACATATGTTTAAGGTTGAAGATGGAGTGAAATGAGTGAATGAATTTTATGCCACAGTTGGCAGTAGTCCAGTTATATCATGGTGGTCTGCAGATCATGTTTCTGGGTGACTGATTACCACGAGACAGCAGAAATGTAATTTATTATGTCTTGTTTTTTTACATAGAACTCAAATATGGGTAATGTTTTTAGTTTACTTTATTTTGTTCTATTTACATTTCCACAGAAGAACTTGACACATCACCTCACCCACTTAACAACATAGTAGTTCTTCTTACCTGCAGAAAAAAGAACACATTTAATAAACAATTCAATGACACATACCGCAGATAAATAAATATCTTTTGAATGATATCAATCCTGTTATTTTCTTCCAAAGTATACCTTTCCATTTTCATAATACAACCTACCCGTGAAGGTCCAGGTTAGAATATTGATCTCCAGTAACCCATGCTTGTCGTAAGAGGTGACTCATGGGATTGGGTGGTCAGGCTCGCTGACTTGGTTGACACATGTCATCTATTCCCAATTGCGCAGATCGGTGCTCATGCAGTTGATTACTGGATTGTCTGGTCCAGACTCGATTATTTACAGACCGCCGCCATATAGCTGGAATATTGCTGAGTGCAGCGTAAAACTAAACTCACTCACTCACTCACTCATAATACAACCATTTGAAAAAGTCAAAGTTTAGAAGCTTGTGCTTGTGAATCATATGAACGTACCAACTCTGATAAGTGTGATGTTTGAAGGTAAGATGTGTTCCCCTGCTATAAGGACATAGTCAGGCTGTTGAACCTTCCTGTGGTTGATGTGGACGCCCCCAGCTTGGATGATTCTCTCAGCATCAACTGTGGACAGAGCACACCATGAGGGATGAAGGGATGCAACATAAACCCTTTTCATTTAGGACATGTTCATTGTTGAACTTTAGCAAACAAAATCACATTTGCGTCCATTTCCTGTTAACACAAGGGCTACCCTTATTGTCTGTAATGATCGGGGTTACAATCGGTATTCAGCAGCCTATGCTTGTTGTAGGAGGCGACTAAGGCAGTTTCATTGTAACTCTATGATGCTGATGATGTTAATCACTGGATTGTCTGGTCCAGACTGGCTTATTTAGTAACTACTGTTATAGCTGGATATTGCTGGGTGTGTCATTAACTTGATCTTAATACCAAGATCCAGTTTTTATGCAGGATCTGTGCTGGACCAAAATCCCCATCACTGTGTAGAGTTGTGTCCCGGCCAAGTTTGACCATGATGATGAGTGAGTGAGTGTGTTGGGATTGACACTGCCTTTAACAGTATTCCTATCATGGAATGTCAACTAAATGTGGGAGGTTGGCAGGTCTCGGACATTTAACACTTCGGTGCAACGCACAAACAAGGGTATGGTACTGACAAACCTAGAAACATCAGGGCAAACTGGGATTCGAACCCATAATCATAGGTCTGGCCTGCCCAGGGGACACCATTTCTATCTACAAAGACTTTCCTCACAATACAAATATCATACTTATACAAAGCCATACATACTTATAGAAGACCACCCACTGCAAGTATTCATTCCCTTGGGTATCAATAGATTTTACTTTGCTTCCACTCACCATCTCTGTCGAAGCAGCCAGCCTTCATGCAGACGTCAAGGACAGACATGCCAGGTTCCAACAGCATCTCGGTGGTGTCTGCGTTGTTGAACAGCTGCAGCAGTTCTGTGTGAGTCAGGCGTGCAAGGCCCTCGATGTTGCCACTGAAGAGTGCATCTGTCCAACGCACAGCTTCACTCAAGCCTTGCTCTGCACAACAAAACAGACGAAGTTAAAGGATATCACAAGATCATGACGTCTATTAGAGGACTGTACATTACAACAATTGCTCAGTTGTAAATTATGAAGTACACTAGGCAATAAATCATACGAACATGTTTCACAATAACCTCAAAGATAACCTTGACCTTTAATTGCAAAAGCACCAACATAAGTTGTTTGATTTGTAAGACACATGCAAATATGGTTTCATGCCTATTGAAGGGTTACCATACCCCCAGAAACTTACAATGACACCTATGATTTTATATAAAGTTGAAAACAGGCCTTGGCCGTAGACTTCATGTGACCTAAATCTTTTCAAAGCAGGTCCCCATCCTGAAGAACCTATATCCCAAGATTAAAAATAATTCTTCTTATCAATTTTGAGACTGTGATCTCTGAACATCTCACTGCATGTGCCTAAACAATTCAACTGGAAATCTTCTACTGACTAGGTTAATGTGCATTACATTACTAATTTAAAATTGTAAAAAGCTAACTTTTATCCAGGTCTTTCTATCTTGTGACCTTGACCTTTGATCTTTCAAGACCTGTGATATAAATTCAATTTCTGACAAAACTTCCAGCAGTCCCATTTCATTAGGATGCTAATGAATCAGTTATTAGATTTTCACCCTGCTTCACTACCAAGCAGTAAATTTTCACCAACAAAGAAAATCATCCTCTGTGTTCTTTCTTACTTCTCAATGAAATGACCGCCTCTGTGGTGTAGTGGTTAGAGCGTCCGCCCGGAGAGCGGAAGGTTGCAGGTTTGATCCCCGACCGCGTCATACCAAAAGACGTTAAACTATGGTACTTGTTGGTCCCTGCCTGGCGCTTGGCATTTATGGGTACAACAAGGACTGGTCGGCTGGGAGTCAGTATAATGTGTCTGAGTGGGGTATTCATGCTTCACTGCGGCATGGTATCTCAGTGGGCTAGCACTATAAAACCAGCTTAAGTCTGGGCTAGTACAAGCAGCCCCACATACACATACACACACACACACACGCATGCATGCGTCTTCATATGAGCGAAATATTCTCCAGCACGACGTTAAACCCAATTTCACCTCACCTCTCAATGAAATAAATACACCCTGTTGGTCATCCTACCAAACATTCATACATTATGTGAATCACATCTGATGTCAGTTGTGTACATAAATGCCTTGAACAGTTTGATTAACAAGTACTTAAATCATAAAGCCATTCTCCTCAAACTTGAAAATCTAACAATTGCTTTATTGTGTCCTTGGCCATCAAGATGTATATCTATATAACTAAGAGAAGGGACACTGGCTGGCCCTACTGGCAGTGTTCCCACAATGTACCTACCCCCATGCACCAACAGTAGCACTTGTTCTGCGATCTTCCTCTGTCCTGGACGCTGCTCTGGATTCCTCTGGAAACAACACAATTCAGGCACAAATTATCCCTGTTATTATTTATAGTATATTATAATTACCAAATTATAGAGATGACACATACTATGAAAGATTGGCTTTAAAAGATAATTTATAAAGTATATTAAAACCTTAAGGGGCTGTCATCTGCTATAGAGGAAAGGGGCTTGTGAGATTAATGGTTTGTGAACTGACAACAGTAACAACTTCTAGGAGTAGGGTGGGGATGGGGCTTTATTCATCACATTGTGCGGGGGACTCTTGCCTTGTGTTTCCTCAAAACATCCTGTATTTCCTGGTCTGGAAGAAATGTCAGCAGTTTCAGATATTTTTCAACATCTGTGTCTGGAAGATTCAGAAAATACTGGAACATAAAAAGTACACACATTTGTTGACATGCTATACTTTCTATGCTGTTATAACTTATTCATTCAAGTCCTCTTTCACACTTGATTCTGAAGTTGGCAAATAGGACTTTTATCAATCTTTCGTTTCTTTCAACATAACAAACAAGAGCCAGTCTATCTGGTACAGCAGATAAGATGACATCTTGGTGGGGGACAACCTCACGTGCAATGCACCTGGTATAGCAGATAGGCTAAAGTCTTGGTGGGGCACATTGTTACATTTAGCACTGTACCTGGTATAGCAGATAGGCTAAAGTCTTGGTGGGGCACATTGTTACATTTAGCACTGTACCTGGTATAGCAGATAGGCTAAAGTCTTGGTGGGGCACATTGTTACATTTAGCACTGTACCTGGTACAGCAGATAGGCTAAAGTCTTGGTGGGGCACATTGTTACATTTAGCACTGTACCTGGTACAGCAGATAGGCTAAAGTCTTGGTGGGGAACATTGTTACATTTAGCACTGTACCTGGTACAGCAGATAGGCTAAAGTCTTGGTGGGGCACATTGTTACATTTAGCACTGTACCTGGTACAGCAGATAGGGTGAGGTCTTGGTGGGGCACATTGTTACATTTAGCACTGTACCTGGTACAGCAGATAGGGTGAGGTCTTGGTGGGGCACATTGTTACATTTAGCACTGTACCTGGTACAGCAGATAGGGTGAGGTCTTGGTGGGGCACATTGTTACAATTAGCACTGTACCTGGTACAGCAGATAGGGTGAGGTCTTGGTGGGGCACATTGTTATTTAGCACTGTACCTGGTACAGCAGATAGGGTGAGGTCTTGGTGGGGCATTGTTATGTTTAGCACTGTACCTGGTACAGCAGATAGGGTGAGGTCTTGGTGGGGCACATTGTTACATTTAGCACTGTACCTGGTACAGCAGATAGGGTGAGGTCTTGGTGGGGCACATTGTTACATTTAGCACTGTACCTGGTACAGCAGATAGGGTGAGGTCTTGGTGGGGAACATTGTTACATTTAGCACTGTACCTGGTACAGCAGATAGGGTGAGGTCTTGGTGGGGCACATTGTTATATTTAGCACTGTACCTGGTACAGCAGATAGGGTGAGGTCTTGGTGGGGCACACTGTTATGTATAGCACTGTACCTGATACAGCAGATAGGGTGAGGTCTTGGTGGGGCACACTGTTATGTATAGCAATGTACCTGATACAGCAGATAGGGTGAGGTCTTGGTGGGGCACACTGTTATGTATAGCACTGTACCTGATACAGCAGATAGGGTGAGGTCTTGGTGGGGCACACTGTTATGTATAGCACTGTACCTGATACAGCAGATAGGGTGAGGTCTTGGTGGGGCACACTGTTATGTATAGCACTGTACCTGATACAGCAAATAGGGTGAGGTCTTGGTGGGGCACAGCCACACGGCGTTGCCAGCTGTCTTTCCTAGCTTGTCTCCCATGGAGCTGGTGATCAGGGGAACTGTCAACCCTGCACATGGTCAAAACTTCTGTACTGATATGGCAAAAACAATTGTATCTATTCTGTTCTTAATTTCCTTTCTATTGTTACCTGTTATTAATTTTCAGGTACTTTTAGGTCCACATATTTATGGCAGTTGCATGCAAGACCTATGGCACCTTAGACATCAACATTGAACTTCTGGAGAAAATGTAAAATCTCAATATACTCAGGGTGGAAATAACTTTAAAGTTGCTAGTGTACTCTGGCACAGTGGCACATGTAAAATCACTTGCCCTGATAATTTTTCCACCATACCGGCCGTTTTCTTGTTGATTTTTAAATAAACAACATAATTAGCATTGGAAAGTCAACTGGACACTGGTACAGTGTGATATACAAATTTGCTTGCCCGACAGAAAAAAACACTGGACTCGGACGTCGGGCAATGGTTATTTCCACCCCTGATACTATAATGTTAAGACTGGAACCAGTCAGAATTATTCGAATGTAAGTAGAAGTGATTTTACCGAAAACTGGGTTATCCGTTAGGCGAGAAATAAGCTCATATCCGGCTGTCATGTTTCCCAGCTGATCGTTTCCTCCGATCTATCAACAAGAAAAAGAGGTCTTCATCGTAACACTCCTTTAAACAATTCCAGTGTGACTACATTTCTGGTGTCCCCCACCGTGATATTGCTACAAGTGGCATAAAACTACTCACTCACTCCAATGTGATTTACGGAAACTGAAGTTAACAAATGCGTTATATTCTGTTATCGTTGCAAAGGTTTCTTTAGCTCCAACCATTGGCTGATACACCTCATCTTATAATCTAGGTACCTAGCCATCTGTGATTTTCATACGACTAAAAGCAGTAAGACTTGTTTCATTGCAGGCCATCTTAACAATCAATCACTGGATTGTCAGGTCCAAACTCAGACTACCCTCACAGAGCTGGAATATTGCTGAGTGTAATAACAGCTGACAATGATGACAAGTGGTGATTAACACATCACTTGAGACACAAACAGCTCGCAGGTTTCATTTATCCAATACGGGGCAGTGGGGTAGCCTAGTGGTTAAAGCGTTTGCCCGTCACGCCGAAGGTCCGGGTCCCATGGGTACAATGTCTGAAGCCCGTTTCTGGTGTCGCCCGCCGTGATATTGCTGGAATATTGCTAAAAGTGGCGTAAAACCATGCTCACTCACTCATTTATCCAATACAAGAAAGACATGCATCCATGTACCTATATTGCAACCAATGATATATTTGGTCTTTGAATGGCATTTATAAGTGATACACATAAGGAAGAGAGTTTTTTATGGATGTCAACTTCTTTATTTTGAGGAACACAACGTTTCAGGGTATATCCTTCCTTCTTCATCAGGTGAATGAATGGTATGAGGTAGAGACCATATATACATGTGAGAACAACACAGTAATAAGATAACAAAGATGCAGGCTAAACAATGGAAGCCAACAGTTAACTGGCATTGATGTGTGATTGGCAAAGGACAAATGGAACCATGAACCACGACCAGGGAACCCACCTGCCCAGCACCTGGGACTTATTGCTTTGATTGTGTTTGATTGTTGTCTGTACTTATTGCTTGATCAATGTCGGTGCTAATTACTTTGTTCTGTCCTCAATTTGTCAATCTCTATTGCGTTTAGCTAGTAGTGCTATTACCCGCTACCTCCAATCTGCCCTTTGTCCATTCCCTATAATTTCATCCCGGCTTCCAGCTGTCCACTGTTCATCACCTATCAACATTATTTAGCTGCTAAGTGTTGACACTTATTCAGTGCTAATTAACTGTCTAGTGTTGGTGTCCACTCAGTGCTATAAACTGTTAAGTGCTGGTTTCCATTTGTCCTTAGCCAATCACACATCAATGCCAGTTAACTGTTGGCTTCCATTGTTTAGCCTGCATCTTTACTTTTGTGTCTGTGGGAAACATGAGTAAGGAAATACTCCTTCACCTGATGAGGATATACTCCGAAATGTTGTGTCCCTCACAATAAAAACTCTCTTCCTTATAAGTTATATCTACCTCATCCTCGATAATGTCCAGGGTATACGTCCCGATAAATCTCCACTATACCATGGATGCATCTACAGCGCGAGCCGATGATTTTATTACCTCCCTTGGTTGGCTTTTTACCCAATCGGGTGTCTACACTGGGAAGTTGAGCGTACCAATCACAACCCACTTTCACTTTTTAAATTATCGAACTGATTAAACCTGGCAACACCATAATATATTGTTGCAGAGGTACTCTGAAAGAGGTAGAAGGAGTTCTTGCATATATTGTTTTAAGGTTTCAGACCTGTCAATTTGTCTGTATGTTTTCCCCCCAAATCTGAGTCACACCGCGAACAAACTTTCGCGGCTTCGACCGCTATCTTTGTTGACACTGGCAAGCTAGGTTGTAATGGCGGCTTATCTGATTGGCTACTGTGAGAATGCTGAGCCAGCAAAGGGAGGTAATAAAATCATCGACTCGAACCGTAGATGCATCCAGGGTATAGTGGAGATTTATCGGAACGTATACCCTGGAGATTATTGAGGATGTATCTACCTGTACTGCAAATTATATCATAGATTTACCTGTATTGCAACCTATATGATTGTTTTACCTGTACTACAACCTGTAAGACAGATATACCTGTACTGCAACCTACATAATAGATTTACCTGTATTGCAACTTACATAATAGATTTACCTGTATTGCAACCTATATGATTGTTTTACCTGTACTACAACCTGTAAGACAGATATACCTGTACTGCAACCTACATAATAGATTTACCTGTATTGCAACTTACATAATATATTTACCTGTATTGCACACTGGTGTTGTTTGTACAGGTGGAGCCAGTCATAGGACTGAAATATCTGATATGTAAATTCTGTGAAGCTCATTCCATCTTCACTCTTAAGCCTGCTCTTCACACTGAAATAGCAGACAAGACAAGGTGATTTACCAACCCGGTTCTACTCTATTTCTAGTGCAGGGGCTTGTGTAATTCTGTGGGAGTTACATGTTAATTTTTGGAACCAATACTAATTATAATCACTATTGTGTATGGATTCATGAAACACATGGTTCCATTTTTTCTGTTTGCTATAGTGTCATTGTGGGTAATTAAATATGAGTTCCCAAAATTGCTTGCGACACCATTTCGAGAAAAACATTTTTTCATAAACCTATTACAACATGGTCATGTAGCATGTCAATAGGCAGCTTATGATGCATGACATAGACATAACCACATAACATGCTTCTAATTTCATTTTGGTGACATAAAATATGACATAATCATATAAATTAATCAAATATTGTATTTCCTTCATCGGACACCAACATTGTAAGTATTGACCTATATCAATGGAAACCATTTATTAAATTAATGTATTCTCCCACTTCATAATATATACTACCATGACACACTTATGTAGTAATAATAGTACCCAGGTAAGGTTAATGTGACTATCATATAGTCATGCACAAGTGTCAAATCAGGCCTACCAGTACAGTCAGAATTGACACACTGACACTTGTATCTGGGTAATTAAATGACAAATGACATAAAGCCAAATCTGCAGTCAATATAAACTGAATGTATTAATACATTTGAGTGACAAATTACATCACAGCGAATAGATAACTACATATTACAAGTGGGGTATGCAAGTGCAATATATATTGTGCACTAGTATATTTATTTTAACTTTCACATTGTTAAGTAACTTGCATAGTCAATCAGTCCGTCATTAACCTGCAAGAACCAAATATGTTGTTGAAATACAAACTTTCACATTATTTGTCATACAAACACAAGCATGTATTCTACGCATATGTGTTCTTAATTTGGAAGCTAGAAGGGCCCACGCTAGAGTACATGCCTCCGCCTTGCACAGCAATCTCCTTTCACTATTACATTTTTAAAGTACTACTGTGTACTTGTACTTTAATATACTTTCACCAAACCGTAGGCAGATAGTATTCGTGTCATACCTAACATAACCACCAAGATTCATTCAAATCCATCTATAACTTTCTGAGATATTATTCATATTCTCCATTTATGTAACATTGAGATTATTTTCAAAGTACCTGTGTACATGTACTTTAACATACACTCTTAAAAAATAGAGACGCAATAATAAGGATCAAAAGTTTGTACGCATATGCCAAATTAGGCATGTTTTGAAGGTTTAATATTGTTGTTGGTATGGTTTAGAAGAACATGCGCTGAGCGAATGCAACCATAAACGATTTTGAACGGTTTTATTGATCATGATTGTCATGATGAGCTTGACTGTTATGGAACACAACAAAAGAGCCGCCATTATTGCTTTTCACGTGCAAAACATGAGTACAACAGCATTAAAGACCCAATGCACTCGCAAATTCATCCAAGACCCTTGCAAATGGGATCGTTTGGTGCATTCCAGTTTTGACGAAAATTGACAATGGAATTACAAGCTGGGAAGACCGAGGAGTCAGCATTCATCCCAGCACAATAATCGTTTGTTGGATCGTTTTGTGAATTCCATTTTGACAAATGACAATCCAAGACCAGGAAGACCGTGAGTCACCACACCAGCCCTAGATCGCTACATCCGGGTAACCCACCTATGTGACTGCCATCGTTCCGCCAGGGACACAGCACAAGAACGGTTTGGAGCCCGGAGAATGTCTGACCAGACAATCAGGAACCGTCTCCGAGAGGTAGGTATGCGTGCCAGACGTCCAAAAGTTACATCAACGTCCGCGGTGCAGCCATGGAACCTTGGAAACTGGAGGCACACATGGTTCAGTGATGAATCGCGGTATCCCCTCAAATGACGTGACGGAACACAATGTGTCTACAGAACACGCAATGAACATTTGCATCAAACTGCATCAGGCAAGTGGACAGATTTGGTGGAACCAGTGTGATGATGTGGGGAGCCATCTCATACACCTGCAGATCGGAATTGTTGCTCATCCAAGGCAATCTTACAGCCGCTCGATATATCGAACAGATTCTCTGTCCTCACGTGCATCGCCTTGTTGACCGCCAAAGGGAAGCTGTACCAACAGGACAACGCCAGACCTCACACAGCATGTGCTACAGTCGACTACCTGGACAATAACAACATCAATGTCCTCCTCTGGCCCTCCAGATCCCCGGATCTGAAACCAATTGATATTACCTGTGGGATCAGATAGATATATGTGTACGTCAACGTCGTAATCCGCCATCGAGGCTATAACAGTAACTGTTGTTCAACATGCTGCAGGAGGAATGGAGAAGGATTCCACAATTGAAACATCCAACAACTGATTCAATCTGTGTCAAGGAGGCGTCGTGCAGTTCTAGCAGTAACAGGTGGTCACACAAGGTAGTAACGTCAACGTCACCTCGTGGACAGCAGTAATGACTATGATGACTATCAATCTTGTGAAATGTGCACAAGATACCAATGTATTGCTCTACATAATTTCAATGCTCTACCGTTGATTTTCGTTGATTTACATAATTGAATAAGACATATTTTTTCAATGATTTTTGGCTTTGCGTGTTTCTTTTTTTGGAGAGTGTACTTTCTTCAACATCTAATTGATTTGTCCTGGTAGTTTTAAGTAAAGATGCACGCATGCACGCACTCACGACTCCAATTTATCATTAAGATTCATGATATATAATGGTAGTTGTAAAATACACATCACAAGGTACATTTTGATATACTACATGCCTATGTTGTGATAGGTTTATAAAAATATGTTTGTCTCACATTGGTGTTGCAGCTTCGATTATGGTTACCGATGTTCAGTTACCCCAGAATGACACTTATAATCATCAGAAAAAATGGAACCATGTTTTTTTTCTGAATCCTTATGCAATACTGATTACAATTATCAGTGGTTCCAAAATTAACATGCACTTCCCACGGAAAGCATTTTGCTACATAAGCCCCTGCACTATTCCCTCCCTGTTGTAATTTACATTTGTCTATTGATAGATCCATCTCTCTAAAGAACCTTTTTCAAAATGTGTAGTATTGTGAGTGATTAGCATCACACAATCAAACAATGGTCCAAGGGAGATAACTATCATTACATCAATAAAACACTGCATACCAACAGGATTAGTTCCATCCTCAGCGTTTTTGTTGGAATCCTCATAACTCTGATATCAAATGCTGATACTTTGTGTTTATCAATTTTTACAGTTATATACCGAGCAACCAAGACAACCATGTACCTGTGTCTAGACAGCATCTGCCCCATCCTAAAATGTCGACCAGTTGTTGACAAAAAGTCTACTATGTTCATATCTCTGTACCAGTCCAGGTTGTTCAGTATCCTGGAAATATTGAAAGGTACATATTCGCAACATACAAAACAGAGGTTGATATATATCCTCCATTCTTATCTGTACACATAGATACAACACTAGCAATGGAACTATGCATGCCTCCATCTAGCGTGGGTCAATTTGTATGCCTGACAGATATACAGGAATTTTAGTATCTTGTATATTGTGAAATTTACCTGCTGGAACTGCATACTGTTGTATCAGGATAGTAACAATTATCTTCAAATTATTTTCACATATAATTGAAATAACAAAACATAAGATTCACAAGGCATTGATGTGACGATTTAGGTCTTGTGAGTCAGGTCTTTAGGATAATCATCAATGTTTTGCTTCTTAAAACATAAATGTAATTTTATCACAATGTGTTGACAAACCAAGAAACATATATGGTGTGAACCTGATGAAGCTGTGAGTCAGTCATGATTCTATTTGATCCTACCTTACTTCTGGCAAGGGCTTGTTATTTTTCCACAACAGATTTTGGTGGTGGGAGAAGACACGTTGCAAGTTTTCAGTTATTTTAACCACATTTTCCTCCACCTGGTGAAGCTTCATTGGTATTCTCTCCTTTGTCTTCCCACTGGGGTCTCCAATCTGGGCCGTCGCACCTCCAACCTGGTGTGTATACAACCATGAGTGAACTGTGCAGGGCTAATATTCAGTATTCAGTATGCTGTGTACAACAGCAATCTAACTGTTGTGTGATGCAGCAAAAATACTGGTATATCCCAGCTGTTTACTGCTACATCCACCACATATTGTGATTTCTATATTTCAAGAAACACAATTACATAGACATGATTTGTTCATATGGATGATTTCAGCCTCAACAGGGACTGAATGTAAGTGAATGCCACAATCTGAAATTTAAGTTAATTTTCAGTCATTAATATATGTGTGTTAAACTGACATTTGGTTGGATACATTTTTTTACAACTTGTTTAGCATAAGCAGGTACAGCTGTGTATCTTAGATTCTGTGTATCATATCTTTCAGTGTCCCTTCCCTAAGTACATCTGGAAAGGAATAAATTGTGTTAAATCCATATATATGACAAATGTAATGACCTACCAGTGCAATTGTATTATGTCCAGCTCTCTGACAATGAATAAGTGCTATGATAGCCAGAAGGTTCCCTACATGGAGACTGTCTGCTGTTGGGTCAAAGCCACAGTACATACACTGTTGGCTGGATAGTCGACGAAGCAATTCTGCAGTGCTGGAAAATTACAGTTGTAAGATTCAACTTAAAGGTCACATGCAACCAAAAAATCAAACATAATTAAAACACAATTATCACTTTTTCATGACATATAATATGCATTGCTGATTATGAAAAAACAAATAAACAAAATTATAAGCGTATAATCGCAAATCAAAAGTGCAATATTTTGTACTTGGGTTTACCTCCCTCGAAACGAAGCAGCCGGGATACCGAACCCAGTCAGAGCGGGTGGGTGTGCACTCAAGTGTAACGGCTGGTTCATTAGCAGATGCCGCCTTCACGGCTCATTGTGTGTATATATATAGAGAGATGTTGGGTTTTGTAAATACATGCTCATTTTTTGTGTATAACATTTTGCAATCAACAGACATCATAACATGTCATGTGTTCAAGTATCACACCTGCCTGTCTGTGTAATTACATAATGTGACAGAGACCGAACTCGGGCCATAAATCAATGCGTTTTGTTTATGGTGTATAGCCTGATTGGTGTTAAGTTCAAATTGCAGTGATCGCAGTTGTGTATTGAATATTGTCATTAGCAGACAGGCAGGCAGACACACAGGTGTCAATAAAACAAGACATTGAGTTTTGTCTGTGACAGCGACATATCTATATCACAGTTAGAAATTGTGTCAATGCTAAATAATGACATTGCTTTTAAGTATCGAACTGAGAAAGTGACTCGGTAAGAAGAACGTGTGGTGAAATAGACAAATGAAATTATATAAACAGTTTATTTACTGTCATAACATAAAAAGCTCGCGCCTGTGAGATATCAACAAAACATTAGGAAAATAGCTCACACCAAAGCCTTCACCGAGTATTCACCAGACAGCCCGCTTCCAAGTTGCGCGCGAACCTATTTCACTGCGCGACGCTATGAGCGCAGCCCAGCTGTTGAAACCCGTATTCCCCAGAAAAGTCTGGGGAAAATTAGTGAATCATTTGAACTCCGATTTCGCGCGTTTTTTTTCATCGCGTTATTTTTCAACTTTATAAGTTGAATTTGCATTTTTGACGCTTTGTTTCGGTAAGTCCATACCGAAAGGTATCAGAATCTGCAAAGTTGTGTTTTACGTTGCATGTGACCTTTAAGGAATATAAATCTAACAAATAAAATTAAATACTACCAAACCATTTTGTTCTTTTTTTTTTAAATGCATCAGTCAATGCTCTGTTAACGTGATATTAGAGACAAGAGCGGATGTTTTAACATGTTTAAGGCGTCAGAAAACCCATGATAATGACAGTCACTGAGTCAGATGTGATAAAATGACCTAATAAATTTCATGAACTGCCCAGTTTCAGAATCAGACATCATCGCAATTAAATTTGAATTGTTATTGTATAGGCTTGCTGGGTGGAAACAAACTAGGATTACCTTCCTTCTGGAAAAACTGTCTGGAAAATACCTCTTTCGTGTAACGTCAATATGTTCCTGGAGTTTTGACTGCTGTAGAGCCTTTTGCAGACTTGCCAGTGCCACCTTCGAACACATTAATACTGCCATTAACGATGACTCACATCAACTATTTACGTAATAATCAATGCCCCAGAAAAGATACACATACAATTCCACCATGTTTTAATGACAGTTTACCTCACAAACTGACATCCGATTCGTCTGCCATGTACGTTGACCATGGAGGCTGCCATCTTGGATGTTCCAAGTAAAGCTGTTTGTGATAGTTTAGTATTTCAGTGCGATATGTATTCAGATGACGTTTTTTATATGCACTGGGTTAATAAATCAAAACCTTCATTTGAAATCGTTTGTAATGTTGGTGTCTGGGCAGTACGTGGGAAAATGAAGCATGATTTCCCCCACGGTGTAAGGGAGGTAACTTTGTAATTTTGCCGGCTTTCAATAGTTACGGACTTCGAAAAATCACATTACAAGTTCGAATCCGTAATCACGAATTTTAAATTACAATCTTAACAACGTCCAGACTACTTACAAGTTAACATTTTGACCATGTCACATATTTATGCATGGCTATCCTGCATAAAATCGGTCCTCAGTAACATCATGCTTGTTGTTTGAGATGGCTATCAATGTTGAGATCAACAACCATTCACGCTGGCCTGTAAAAATGTACTTGGTGTTAAATCATCTACGTCCAATGAGGTTGTTCGTCGGGAATGTGGCAGATATTCCATATATATTTATGTGTACAAACACTGTGTCAAATATTGGTATAAGTTGTTGAAAATGCCGGCATCGCGTTTTCCTTAAAAGTGTTATAACTTAATGTTGCTAGATGTTTCCCATGGTAAAATTAATTGGGCTTCAAAACTTAGGTTTTTATTAAATAGCATGGGATTTGGTAATGTATGGGAGAGCCAGTGTATTAACAATCTAGACTCATTTCTTTTTTAATGCATTACTAGGGCACAGAATATGTATGTACAGGGTTGGCATGAATCATTAACATCTAGTTCTTAAACTTATTCCTATTCACTGTATAAACAGGTATTTGCCCCGAGACATATTTAAGTTGTATAAATGTGAAACAATTCCACATTGCCCTTGCACAGTTTCGTTGCAGCTCTCATCAGTTAAATATTGAGACGGGTAGATATATTAATAAGCCAAGGAATCTCAGATTATGTCATATGTGTTCGGGTGCCTACATTGAAAATGAATATCATTTTCTCCTAATATGTTCTGCCTATGATCATCTACGTACATCTTATATTCCTGTGAACTATTATACATATTCATCATTATGCAAATTTAATACTTTGATGTCTGTAAACAATTCCACTGTGCTACGAAATCTAGCTATGTATCTATTTTATGCGAATGAGCTGCGTACAAGCCATTTGTTGGCTGTATGAAGTAATATTGTACTACGGGCCGATGGCCTACATACACCAGAATAAAGAGATTGAATTGAATAGAACAACCATTCACAAAATAATTATCCACATTCGATAAATATCTGAGAAGAAATTCCAAAAGAATCATATTTCACACCACTGATGAGTGGTGCCATATTTATGGCTGGGTACTAACAAAAGCAGTGTCCTGAATATATCTTAGACGCTGACCACAAATAGAGACATAACTTTATGTATTGTGTAAAATTAACTTTGCTATCATCACATAAGTTTATCGATGACACAGTCTTCATATTAAAAAATCCTTCATAATTCCTCCCATTGACAATATTTCCACTCATCAATCTTTGTATTCAGTCCTATTTATCATAAGAGGTAGTTAAAGGGAATCAGGTGGTTAGACTCAATGATTTGGCTGATGTATGTCATTGTATCCCCATTGTGTAGATTGATGCTCATGATGTCATGATTTCACTGGATTGTCTGGTTCAGATTCAAATATTCTGCTGCGATAAGCTGGTGTGAGGCGTAAGAAAACAAAAAGAACAACTATTTCATGTACCTTAGTAACCTCAGTTTTGCTAGATTGTTAAAATGAAATGTTTATTTTCTGACAAGGAGACAAAAGTTTGCAAATTTGTTTTCATAGAGTAGAGGAAGGTGGGGTAGCCAAATGGTTAAAAGCATTTGCTTGTCACGCCGAAGACCCGGGTTCGATTCCCAACAGGGGTACAATATGTGAAGCCCATTTCTGGTGTTCCCCGCTGTGATATTGCAGGAATATTGCTAACAGCGGCGTAAAACCATACTCACTCACTACACCAACAATTTCTAGAACTACTTTCACCGTCCCATGCTGGTCTAGCCAAAAACAGAATCATTGAAATCCCTGGAGATGTGGTGCTTGATGGTGCAGAGAAAACTTAGAAAAAAAGAAAGAACATGGAACAGCTCACAAAACAAACTCAGCAAGATACTAAGTTGTGTAAACAACAAAGTAATTCAGCTTCGATCACATTTATTGAAAATATCAACAATAGCACATCAAGATGTGTACAATAACATGCAACGTTTTCACAGAGATTGCCTTTATACATTGTTAAAAACTACATCGTCATTTATTAAAGCGGATGATTTTAAATTAACTATTCAAAATAAATAATAATATTGCATTAAGAATTCTTGGGATGTTATCAAAAAACTACATTGTCATTTACTGAAACAGATGATTTCTAATGAGCTATTTAAAAAAAAGAATGAAATTGCTGTAAAGAATTCTTCTGATGTTATGAAATGATACTGAAAATTTTGAGCATCAGTAAATCAGTGCTGGGTAGACACAGTGAGCTGGACTCAACTTGTACCTGGTTACTTCACCCTTCACTGAGTTGTTAATGTTACTTGATCTGTCCTCATCACTTTTCACTCACATCCAATCTGATGACCAGTGCCTGTGCAAATTCCTGCAGAAATTATTTTCTAAAATGAGAGAATGGTACCAAAACATAATTACATGCATCCATGGACTGATACTTGCATTATAATTGCCATGACAATGGTTATAACAGTTATGGAAGGGAAACAAAGGCTCAGCAAATACTGATTAACTAACCCCTTGAATTGACTGTATATGTTATATTTGAATGACAAACCTAACTAGTAGTTAAAAACACAAATGGAAAAAGCATGAAAAAACAAACTTGAGTCTAAAGATTTCATATGATGAAATCAAGTGTTTGTTAGGCAGAAAATATGGATGATATTCTGTTTTATTACTGTATTTTTACTGTACCTGATTAAGAAGATCATCGACTGTCCTCTCAAGTGATCACAGATTACTGAATACAAAGTTGAATCTCTAACAAAGGTAATAACTGGACATAATCTACTGGATCTATTTTGGCAAACTGTATTATGATGAACCCAACAAAAGCTGAAAATATTAACAGCATTATTTACATGTAATTCAGGAATCTTGGTCTCTTGTGTACATATATTTACTTGTGTCACACAAACACAGTAATGTACAGATGCATATATACACAATGTACAACATCAACAACAGATAGGCTGATCCAGACATCCCTAAAAGCCAACAGCCAAAACAATCAACAGGTATACAATAGAGAATAGTCTAAAAGAAATAAACATGTACTAAAATGATGTAGAAGAAATAGAACAGAAGCTATTATGAAATTCAGTTCCTTTTATCAAACTAATGAAATATTGATTGAATAATACACAGCAAACACCATTGTCCATGAAAATCAACGAGACTACATTTTAGTGCATGTTAAATAGTAGATGCTGTCATTATAGAAGAAAGAATATAAGCATACACAATGCTGAGAAATTGAAACCAGATCACAGCTGCAAAGGACAATCTAAATAATACCATTGACAAATATCTTAATGTTTTATTTCACATATCACATGTGCAAAACAAGTATATAAATACTTGAAATCTTTCCAGGTCATGTTTTGCACCTTACAACTATACAACTTTAATTAAGTTTCTGTCATGATTTTCCACACAGCCATTACGAAGAGCATCGGATGTATTCCGAACAAGGAAGTGATTTAGTTGGTTTTCTTGGATGCCTCGTCATATGATGGGGGAGGGTCCGAGGGCATGTACACATTGTGGGGGTTAGCTGGGCTGTAGTACGCACTGGCAGCTGCCTCTCTGGCCTTCGCATCTGTAACAGACACTGACATTAGCAACTAGGGTACTCCACAGCATCAGTTCTACATTCTCTGTTTTTCAGTTTTGTGATGCTGGCATCAGTATTCTAGATATCCAAGTACCAACACAGCAAATTTAGTTTGCACTTTATATCAAACAGAGTATCACTTAAGAGCTACCATCAGAGGAGAATAATTAATAATCCTGTGACGATTCCATGTTAGAATTGGTCTTCAGTGAGTGAGTGAGTTTAGTTTTATCACGCTTTTAGCAATATTCCAACAATATCACCAAGGGACACCAGAAATGGGCTTCACACATTGTACCCATGCGGGAGTCAAACCCTGGTCTTTGGCATGATGAGCGAATGCTTTAATCACTAGGCTACTCCGCCGCCTGGTCGTCAGTGACTCATGGTAGTGATAAGAAACAAGTACTAATGGAATAGGGTGTTCAGGTTCACAGTCTTGGTTCCTACATGTCAGACTTGGTAGATAAAGTCAGTGCATCTTAGTTGTGTTGATCTATGCTCAAGATATCAATCTTTGGATAACGACATCAAACAACAGAACAAAACATAATTAACAACCAGTAATCTACATACTGATACATGTTTCAGACCTTCTGTTGTTGAATTGAAATATAAATAACATTATGAAGTACTCCGAACTGACCTTCAAAACAATGACACTCTCTAAATACCTCACTGAAGGGAATATCAGTAATAGGCTATAACATAGTCACTACATATACAACATATGTAATACATACCATGGCCATTAGCCTGAGGTGGAGGGTAAGGGGCAGCATTGGGGTCCACTCCAGGGTACGGTGGGGGAGCTTCTGACATGTACACTCCATCCTCTGTTGTCACAAACCAAAGATTGAATAAAACAATGAGACATTAGTCTCACACAAAGCATGAAGGGTTACTGTTACTACTTCCAATACTGACAATTAAATACAGACAAGAGTTATGTCCCTTGTAATATCAGAAGATGGTCTCTTGGGGTCTGCATTATATATGAAAATTACGAAAATTATGTTTTCAACATCAATGACACCCCCCTAGTACATGTGTACAAACTTGATGACATCCCACCTCCCCACAACAAAATGGGTGGACCCCCAAAAAATCATCATCACACCCCCAGCCATAAATTATGAAATTATGAACGGTCCCTAACATGTAAATAATAATTTGATATTAACATAGCACTTCAGTAACAAAGTGTTTGCATTAACAGAGAGCAGTACTTACGTGGTGGAGCTGTTGGGAATGTTTGATATGGTACCCAGTCATAGTGTGGGGTATGGGGCCGGGCATAGGCTGGGGGTGGGGCCTGGTACACATTGCCCATGGGTGGAGTGTAGGGTGGTGGCTGAGGTGGCCTGTTGCGTGAAGCTGAAACAAATTGAAATCCAAGTAACATTAACTGGGGACACATTTTAATAGAGTTGAGGAACATAGCTGTTTAATAACTAAATTCCTTTGATGTTTGGAGAAAAAAGCAGCTAGAATAATGTCCAGTATAATAATAGGTACATGCATTACCAGAGTTTCCAGGAGATCAATCATTTAGTGTTATCGTAATCTCATAATGCATGTTTATAAAGAAGACTTGTTAATATCTGAGTAATATTTTTAAATCAGCCAACCATTTGCTCATAGGTTGGTAGAAGAACATATGAATACCAACCCAGTTGCCCAGCTTTCATCATGGCTTGACCAAACTCTATTGCTCCACCATGGGTGAAGTACATCTTGTATCTGGCTTCACCTGTCCAGTTGCCTACAACACAGATGAATGAATGTGGTGAACATGTGGAAACATTAAACAGTTAACCACTCATGACAGTGTGAAAGTCTTCAACCTTCTCTTTTAATGATTAACTTCCCATCTCCCAGCATTTGGTACTTAAGAGGTATCATGTCAAAGTGTCCCCATTCACCGATCCACCTTTTTCCATTTTGTCCGTTTAACTTTGCCAGAAAGGTACATGTCCTTGTTCACAAGTTTCATTTAGAGCTAACCCGTAAAGATCTGGGTTAGAATTGGTCTTCAGTAACCCATACTTGTCGTAAGAGGCGAGTAATGGGAACAGGTTGTCAGGCTTGCTGACTTAGTTGACACGTCATTGTATCCTAATTGCGTAGATCGATGCTCGTGCTGTTGATCACTGGATTATCTGGTCCAAACTTGATTCTTTACAGGCCGCCACTACTAGCTGTAATATTGCTGAATGCAGCGTTAAATGAACCAACCATCATTTAGAGTCATCTCCCTTGGTTGGGTACACGAGTCAATCGTGCCTGACCTGTTCACAGGCCCTCATGTCTTTGCAAGGATTAAAGATCACATATACTCTAGGGGGTACAAATACATAAATCACTAACTGGCATCGCTATAAATGAAACCCCGTCATTAAAACTACTCACTTCGATCTTTAATCAACTTAAATCGACCTATTTGACAACAGTGCACAATTCTCACCCGCGAATGAAATTTCAACCAATCAGAGCGGGGCGTCTCTGTGACATCATATGAGGAATAGATATGAGGGCCGATGCAGAATTCATCTACATTTCAGGGGGTAAATTATCTTGTTTACAGGTTTGTATAGACCTGAAATCGTGACAACTGTTGTGGAAAATGAAAGCTATATGTTCTCACAATCTACTGTCATTTAATTTTGTCTCCTGCTTTGCCTAGTTTCCGAGTTACAACTTGTTTTCATAGACGATTCTGTCAAAATTGCTTGGTGTCGTTAGGCCTTATTTGTATAATGACTGATCCAAATTGATCCCATTTCTGTGTTTTTTTGCCTCGATATTTAATCATGTCATGTAAAAATCTGTTTGTATTCTCAAAACAGTGTCGGACCATAAGTTTTCACATGCAATACAGCTCCCTTGTTGTAACCCGTGTTAGGTGGTATAAACCTACACATGTTATTTGTCATCATTCACTTGATGGTCAGTTAATGAATTTATAACAGGTATAATTAGTGGTAACACACTTAGATTACCCGACAAAGGTTCCCATTTGGCATTTCATGTGTCTGGAGTAAATATTCAACATTATAAACATCGATCAAAGGATTAACCGATAACACGCTGATTGATTAATTACTTTTATCTTACAAAAGGTAGTGTTTATGCATGTAGATTTACTAATCTATACTGAATACACTCTGTCGTGTCGGTGTCTGCGTAAAAACAACGTCCTTCTTTCAAAGGATTAACCGCCAATACATTGATTGATTGCTCATTATTGGCTAACTCAATTGTTGTTTTTAAAGAAAGGCGGACATTATGCAATTAGTTGACAGGTGCGTTATCTTGGGTGACCAATGAGACTATACATCAATGTGAAATACCTGAAAAGATTTATCACTTTTTCGTATATTAAACTGTTAAAAGACACATCACTTGGAACAGCTGCAGATGAATGGCATATCACTTTCGTTTTGCCGATATTGATGGATACATTCCCATGATTCCTCGAACAAGGTAATAGCCTGACATTGTTCCTATAACTTTAATCTGTTTTAATTTTAATATTTGTATTTTGTTTTATTCATTTGTCGTAGCATTCAAAGAATCATTGTTTTCGCCGTGAAGTGTAATGAGACCGACAACATACACTAGGGAGTGTGTGCGAATTATGATTCACATTGGCAAACTATAAAATGTCTAGATATTACAGTTCTGTTATAAATTCACTATAAGTATCAGCAGATCGTCTGCTTTTTATTTAGTTTCAAAATGCATACAAGTATGATAATAAACTAATTAGGAATATAAGACCAAATATAAAGACGTACATTGATTGACTAGTATCTACATACTGGTGAGTGGACATTAACCATGTGAATGTAGCAAGAAATTTATCGCGCAGTATTGTGACTTCGACCCCCACCTCGCTTCCGTGGAAGAAATCGTTATGTTATAAGTTGTGTCATGCAAAATCCTTTTGGTTATGATTCCAATACATATTTAACTACGAGTAGAAAGTAGTTTTGATTTTCTAACTTGATGAAAACAAACCATAATCTCATTAATTCTAACAGACTTTAGCCCGTCACTTTACGATTTTCAAAATGGCGGCGCTTTGTCGCGAACATAAACCAGTCTGAGGATAAATGCTATTTAAGTTTGTTTTCACCAAGTTACAAAATCAAAACTACTTTCTACTGGTAGTAAAATATGTATTTGATTGATGGCCAATAGGATTTTGCATGACATAGCTTATAACATAACAATTTTTCCTGATTGATGGCATTTAGAAGTTGTATTATTGATGTCCAAAGATATTTTATGGATTAAACTTCTTTTTAATTTCTCAAGATGACATTCCAGGTCCCTTCATCAGGTGAACTGATGAAGGGACCTGGAATTTCTCTCTTGAGAAATTAAAAAGAAGTTTAATCCATAAAATATCTTGACAATTCTCTCCTGGCAGCTAGGTGGGTGTCAATATAATACTACTTACAATATTATTGTTACCACCACACCTTCACATCCAAGGAAGAAATCGTTATGTTACAAGTTGTGTCATGGAAAATCTTTATGGTCATCAATCATATACAGTACATATTTTACTACAACTAGTAAGTAGTTTTGATTCTTTAACTTCCATGAAGCGATCTGAACACAAGTAAGATATCGTTTCAGGCTTCCACAACGCTCGCTTCGCACTCACAAACATAACCCATTTAGCACGAACTGCGGGGTCCTGTGGAAATCTGTGCATGGTGACACCATCGCCTGACCCCTAGGAGCAATTGACGACAAAGCAATGATTCGGCATGTCGTCGTTGATGTCGAGAAATCATCAAAATGATGAGCGTGCTACACACTTTCTATACAACTAACTGAAAATCGTTCCTCATATGACGTCACTGCAGTGCTCTGGCGACAGAGTTACGTAACCTGTCTGTGGTTTCGTTGGTGGGCGAGAGTGAAGCAGGCGACTTTTTGGCAACTTTTAATCGCTCGGTATTAATTAACCACAAGTTTTTTAAGAATGAATTTGGTGTTCCGCATAAGTCTAACCACAAATCTTTCATATGTAATAGTTAAAAGAGTAAAAAACCAAAGTTTATTTGTTCTTTAAAGTTGAACAAAAATATATAAAAACCAAAAAACATTTGAGATGACCCCTGACGCTTCTGGTTTACCCCAACCACCTGAATTGACGATTGCTACACTACCATCGCATGCAATCGATTAAAACTTAATCTAAACATAATCATGGATGATTGGCCTATTGAGAACCACTCATGACACCAACCAATTCTTTATTGTTATTTCTGCAAGTTCATTGAAAGCCGAATTTGACCCTCAACTGAGCGTCCTGGTCACAAATGGGAGTGAGTGAGTGAGTTAAGTTTTACGCCGCACTCAGCAATATTCCAGCTTTTGGTGGTTGTCTGTAAATAATAGAGGCTGGACGAGACAATCCCGTGATCAACAGCATGAGCTTCGATCTGCCCAATTGTGATACGATGACACGTGTAAAGCAAGTCAGCGAGCTTGACCACCCGGGTCACAAATGGATGACGATAGGTCTGCACAAAATGGGGTTGTGGACAGAGCAAGCCCTCTGATTGGTCGATGCTTGTTAAGGAAAAGAAAACTCTCAACTTCCTTCGTAAGAACTTCGATGCTGTGTTTTCAAAATGGATGAAGCCAAACCAGACGAGGTTGCCATGGAACTAAGTGAAAAAGCATTGAAGTCCATCCACACTCACTCACCATTCTCACTGACAGTATGATCTATTGATATTTTATGACGCCACTGATATATCACCATTAGTCATAATCAGATGCAATGCAATGACTGTTCCATTATTTGAACCCACAAGTGTTTCCCTACCTCCCTGCTCTGCCAGAATACGCCCCTTTATGTAGTTGGCCCCGAAAATGGGTTGTTCCAGCTCCAGGTCTCGCATAGTCAGGAAGGGCATGCTGAAGGACTGCATCTGGTCTTTTGGGTCAGTGCAGTTGAAAATCACCTGTCACAAAACAGACATTGTTAGTACAACTCTCTATTACATCCTCTTGGCTGTACAGAAGTCTTTCAAAACCTGCACAACCCCATTCAATTATTAATATTTTCCATATGGAGGGGCCATGAAGACTTCCACATATATACAGCAGCTAGATCATGTTGGATACATATTTTGCTTATGTACTGCAAGGACAGTTCTTCATAAAAATAGCAAGGAAATTTTCAACCTGTCATGAAGAAATCAAGAAGTTCTTATTCCTAAAAATACTGTGTTCCAATCTGTAAATCCTACTCATGAAATATGCAATGCTTTGTCCTGTTCAGAGTCAGACACGATTATTAACAGGCTACCATCATATAGCTTGAACACTGCTGAGAGTTAACAACAAAGAAAAGAATCGGTTATTTTGATACACTATTTCAAATGTCTAGTTGAGGTACACACCAAAATAGCACAGAATTCATCCATGTGCTAGGCTATTTCAATAACAATTCATAATGCCCATTGTGACTACCACAATATGTACAAAAACTGCACAGGAGTAAAATAATAGTGTTAAGACCTTTCTCTTTGGACAGTGTTATGACTTTAAGAGCTTTGAAAATGGACAGACTTAAAATCACTTCTTACCCTATGCGTAGTTAGGTAGACATTCCCTTTCTTTTTCCCCTTGAAGTGAGGCATACCATTCGGACCATCAAAGGACATTTCAATTCCATCATAAAAGATCAGGATTCTGAAAACAATCAGAAAGCAATATGATACATCTTAACTTTAAATGACCCTGCTATTCCTATCAAACCAATGTTAATACTGATGACAGTATATACTTGATTTTTGATTGTTTAAATACAGTACAAGAACCTAACATGTCCAAGTAAATACTTATTGTACTTATTACTTACTTACTGAGTTTGGTTTTATGCCGCTTTTAGCAATATTCCAGCAACATCACGGCAGGGGACACCAGAAATGGGCTTCACACATTGTACCCATGTGGGGATTCGAACCCGGGTTTTCGGTGTGACGAGCCAACGCTTTAACCATTTGGCTACCCCACCGGCCCTATTGTAATTATTAACCTCAGAGTCAGATCTTAGATTCCAACATGCTGGTAAGATAAATAGATATGTCCAACTTTAGTTGACAGGGAACTATTACAGCAGTATGGAGATTGTTTATATAGTACAATGACTTCCACCATATTCACTGGTTGGGAAGCAGTCATGTCATTTGACAGAAACGCATATTGATGACAAGTCGGGTCCGATATTTTAACACATTGACTTTACTCACTAAAATCAAGTACATGTATGGCAATACCACGAATGTGGTATTTTCTAAACTCAGATGTATCTTGTATGATATGCTTAAGCTCATTTTGTAATCTTTATATTATATAATAAACAATTATAGACTATACCGTATACGTGACTTTGCCCTTGGTTAATATTGTGTATTTGGTCAATATGGCTCGTATCAATTCTGTCTTTGTTTATCATTAAAGATAAATAAATGGTGTGTCATATGTGGTGGAAAAATGGCTCCAAGAAAGAAAATGAATTGCAAGTTGTTACTGTTCAAACTTGATGCCATTTAGTTACCATGATAATTCCAGTTTACTCTGAGGACAGTCCAACAAGATAACTTTATCATACAAAATACAATCTTAGTTTTATTTTTACTTGATCAACAAACTTTGGCTGCACCTGGGTATTTTTGTATTTCTATCATCTTTATAACCATGAATGTCTGCTTCATGACGAACATATCATCTCAGTTTATGATGATGATATTGTGATAAACCCATCGACCAAGAACAAAACAACAGGTATTTTACGTTACCATGGTTACACTATATAAACTGACTGAAACAAAGTCATAAAGTGGCCTTATCACTGGACCTAACGGAAAGAGTTCCTTCCGTTCCCCCACTTCTTTCTTCCGCAGATTAACAGAGGTAATGCAACGTGGTTTGACCCTATATATTGCAATTAGTTTGGGGGCTTTTAGTTATTTTTGTGAGTTCTCTAGTAATTGTTCTGTTAGGTTTTGTTCATAATCTTAGTACATATTAAATTATATGTATTATTTGGGATGGGGGAACGGGAGGAACTCTTACCGAGATAACATCTACAGTAGTCGATCTACTTCTCTGCTCGATCTATAATCTCTGTAAGTATTGGGTTGTCAAGTTCACATATCCCTCATCGCTTAACTGTCGTCACTCAAACTTTATGATGTTGTAGGAATCAACATTGAAACATCGATATTTTCAATAAACCAGAAGTTGTTATCAATAAATATTTCTTTATTCACTCATTAACTAAAATAACATCTAATGAATCCAACCGCGACCCCGTCAGGGCTCTCGTCTGTCGTCACATTCACTACAATAACACAGACAAATTCGTGTTAATAATCATCACTGGAGTCCCAATATGATGGTAATCCTGAAACTAGATTCAACTCTCGTGATGATGACTTGTCATCACCAGCATCTGTGACCAGGTCCAAACAGGAACTGCGAAATTTCTAGATAGATGTGTCTGATCATACTGGTGTTAGCTTCATCACAAGCAGCTTTCATATAATCTAATAATTGGATAGCCATACTGTATATTCCAGAGACAGCTTCTACAAACGTGAAACATACTGACGTTCGAAATATTACCTTTCCCCTGCAAAAAATAAGCACTCCGCCATGGGCATGAGCTGTATTCAGCGACATTTTGTTATCAAGTCTGTCTAATATTGCGTAAAAACAAGCATGACGTCATCAAATCTTGCGTTTATCCTCGAACCACAACGCGCATCTGCTAAACAAAAAATATCTGTGAGTTAATGTCAGCGTAACATTGACGTTATGCACTGAATATGTTCACTTGAGTGATATTTCGGTTACATTCAGTTCTGCATATTTTTCATCCTGATTCCGAAAATACACCCCACCTTTAAAATATTTCGTTTTGCGAAGCCTGACAGGTGGCGTTGCGAAAATGTTTACAAGATGGAGGCAGGGAAAACTGGAACACGAGAGTCGTTGAATGAAACAGGGCATTAGCAAAGTGAGTTCTGTTGCTCCAATGGTCTTTATTCACATCGTTTGTTCAGAATTTCACGTTACATAGTGATTTTTCTTAAGTGGTCTCAACGTGAAATGAAAAAATTAATGGGGTTCAAAACTAGGCCAAATGTTATAAAACATCCCTCTGCATTTGCTTCTGTCATTTCATTGTTGACACGCATGAATCATCAATGGGTTGGAGAGATATATGTTTCGTTGCATCTCTGTCGTATTCAGATGCCATTCCTGCAATTATAATATTCATTTTTATGAATGTTCCATGTTCTGTTCTTGACCTTGCTCTACGACAAACAACAGGGTTTTCGAAAAGCATTCACTGCACAGAAAATCTCTTTTATTGAAACCGGAACCGTATATGGTGTTATTACCAGAGTTTTAATATCGAGCTCATTTTACATTTTTAATATGCACCCACTGGACATGCTAGATTTTTACATATTATGTGTACTAGTTTACCTAGTTCATATGAATAAACTCGTATTCCTGCCAAGGCCTACATCGAGCACACCTTGGTGCAAAGTCGTCTAGTTACATGCTGGACTACAGTTTACCTGGCAATGAGTTTACAAAGTGAAATGGGAGGCTAGTCATGATTAATTGGTAAACTGGTTACAGTTTCCTTAGGTTTCCAAACAGTTTAACTATACACAAACCGATACACCCCATAATAATTGTGCCTGTGTACGACCTGTTTCTCAGTCCTTCGGGTTAGGGGCAGTGGGCCTTGTGGTTAAACATTTGCTTGTCACATCGAAGACCCGGGTTCGATTCCCTACACAGGTGCAATGTCACATTATGGTGGAATATTGCTTAAAGCAGTAATAAATCATACTCACTCACTCCTTAAAGTTAGGTACTCCCTTGTAAAACTGAGGGTTATTCGGTAAGGGTTCACAGTTTTATTGAATTAATCCAATGGAATATGAGGAAATTTGTAGAGTTTGTTTCAGTTCTAGAGTTTCATGGACAAAATGGCTACTGCATTTATGTAGGGTATAAAGATAACAGTGGGGTACTGATCACATGGTAAAGAACATGGTAAAGTGTCAGCTACTAATGTTAACTAAAACCAGTTTTTGTTATCCTGGTTTGATATCCTTGTAAGATAATGTAATATTTTGTAGGGATAATTGTGTATTCTCTTGGTGACTGATATAAGGTTTGTTTGCATGTGACTTTGATCCCTAAAGGTTTCCATATCAGTTTTTGAATCATCATTTATTCACAAGTCTCACATGCAATGTTTGTAAAACTGGTGCATGCAGTGCATGAACGTGCTGGACACCCAGATCACACTCATAAAGCTCATTAGTGGATGAGAAAAGATAAGAAAAAGCATTGGTTTGCTTGAAACTGGATGTACCTCTGATTTTCTAGTACCAAGGTGCATCTTGCTATTGCATATGGCATGACATATTAACCATAGTGATGTGAAACTTAAAGAATTGTGTATTCTTCCAACTTCTTTTGAGCAGTGCATTTCAATTGGTTTTATGATTATTTTCAGATTTTACAGCCTTGATGATGAGGCCTATCTAGAAAGCAGAGAAGATCTGTTTGGAAATAATCTTCCTCAAGACTTTATCTACTCTATTAGTAGATACATATAGCGATAAATCAAAATGGCAGGTGCGGAAAGCATACAATCTTCGCCAGTATCTCCAAGACCTCAAGCCAGGTCCTATCGAGCCTATGTTGAACAACAGAGGGCATTGGCCCTGAAGCGAGAGGACCCTGATGGACCTAAGTTGTGGCGGCAGATGGTGATAGGATTCATCTGTGCTGCATGTGTTGGCTTCATTATGTTCATTCTTGGAAGTATCTTCATATCAGAAGCAATTTCCTTGAAGTATTCTGCAACAATCATGTTGTGTGTCATGGGCATGGGTATGTATGTTCACTTTTGCTACATATATACAAGGTGAAAGCATTTAGCCTTCAATGAACTTCAACAAACTCAACTCACAGGTCATTAAAAGGGCACAGATCCTGAGCGATTACTGTTTCTTGCCAACAGTCTAATTATGAAACCTAGCTGCAAGCTGGTCAGTACCTGCTCCCTCGACCGTGATGGACACGGGGCTGGGCTACTGTCCTCCTTGGCAGAATTTCTTCAACCTAAACAGTGGGACATTTTAAAGGGTGGATGCCCATCAGATGCCGTTATTTGAAAATATCCCTGGTAGTTCTTGTCAGATTGTAATCAAATATCCCAGCAGTGTAGGCTTTTCTGATTTTCTAGTGCCTGGAAGGTGGATGGTATATTGACTGATCCAATTTGATCCTATTTCTGTGTTTTTACCTCGATATTTAATCATGTCATGCAAAAATATGATTTCTATTACCTATGATATTGAAAACACATTTGATTATTTGAATCAGTAAACTAAACCACCCCTCTTTGCTATTGCTAGAAAAATCTGAAAATTTACTTAGGTAAATAGGTATATACAGTTTTTAACTTGAGTAGACAGCAAATGCTTATATGTATTTCTTATGCAACAATGAAATACGTTTGTATCCTCAAAACAGTGTCGGCTACTAAAATTGCATGCAATACAGCGATTACTACTCCCTTGCTGTAACCTGTGTTTGGTGGTATAAACCTACACATGTTACTAGTATTTGTCATCATTCACTTGATGGTCAGTTAAAGAATTTATAACAGGTATAATTAGTGGTAGCACCACTCGGATAACCCAACAAATGTTCCCATTTGGCATTTCTCATGTCTGGAGTAAATACTCTACATTATGAATTAAGGTCTGATGTGGCAAAGGTTTTGCATGTTATGTAATATGCGCATGGAAGTGCAGCAAGAGGAATTATCACCAGAGTTACAAAAACAAACATTGATCCAACCGATAACATGCTGATTGATTAATTACTTTTATCTTGCACAGCAGATTTGTCAAAAGGTAGCTGATACGTTGATTAATTGCTCATTATTGGCTAACTTAATTACTTTTATTATAGAACTGAGGGCATCATGCAATTAGTTGCCAGGTGTGCTCTTTTGGCTGACCAATGAGACTATACACCAATGTGAAAAACCTGAAACAATGTATCACTTTTTTGCATATTAGACTGTTAAAAGACACATGACATGGAACGAGATTCTTTGTCAGCTGCAGATGAATGACATATCATTCCTTTATATGATATTGATGGATATCCTCGAACAAGATAATAGCCTGACATTGTTACTATAGCTTTAGTCTGTTTTAATTTTACTATTTGCATTTTGTTTTTATTTGTTTGTTGCAGCATTCAACAGAATCATGTTTTTTGCTGTGAAGTGTAATGAGACATACACAACGTACACGAGGTCGCACTTAGGGCATGTGTGTGTGAAACATGATTCACGTTGGCAATCTATAAAATGTCTAGATATTACAGTCATGTTGTAAGCAGATTGTGTGCTTTTTATTAAGTTTCAACAGAGGTCATGAACCAGTCAAGAATTCTGAGATATCATCTGGGTACTCATGGGAGAAAAACAATAACAAAAGCAACAACCAGTCCACGGAAATTGCTCTGGATCAGTGCCCCTTTAACTTCCATCTCCTATTTAACAGTCAGACTGTACTATAGCATGCTTTCTTGCCTATGATTTTAAGATGCCTTTTCTTCCCGACTCACTCTGTCTCAACATTTGGCCTTGACTGTAGCAGGAACATAATTAAACATGCCTCCTCCTCAGTCAGTCCATATTCTCTGTTTTTGTCTGGAGATCTTGTTTTAAGCAGGTCTAAGCAACCCATGCTTGTTCAAAAGAGGCAATTAATGGAATTGGATGGATGGTGAGCCTTGATGACTTGGCAGAGGCATGTCTGATTTTTTCAGTTACATAAATAGATGCTCCTGCTGTCAATCACTGGATTGTCTTGTCAAGATTCACTTGTTCAATGGCAAAGATATGAAGAGATGTCCTGTCAGTCATTGTTGAAAGTTACTAAATTATGAAAAATATACATATTCTAATGACACCTTTTTCTCCTGCAAAATCACTGAAACTTGGTAAACTAAATAAAGATTTTGACATTGATCAAGTGTGTAGCCCTAAATATATAATGTGATTTCACATACATGTACCATATTGCCTCTAATAAGTGCTGGGTCTCTAAGAAACGCTGGGTAAAAATATTTATTCTCCCTTGATCCAAAAATAGATTTATTAAGGAATGGTCCCTAACTTTGATGTACTGCTCACTAACAATTTATTAGAGTACACCCAGTAAGCGCAATAAGCACCATGTCTCCAATAAGAGCAGGCCTCTAATAAGAGCTTGGTCTAGAAGTCCTTGGGGAAAAAATAAGCACCGGGTGCTTATTACAGGAAATACGGTAATTACATAAGTAATGTTGAACTACTATATTCTTTGTTTACAAACATATAGTAGTACTAACATAACACATGTAGGCATGCGCATAATAAATGTTTCTTTGATTGTATATGTGTGATGTTTTTTTAAGTTTAGATTTTTATTGCAGTTTGTGGCTTGATAATTGTTGTTGGGACAATTATCCTGGGCAAGTTGTTTATATCAAGAAAATGGAGGAAGTCTCAAGGGAGGGAACTGGAGCATCCTCCAGCTGCTTGCTTTCACACATGTTCAGGTAGACAAGACTTGCTTCATCCACAAATTATTCTTCCTACCTCCATGTTGCATGACTCAAACCTTTATTGCAACTGGGGGAGTTGCATGAAACTAGTTGAATACTATAAATCTTTTATTTTAGGGATGGGGAGGGATCACAAGAAAGCTGCATAAATTGGGTTTGGTGACCTCAAAATAAATTGCAAGTCACTAATTTCTACAATTCTTTTTGCATTTGGCAGCATTTCCCCGTTATACTTAAGTTTTTGTTATTACTTAAGTGTTGTGGTTTTATATTAAATGGTTTAAGAATCCAGAGACTGTAAAAACGAAGGAATAAGAATACAATATAATTTTGAATATTTTCTGAACAGTTAAATATTTTTTGTGACTGTTCTCCTCATAAACATGATATACCTGTCATGTTTGTCTTCCAGGTGATTATGATACCTCTTATAGTGGGACATCATTGTCAGTAATGTATAACTATAATTTCAGTTATCTACACTCCATCCCAAGATCAGCTGACCCAGGTAGGGTGTGGTGAACCACCTCCCGCGTACGACTCCCTTGTACTGATGCCCCTCCCACCTGGGCATCCCCGGGTTGTATTAGACTCGGATGGAGGATCAGAATCTGACCCAACCATCATGGTCCTACCTCCCAAGTATGATGACATATCTGATCCCCTGCCACCCTACATAGAGGACAGGCCTTGACAGGGTGTGGAGCTGAGAGGAGACATCACTGATCTGCTGACATTTCATAGGGCTACTTGGAGGAGCCATGTGTTTGTACTTGTGTTGCTGTGTTTGCTATTGCTGACCAAGTGGTGTTCAAAATGGCATCAAGTCATAATGTAATAGGGCGGTGAGGTAGCCTAGTGGTTAAGGCATTTGCTTGTCATGCTGAAGATCCATGTTTGATTCCCCACATGGGTACCATGTGTGAAGCCCATGTCTGGTGTCCCCCGCCGTGATATTGCTGGAATCTTGCTAAAAGTGGGGTGAAGTCATACACACTCACTCATAATGTAATTCAATGCGAGTCAGCATTTTTAGTGTTAACTTGTCTTTTGACGTAATTCAGATTTATACTTGATTTTGAGCACTTCTTAAGTTTGCTCACTTAGCTGAAAGTGTTTATGAGTCTCTAGGGTTCAGACTATTGGATAATGCCAAACATGGTCAGGGGGTGTATGATTTTCAAGTTGAACATGTTCTGTTGTAGCGATGTAGATTTGGGATATTTTGGGGAATAAGATACCAGTAGGGTAACTTACAATGCATTATTGTGAGAACCTCTTGCCTTCAAAAGAACATCAAGGCATCTTGATGCATACTTAAGTTTTACAAGTTTGGATACAAGATACCATGCTTTGCATTGTCAATAAACATCTTATTTTAAATTTCATGGTTTAAGTATAAGATTATTGATTTCATCCCTTTTTATGAACATTTGGAGGACAGCAGGATGAACAGAGGGGACAAACATCAGGTTTCTCAAAGTTTTCACGTTTCTGTTTTCCTATATTTTCTTCACTGACTATACACACTTGTGATTCATTCATCATTGGACTGTGAGTCAACAAGAGGTTGTGTAAACTGCAAATCATTGAATACTGTCAAGTGTTTTCTTGCATTTGTGCATTGTGTTTTTGTGTTCAATGCATCAACACAAATGGTATTTTTGGGATGGAGTTTTAATATCTCAAAGCAGAGTGAACTTTTGTCATTGGTTTGATCATCTCTCTTATTTTATGATTACCGTCTTCATTCCACAATATTTTTCTCTTATAACAAGTGCGAAGGACTATCAGATTAAACACACTAATGGGCATTTATCCATGGTCCAAGTTGTTTTGAATTCATATAATATGGTTCATGTCATTCCATCTGGTATCTTCAGTGTGTATTTAGCACAGACTCTGGAGCTTGGAAATTATATAACAGAACTCTGTGTTTTTACTGTTTGTCATTTTACCCCTTGTTTTCAGGATTTCATTGAGTTGTTTGAAATTATCTAAGTATGTGTACTGGATCAGGAAACACAGTTGACATAGTAATCTAGGGGACCGATATACACGTGCAGAGTTGCCCCCCTTAGCTGCCAGGATCTGCTTGTCATGATGTGAGTTCTCTTGCCCTCACTGTTTGGTTTGGTCCTTTTGCCAGGTTCCTTGTAATGTGTACAACTTGCATCATATTGAGCTGACTGGCCACCTGATATTGAAAGAATATCATTAAAAATAATTCCCCTCACTCACTTGTATCAGTTCATCATCCTGAGTGAGATGACGTTTTGTACCTCAGTACTGTGTTACAATTACTGTGATCATATCAAATCATCATCTGCGTGATATACTGCACAAGAATTCCCCAGAAAGAAGGAACACAATCATTTATGTTTCAGTTGTAGTGATTGGAACTACATTCCTGATTTTACATCATCAGTGCTATTGTTGCCCAACTCGTTTATCAATGTTCATCTCGCTGTACTGAAGCATGGTAATTAGTGGCTTGTCATGAACAGTATTGTTAATTAGTCAGAAATTTGTATATATTCACTAGTTAATATCCATGACCCCATGCAATATTTTCTGAGTGTTTCCGATGTTATCAGCGGTTTTGGATGTTCTGTACACGTGTGGTGTATGTCTGCTAAGAACGGTGATAGGTTGGCTTGTTTACTGCATATTGTTTATGATGTGATATGGTTTTGTTGAACTGTTGCTTCTTCTTAATCCTGATGTTTGCCAAATTTTAGTTACTGCTTGTAGTATATGTATATAAGGGACTTTTATATATTCTGATTTGATTTACTTATCTTAGCTGCATTTTGATGTTGATAAGAACTGTTATGGAACATTTAAGGATCAAATATCAAATTTAGGTATACTGCTCGTATATAAGTTAAATTTCTTGCCATTTTATCAGTATCAGTCATTTATGTTGTGAGAAATAGACATTATTAGATTAAATGGGAAATTGTAAGTCATCGTCTTTGCAATTATTTTCAGTTTTAGGTGTATACTAGTGGAGGATTACACCAGAAGTAATAGATTAGCAATACTAAAATACTCTATTTTGCCTCAATATAATATTTCTTTACATTATTAGAAAACTTTGCATTGAACATGACATAATGTTCAAATCACTTTTAGTATGATGGTGAACTTTACATTTCCTATTATTACGATTATTATGATTTGTGACATGTAATAAGAATACTAACTGTCCAAATGCTCACTCGTCCCCATGATTGGGACATATACCATGGCCACAGGACAGAATTGATGATAACTTTAACACTTACAATACATGACATATGCTTCATCTGTATAGGGGGAGGTGGGGTAGCCTAGTGATTAAAGTGTTCGCTCGTCATGGCGAAGACCTGGGTTCGATGTCCCACATGGGTACAATGTGTGAAGCCCATTCTGGTGTCCCCCACTATGATATTACTAAAAGTGGCATAAAACCATACTCACTCACTTGCTCCAGCTGTATGGGGCATGGGAGAAGCTCCACTGACCAAACAACCTAGTCATAGACGGATTTCTAATTTAATCTGCCTTATCATTTATTACTCCGTTTCCTGTGATAATGTAAGAAATCCATGATTTTGTGATTGTTTTATCCCATGTCAATTTTTTGTAAAAAGTGCTTGTCATTCATATGGAAGAAATGGATATGATTTAGCGAATCTTGTCTGTAGGAGAATATGGTCTCATGTTAATAAGAGTCCTGGTCCTAGATCGTATGGATTTTCAGGATTCACTGCTTCTGTAGAACGGATTTCCTTCTTCTATGGATTCATTTGAAGCATTTTGATACTCCTAATTATTGCAGACTGAAATATATCCAAGTTGTTTTTCAAAAGAGCACATTTATTGATATCCTAAGAAATATTAAAGCTCTTCCTCTACAAATCCCAAAGGAAAATTTGATTTTTTAGTGAATGTGTAAGATTGTTTCTTTTTGTGTTGAGTATGAAAGTGATCAGATTGTTCCATGCTTGGTCAGGATTACCTCTTGAAACTTCGAATCTTAGAATGTATCTTTAACTGCAAATGAATGATTTGTATTTAAATTCAGGATAAATAATTACTTTGAATAATATTTTAATATTTATTAATTTTGATGTTTTTTTTATTAAAAACAGGAATAGCAAGAAAATTTGATGAAATCTTTTTCACAACAATCCTTTGTAAATAGGTGTATATACTATATATCATGTAAAGTAATTCACTTACATTTTACTGGTAATTATTTAGCCCATGTATTAATGTTTGCTGTATAATATACATGTTTACATTTATAGTGGAATCAATGCATAAATATAATGATTATGTTTTTGTAATTATGGTTAGGCCAGATGAATTTTATTTCTTATTTTATGGATTTTTGTCTTCAGAAAACCTGATGGCAGGAGGGAAAAAAATTAAAAATAAAAATCACCAGTCGGAGTAATGTTCCTTTTAAATACTAAACATATTTCATTTTGGCAATTTATGAAGTGTATATGGGGCAAAAACAATTTTGTAAGTGTACATTTTGTTTGTAAGTGGGGGAAAATTACATTGCTTTTTTTTTGGCCTTGAAATAATAAAGATTTCATTTTTGGCAATTTATGAAGATTTTATAATTTTTTTGAGTGTACATTTTGGGAAAATTATTTTTGAGTGGGGAAAATTATTAATTGCTTTTTTTTTTCTTATTCTTGAAATAATACAACTGGCGGATCTGTAAATCCAGAAATAAAATTGCTCTGGCCTTATGTACCTTTTTTGGTATAATAATGCTAATGTTGGGGCAGTAAACAACAAATAATTTCTCTTCTTTAAACCATGGGTAGATTTTACACAATATTCAAGCCAAATGTCTTGACATTCTACATCAGAATGATCAATATGCAAATGGTTGATAAAACTTAAAGGCTGTGTTATTGATATGGAAAAACCTTAAAGAGTGACTTCTCGAGTTGTTCTCTTTTCAGTTTTTCTGCAAGACCAAATATTCTTATGTATGTCATCATCCCCTTGCAGTTTACTATTGCCTGAATTACACAAAACGATTGTCACAGTTTCTCAAATGGCACGAAGTACATCATCACGACCTGGATCACATTCAATGGTCATCATAGATGTAAGATCAAGGGCTTATGAATAGCTGCAAAGTTACTGATTCAGTGTAAAACAATAATCACACAAATGATTTATTGGCACGAACCATATCTAACAAGAACAAATATAACAAAGTCATTTACTTAGTTTATTTTCATGTTATTTTATTTAAACAGATTTTAAAGTTGATGGAATGTATTGGAAGTTTTAAAAATTGACTATGTTGATAGTGTTCCTGATTGCCCTACTATTATGTATAGAAATAGTTATATATTTTGAGACAGTTTTTGTTTTGTATTTTTAAATTGCAGATAGGTTTCATTTGTTTGTTTCATGGATGCTGTTTGTGAAAATGTGTACACAGTATCTTTTGTACAAGTATTTTAAGTTTTGTAATTTATGAATATTTATTTTCGTACTGATTGTGAAACTCTAATTTAAATATTAATGTTGATTCTGTTTTCCTGCTGTGTATGCTGAGCATAATAGAGTTACAGTTATGATCTATACATGATTCTGGAAACATATTCTTTCTTTTAAGTATAACTGCAATTCAATGAACAGTATAAATATTTAATGCCTTTAGTACAGGCGACCACCTTTCATTGTAATATGCATTTTTTATTCTTAAAATTAAATTTGTGTTTAAAAAGTGCTAAGTGTGTGTATCTGGTGTTAAATAATTACACTAGGGATTGTAAATCAAAATACCTTCAGTTCAGACAACATGCAGTCTTTTACTTTGTCTTTCATTTCAGTTTAAACAAATGTGCTATGGTAATAAAGTATATGACCTTTGTGTACATGACATCTTTTGTATTTTCTAACTGTTGCTGCAGTATTGTTTACTGAAGAAAGGGGAGTGTGATTGGAGAAAAGATAGTGTTATACGTGAGTGAGTGGGTTTTGTTTGTTTGCTTTTACTGCTGCACTGAGCTATTTTTCAGCTATATGATGGAGGTTTGGAAATAATCAAGTCTAAACAAGATAATCCAGTGAGTGGAGTAAGTATGTGTTGTTGGAAGTTTCTTTCAACTTCAACTTCATTCAAGAAGCTGCATCATATCAGCCTAGAACTTTTTGGATAGTCAAACCAGCAGACTCCTGTGGAATGAACCCTGTCATGGTGTGTGAGGAAGACCTTCAGTCAGGCCACCCTGGTGACCATTTCATCCCTATCTGCGTCCCTTATGACCGGCATAGGTTGATGAGGTTCAGATGTTCAGATGTGGGATTTAAAGATGATGGATATTCAACTGAATTGTCATCCCTTCAGGGTTGAATCAGGGCATGAACTATACTTAAGTTAAATAAATAAGAGGTTTCTACATTCTGGTTTGGTTCTGTTTACGTTTGCTACATGTTTATCTTCTTTAAGTGGCATTTAGAAGCCAGTATTATGAATCATCACTTGCTTGATAACAGTGTTAACATCTACACCCTTGCATCTATTGCAATAATAAATAATATAGTTGATTTATAATAATAGTTGATTTATATTGCGCATTTATCCATGCTCATTGCATGCTCAAAGGGCTGACATATTACCCCTGGTCAGCGAATACAGAACACTCCTCTACATGTTTATAATTGTGTAGTTTTGTAGAGTGGGTTTGTTGTTT